AGTTCATCCTTGACGCTATATGATTTTTTTTTAAAACCCAAGTAATGCACTAATTGTTATGACGCAGAAGATATATTATGTTGTATGAATAATGTATGGAATTAAATATACATTTAAAAAAGGCGGGAAATACTAATTGTAAGGCGATTAATGCACATTGTAACTACGTTTAGATCTAAAACAATAGGTTTTAATTCTAGACTTAGCACGGAAATCTTGTTCGTTTTGTTTTAAAATGTTTTTTTAACTATTTTTTTTTATGGGTGAAAATGGTATGGTAACCCCGCCTGCGCTAACGGGATACGCTGGCGGAGCACCAGTGAAGGGTGATAGATGAGAATGAAACCAGGCCAGTTAGCCCATCATGATGAATTCATCAAGAATTAACCATGATAGTTTCCAGGGGGAACCGCGAAGAGGTCGACCTGGTTGGGTATATTGCTAGCAATGGGATTCTTAGTCTCCATCACTAACAATCCCTTTTCCCCCTTTTTTATCTATTTGATCGTGTTTAGCATAAAATAAGGTAGTAAACATAATGTCGGCTAGTAATCCCACTAATGGCCGTATGGTCCTGGCATAGAATAAGCCACCCCCTTCCTTTGGGTGTCTGGTTTGGTTCCTTGGCTGTCGCAAGAGGCGACTAAAGGAGGGCGAGTGATGGGCAGCAGCGTCCCTCTTAAAATGACGTGAATTTACAGGGTACAGAGGAATAACACCTGAGTCCTCAGGAATGGCAACGCATGGGGCGTGTCATAGGCGAAACAGTACACTCTGTTATGTCCATGGTACTGCTCATGTTTATAGGCGACGGTTACGACTTTCCATCAGGTGGATCGTTAGCTTGTTTGTCATTCTTAGTTGTATAAAAAAAAGCTCTGAAGCCTAACTGCAGTTGCCAATCATGGTAACTACTAGAAAAATGAATGTGAATCAGCAAGTGTACTTAACAAACAATAATAATTTATATAAGAAACATTTTACCGGCATTTCCTGTGTGTATTTTTTATTTATTTATTGTTTATTTGGTTAAAATTATAATCAGTGATTTGGACTTCCGTAAAATAGATCAGTATTTTTTTTTTTTATTATTCTAAATTTATTTTAAAACAAAGGTTTTTTTTTATGGATGATAATGAAATAGTAAACCCGCCTGCACTAACGGTGTACGCTGACGAGGCACCAATGAGGGATGATAGGTGAGGATGAAAAGACAGGTCAGTTAGCCCATCGTGATAAATACACCTAGCACGATGGTTTCCAGGGACCACGTGGAGTTTTGACCTGACAGGGTATATTGCTAGCAATGAGATTGGTAGTCCGCATTACTAACAATCCCCCCCACCTCCAGCAAAGGTATTAATACATTAAATTGCCAACGTAGCGACTGAATAGATTGAAATATTGTTTTGTTTTTTTTTTAAGAATTTATTTACAAGCAAAGCAAAAAGCGCACATTTCCGCCTTTAATGAAAATGGAACTGTTCTTTAAATACCTATGTACAAAACTTTGATTGTAACAAATGTTTGTGTGACACGGCACGACATGTTGCAATTTGTATTCAAACATGGCTGCCAGCAAGGTGTTTACCCGCCACTGACCTCTGTGGAACATCGAACTTATATTTGGGGTTCCGCGAGCTGCAAATATTTTTAATTTGTTTAAAGAAGGCTCTTAACTTAATTCATCATCATTACCTTGCCTTGGGTGATCATGGGCGGCGGTAGTCACTTACCATCAGGTGAGCCGCATGCTCGTTTGCCCCCTGTGTTGTAAAAAAAAAAACCTTGCCTTTTCCCATTTATTTGGGGTGGACACAGTATGTCTTTTTAAATGGCTTAAAAAAGAAAGACTGATATTTGACAGGGTTGAAGGCATATTGCGTTGACCACATAAATGGGAAAAATAAATGTATTAAATTGTAACTATTGATTTTGATAAAATGTCCATGGGACTAATCTGTAAGTATGTCCTTTCAAACAAAAAAAGAATTTTCCAAAAACAGTTTACAACTGTTTTTTTTTTTTTATACAACTTAGAATGGCAAACAAGCTGACGGCCCACTTGATGGAAAGTGGTAACCGTCACCTATAGATACGAGCAATACAATGGACATAACAGAGTATAGTGTTTCGCCTATGATACCCCCTATGAGTTGCCATTCCTGAGGACTCAGGTGTTATTCCTCTGTACCCTGTATATTAAAGTTATAAGGTAATAAACACAAAAAAAATCAAAAAAAAAAAAAAAAAAAAAAATTGTTTTGCGATAGCCAAGTCATTTCGACAACATAACATATCCACAGCCAGTTTTACAGTTTGAAATATGTTCACTGAAACTCGAGAAACAGGATTAAATCTATCATACACTTTTAACTGGACCTTATAGAAGATATCAATATGATATATTGTATAACATATACTATACAACAAGGGTCGCAAAGAGGGTTGACGTCAGGCAGGTGGCCGGTCGTAAAACTAAAAACCAAATCTTTTTGTAATATGGATAAAATCATATTACGCCGACCCCAAATGATTGTGATAAGGGTAGGAAGATGATGATGAAACACAAAAAAAAAATCAATCGAATTCAGAACCTCCATCTTTTCGAAGTCGATTGGAAATACTTTCAAATAAAAGTTATTGTACAGAACCCTGCTCTGCTGCGTGAACTTGGGTATTGACAATCGATGCGTTTGACATCAATGTGCTAAATAATTATGTGATCGCTATTTAGCAGGCAATAAGGTCGGAAGTCTGACGGTGTCCTTCTGTGTTTACGTTTTTAGAATAATATGTTAATGTAAACACTAAAGTAAGTAAATTTACCAGAGGGAGACTTTGTATAAAAGTCGTTTGCTTGGGTACCTCTGTCCCATTCGTGTTTCTACCGTGAAGCAGTTGTGTTCGCATGGCTGTGTTTCGGTTTGAAGGGTGGGATATGGCGTGAATTTACTGGGTTCAGAGGAATAACACCTGAGTCCTCAGGAATGGCAACGCATGGGGGGTATCATGGGCGAAACAGTATACTCTGTTATGTCCATGGTACTGCTCATGTCTATAGGCGACGGTTACGACTTTCCATCAGGTGGGCCGTCAGCTTGTTTGCCATTCAAAGTTGTATAAAAAAAAAATCTTTCAGATAAAAACAGAAGTTTCCAAATCGGTCTATGATGAACTGACGGATTTATAGGGCAACAAATATAAAAAAAAATGCCACCTTATTGATTACTTGTTCCTTTTTTGAAGTTAATAAAAAAAAGAAACATCAAAGTCAGTCCACAATTGGCGAGGTTTAATTCTTGGAATTAAAAACATATAGGTACCTAAATCGTGATCGATTAACGTTCTTAGATAGTCGTCAATTAATATGAAACGTATAGAATTATTCGACGTGCGTCGATCACGACATATCAAGGATCTAGCTAATCTTCATAATCAGCAGCTTAGCATAATATATCCAGCGGTTCTCAAACTTTTGTTGACACGTGTAGTCTTTTTTTTTTTGTGAGAGTTTAATAGTGACTACGCCTTCGCCATACACCGGTGGGATACCAGTGATAGATGATAGATGAGGATGAACGCAGTTCAGTTTAGCCCATCGTGACGAATCCACTAGAACGGGGGGAAAGGGATTGTTAGTAATGGAGACTGAAAATCCCATTGCTAGCTATATACCTAACCAGGTCGACCTCCACGCGGTTCTCCCTGGAAACTATCATGGTTAGTTCCTGATGAATTCATCATGATGGACTAACTGGCCTGTTTTCATTCTCATCTATCACCCTTCACTGGTGCTCCGCCAGCGTATCCCGTTAGCGCAGACGGGGTTACCATACCATTTTCATCCATCAAAAAAAATCCACTAGAATTTCCAGGGGGAACCCTGGAAATTCTAGTGGATTTTTTTTTATGGAGGTGGAGGTCGACCTGATAGAGTAATATACCTAGTACACTATCAATGGAGCTGTTAGACCCCATTACTAACAATCCCTTTCCCCCCAATGCTTGTATGTTATCCATAATAATGTATAAAATAAGCTAATGATTCTTCGTAATCTATGTAAAACTTGCGTGTGTATTATTCTTTATTACTCTACGTTTTTAGTAAATAATTACTTCTTTATTGCATTATTTATTGCCTATGGTCATAGACAAGTTTTTTGCGCGGGAAAAATGAGGTTAAGTAATTCAAAACTCGATTTCCTATTTCCTCTCACGCCGTAATGAAGAAATATAATCAAATAACCAGTTATACCTAATAATTTCTTTTTTTTTATGCATATTATACAATATAGTTGGCAATTGAGTCGATAATGAGTGACATTTTATTTTTTAATTCGATAGGGCTAACTTCCGTGTTGTTATGCACTTATTAGTACTTATTTTGGTACGATTAGAGATGTGTATTATATATCGATATTAAAACATCGATATTCTTCCTACGATTAACCCTTAAAAGTCAGATTTTTTAAATCAAATAAAAAAATATATAAGTGTATGTATACTTTACTGTGTTCACTAATAGGGAAAAATAGTAAAAAAATCGAAACGATATTCTTATATTTTTATTTTGAAAAAAAAACATTTGTTATCATTTTTGATACTTTAGGCCAGTGATTCTCAACCACTGTGCCGCGGCACTTTTGTGTGCCGCCAAATTTTGCAAATATTTAAAATTTTTGTCATAAAATATTTATGCAGTGTGTGTGTGTGTGTGTGTGTAGTAAGTAAATAATTTTTATCTTTTTCTTTGTGTGCCGCCAAATTTTGAAATCGTTAAATATGTGCCGCAACAAAAAAAAAAAGGTTGAGAATCATTGCTTTAGGCATTACGGTAATCAAAATATTTAAATTTATTTAACAATGAAACAATGTAAACTGCGGTATCAAATTTGAAACTTCAGGTATTTAAGTAGTGGAAAGTAGTAACCGCTGCCTATAGACATGGACGCCTACAGTACCACTAAAAAGCTGAAAATCACATTCTCTTGTTCCAGAATGTCGACCCTGCTGTTTTGGCAGGGGCGTGGTAAGGCGAATGGTGCGCCCAACGGTCGCAACTGGATACACACACCAGATGCTCTAGTCAAAGGACACGTAGCATATCTTGTCAAGGTTGGTACCATAGAATCTAACTAGTGTAAGAATCAAGTAATTAACTAACTACTAGATGGAGCATCGAGTGTAAAAAAAAACAAAAAGCGGTCAGCCAATTTTAAACAGCCGGGCAGCCCGAAAAGAGATCAGCCAATTTTTAAGTGACTTCTAAAAGAAATACAAAGTATGATTAAAAAAAACAGCCAGCGAAATTTAAACGGCCTAAAAGAGATCAGCCAATTTTGAAGTGACTTCTATAAGAAGGACAAAATATGATGCAAAAAACGGTCAACCAATTTTAAACGACCCAAAAAGAGATCAGCCAATTTTGAAGTGACTTCTAAAAGAAGGATAAAATGTGATTCAGAAAGTGGTTAGCTAATTTTTAAGCCACTCCCAAAAAAGAAAGAATATGATCCAAAAAACGTTCAATCAATTTTATTGTGCTTTCAAAAGAAGGGCAAAATACGGTCTAGAAAACGATCAGCCAATTTTATAAAGGTTTCCAAAGGAAAAAAAGTAAACATAGTAACCGATCAGTTAATTTTTTATTGGCATCCAAAAATAGCACAAAATACAATACAGTAAAGAGTCAGCCAATTTTTAAGCGACTTTCTTCGACAGGGAGCTCATTGTACAGCCTGAACATTCTCGCGAGGAAACCCATCTAAAACCGCACTATACAAGACCATTTAGATTTTTGTATGGGTGATAATAGAATGGTCACCCCGCCTGCGCTAACGGGATACGCTGGCGGAGCACCAGTGAAGGGTGATGAATGAAAACAGGCCAGTTAGCCCATCACGATGAATTCATAAGAAATTAACCGTGATAGTTTCCAGGGAGAACCGCGAAGAGGTCGACCTGGCTGGGTATATTGATAGCAATGAGATTCTTAGTTTCCATTACTAACAATCCCTTTACCCCCAGACCATTTAGGTTAGAACCTAAAATACGCTAGAGCGTGTGACTACGAAATCTCTGTACTAGGCAAGCGATGCAATGATAAAAAGTAGTTGTTACTGATAAGTTATTATTAGTATTCAATAATTAATATAAATAAATCAGACGCACATAGCTGAACGTGATTGTCAGCATTTGGTGATCGAACGCCCCCAACATTCGATAGCTATTCGCTGACAGACTCCCAAACACGTGTAACATACTATCGCGCTGATATTAATGTTTATTATTATATCTATATATATATATATATATATATATATATATATATATATATATATATATATATATATATATATATATATATATATATATATATATATATATATATATATATATATATATATATATATATATATATATAATAATAATAAGCCAGCCAACAAATAAAAAGAAAATAAATTTCTCTATAAAAACAAAAACCAAGGGATCTACCACGTAATGAAAATCCGAATTTTCGGCCTTAATTTTCTGTTTTCGTTTATATCAAAATCCGCCCAGTAAATGGAAGCTAATAACATTTAGTTCATCATATATTTTTTTATACAACTTAGAATGGCAAACAAGCTGACGGCCCACCTGATGGAAAGTGGTAACCGTCGCCTATAGACATGAATAGTACCGTGGACATGCATGTCACTCCAGAAAGTCCAGGGAGTCCATAGACTTCCGTCAGATCAGTAAAAGATTGTCTTATGGCCGAGTCAGTTATTCGTATGTTTACATTTTCATTAAGTTCTATCGAAACAGCAGTGTATAATATTATTTACTAGCTAAATCCCACAGCTTCTCACGTGTGACTTAATATATAAAGTATCCTATTTACTAAGTTAGGATATAACCTATCCGTGTACCAAATTTCATTCAAATTCGTTCAGTAGTTTTAACGTGAAAAAGTAACGAACACCTATTGCAACCATTCTTAAGAACTTTCGAAGTTACATATAACATTAATAGAATATAATGTTCCGTCAAGATTCAAGTTTTGTTTTTTTCTTTGTGGAGCATATCTGGTTTGTTTTATTACGCGATCTCTAAACGTACGAGAGATATCTTCAAATTGTTGAACAATATGATACAATCTTTAAATTTTTCCATTCCAGTTCCTCGGCTGTACACAAGTGGACCAGCCCAAAGGCATAGAGGTAGTGAAGGATGCGATAAAAAAACTACAATTCACACAACAACTCAAGAAATCAGAGACGAAAGATGCGGCCAAATGCAAGAAGGTCGAGATCACGATATCGGTCGACGGTGTTGCCATACAGGTGAGAAATTTTATTTTTTGCTTTTTGTTTGCTATGTTACGCGATTACAAAGCAAATTTTAAACAAATTTTTATATTTTTTTTTTGTAATCGATAGATATTTTAACATATTTATTTCGTGACAATTCAAATTGCCGTTTTCTTTTTTCGAATCAAAAACTATTTGTTGCGAACCAAACACATACATGTAAATACGCGATTCCGCGTTCTAAATTTAAATATTTTCAAAGTAATGTGTATGATACGTTACGGGGGGTGCATATATGTGTGTGTGTGTTCACGGTAGTTCATAACCAAAATTACGTTTTTTTTAACGATGCGGAGGTACTTCATACGCTTACGCATGTCATATTTGTCATCGAATTAATTTTGATTGCCTAAACATCTGCGTCATTAAGATAAAGACAATAAATAATTTGCAAAAATTCAATCGTAGAAAGAGAATAGTGTTCTTAATCTATTGATTCTATTTTTGAAAAGAGAAGCCCATACTTTTATATTTCTACGTAAAACGAAACAAATTGAATTAGGGCACTACTGCTATCAACACACTTTCCCTTTTTAACTATCACTCATTTACAATTCCATCGCGAATTGGTATACCCATTACCGCCATTTGACCGCCATACCGTATAACTTACACTTACGTAACTGTTATGTAGTTTAAAATTTAACCGCGTAGTAGATGTATTATGTTATGCATACTTTTTAACTAGTTTGTACAAATAATTCTTTTGCTTCATTTTAAAAAGAAGAAAAAAAAACACCAATTTATAGTCTATGGGTGTTGACGTTCGAAAATTAAATCAAATTGCCCAATAAAATTATTATTCAAATACGAAACAAGACTAATAATGGTCGTTTTTTTTTTTCTTAATTGTTACGTTTTCATCACACATACCTACTGGCCTAGTACCAACAGACATTAACCAATGTATACTTTAGAATTTAGATAACATTGAGAGCCGACATTTTGCTGTTCTGAATAAAACGCGGCGATTATTTGCTCAGTGGTACTGAATAAAACATTTAAACTGTATCTATGGTTAGTGGATAGTAACTTGGAAGATGTAATGTTAGGAAATGTAGACTACAGTGTTATACTCATCAAATTTATTTTCATGTAAAATTTCTTTAATATACCTATTTTAAGTGACAAAAGGGCGTAACGCCATTAATGCGCCAATTTTTAACTAAGTCACAATTCTTTTAATATTCGATAGAGTTTTTCCTATTTAGGTGTTAATCCTACATTAATTTTGTCAAGACTAAAGCTATTATTTTTCTTTCCGGAGCAAAAAACGCTTGTGGCGAAACAAAATGTACATGTAAACGCGCGATTCCGCTTTCTAATTTTAAATATTTTCAACGTTATACGCAGTAGCGTTCTAAATTCAAATATTTTAAATGTGAGCTACCTACAAAATATCTTGTTTAACGACGTGTATGTTTACGATTGAATTTTTTTTTTTTAAAGCGGAGTAATAGCAGTTATATTCGGTTTCGTTTGTTATATCAATAATTGTTTTTCTCATTTCAAATACCTACCAAAGACATGAAAGTCACTAATCTCGTACCACAACATAACATAACATGCTAATATTTGCCAATGTTACAGTTGAGCAAATACACACATGTTTAGAAATTTAAAGAACACGCTTAACGTATGCGTAAGAAGGCAAAGGGTCGCAGCCGTACTGCCCAAAACGTCATCAATTAGTTGCATAATAAAAAAAAATTATCTATGGATTTTATTATTTATTATTATTACAGGCGTTAACTATCCACTGCTGGATATAAGCCTTCTTCATTCCCTTGGAGTTTTGCCAGTAGTTGCCACGCTTGACAGGTTGGCAACCGCAGTTATTCTTCTGTACCCAGTAAATTCAAGCCAAGTTGTTTTTTTTTTATTCAAAATTTCGTCATTTATAAACTGAATTGAGAAATTCTGAAAGGATATATATTCAGATGGTTTCATCAAAGTCAATTAAAAACTTTGGATTTTAAATCAAAATAATCGGTTTTTATTTATTTATTTACTAGCTGTTGCCAGCGACTTCATCCGCGTTTCCGTCGTTTTTCGTAAAATAAGTAGCCTATGTCCTTCCTCACGGTTCAGTGGTTTTGATGTAACAGACACATTTCCCTTCACTGCTCTGCTCCTATTGATCGTAGCGTAATGAAAAGTATACTATAACCTGCCCAGGAGTATGAAGAATAATTGTACCAAGTTTCCTTAAAATCCGTCGAGTAGTTTTTGTTTCTATAATGAACATACAGACAGACAGACAAAAATTTTACCGATTGTATTTTTGGCTTCAGAGTCGATCACTAATCACCCCCTGATAGTTATTTTGGAAATATATTTCATGTACAGAATTGACCTCTCTACAGATTTATTATAAGTATAGATTTAACACTTTATTGCACCAACATAACAGGATTTGTTGAACAATTTTCATGGTTAAAGTCGATGTTTTTTTTTTTATGGAATGAAATCTGTTTGTTTACTGGCCATAATTTTGCCAAACTCAAATTACGGCCTGTAATTTTTTGGTAAATGGTTTTTTTTGTATAAAACTTACAACCCGGAGTAAACAATGCACTTATCAGGTCGACCTCCACGCGGCCCCCTGCGAACTACTGTGGTTTTTTTATACAATTTAGAATGGCAAACAAGCTGACGGCCCACCTGATGGAAAGTGGTAACCGTCGCCTATAGACATGAGCAGTACCATGGACATAACAGAGTATACTGTTTCGCCCATTATACTCCCCATGCCATTCCTGAGGGCTCAGATGTTATTCCTCCGTACCCAGTAAATTCACGCCATTTTCCACCCTTCAAACCGAAACACAGCCATGCAAACAACTGCTTTACGATTGAAATATGAATGGGACAGAGGTACCCAAGCAATCGACTTTTGTACAAAGTGTCCCTCTGTTGGTTAATTATTCTTAAATTCGTCACGAGACCAACTAACCTGTTTTTATTTTTACCCATCATCTATCTATCACTGGTGCCTCGCTAGCGTATACCAACAGCACAAGCAGGATTACCAACCCATTATTATCCATTAAAAAAAAAACATTAATTAAAAAAAAACAGTGGTTACGCTAGACCCAGTTACTAAAAAGCCCCTTCCTACGCCCTGTAATTCTTCAGATTTTCCTTACAGTATAATATGGAACATTTCAAAAAAACGTGCCTACAAACATTTAAAAGGCCAGCAATGTACAACCAACTCCCTTCGTGTTACAAGTGTACATAGGCGACGGTAGCCGCTTTCAATCAAGTAGACCTTCTGCTCATTTGCCTAAGTTTAAAAAAAAAAATCTGGATAACACTACTGGATCACGACACTTTTCCTCATGTTTCTCAGTAAACTAAAATCTCAGTAGACAGACATAGTTGGCATAACAATTTACACCATCATCAGACCTTAAAAATTTACAAAAGATATCTGAACGCAAAGTCATTTAATCATCCCGCAATAAACATAATTTCCAGTCATCACTAGCACAGTTTACAATATACCTAATTGACTTCCTGTAATTACAGAATTTGTATTATACTGTAAATGTGTATATTTTTTACTATTTACGTACATGATTTGCCCGTGTTATGATTGTATAGTGACATATTCGTGGCGTGACATTAAATTCCCGCTAATATTTTAGTGCCTCGAATTTAAATTTGAAAATAGAATGTCATCGTGACACAGCTACTGGCCACTTACAGATTGAAACTTTTTATAAGCGTACAACACAGATAAAGAATAATATCTACAAATAGAAATAGCTTAAAAATTCGAAGTGGCTAAATTCTGTTTTATAAGACTGTCTTGAAACAAATTAATTTAATGTCCAATTTACACAGAGCACTCAATTTTCTAATTAAATCTCATTCCAAATTAATAAAATTCCATGCATAAAAAATAACCAATATTTTTTTTTTCTTACCTATATGAAGTACCAGTTGATAAGCATTGTAAAGCAGGGGAAATCATAGTGTGGCATAAATAAAATACAGTACCTATTGTTTTTCTGTTTTTAAAAAAATACTTTAAATTTTCGAACCCATAAAGCTGTCAGAATCACATAATTCTGTATAAGTGGCGAGCAAATAGTAGTGTCTAGTAATGACTATAAAAATGACGTCATTCCATTGCTATTTCAATATGCATACGCTCATAGCATTTTATATATTATACATATGTATGACAAAAGCCTCTAGGGCCGAATTATCTATAAGATAGTGTAGGCAACTACCAGGGGGAGACTTTGTACAAAAGTCCTTAGCTTGGGCACCTCTGTACTATTCGTGTTTCTACCGTGAAGCAGTTGTGTTTACATGGCTGTGTTTCGGTTTGAAGGGTGGGATATGGCAGTGAATTAACAGGGTACAGAAGAATAACACCTGTGTCCTCAGGAATGGCAATGCATTGGAGGTATCATGGGCGAAACAGTATACTCTGTTATGTCCATGGTACTGCTCATGTCTATAGGCGACCACTTTTCATCAGTATGTTTGCCATTCTAAATTGTATAAAAAAACTAGACTTAAGGCCCATCGGTTAAGGACCCCGGGTTTTGATAATTTTTTCCGAGAACATTTCCCTCTTCACTTATGCGTCATCTACCCACTTCTATCTGTTCTCCATTAACTAAAGATTGTCTGTAAGAGATTGCCCTAGCGATAGCCTTTTGTACCTTTATGTTTATATTTTGATCTGTTATGTCCATGGTACTGCTCATGTCTATAGGCGACGGTTACCACTTTCCATCAGGTGGGCCGTCAGCTTGTTTGCCATTCTAAGTTGTATAAAAAAAAATTGATCTGTACTTTATCCTACTGTATTTTATTAAATTTTCCAATTGTTATTGTATATTTTTATGTTTTTAGTACAATAAATATTTCACTATATTTCGTAATACATATTAAATTATTATATAATAGGCAAATAAAGTTTTAATTTTGTAAGCGAGACGTGCATTACCTAATCGCCCCATCATGGTGGTTAATCCGGCCCTGAAAGTCTTTGATCTCTTGAAAATTTGTCTCGGTAACTGATTTTCTTCAAAGAATTTATTTTCATCATAGCCCTACTAATAAATAATAGGTACTGTCCATCCGTCTGTCCATACATGGCTAGTCAAGTGGCGTATAATTCCGGATTTGCCTGCAGAAACAACAATAGAGAGCGGCTCCATGCATCCACGACCTTGGCTGTGCATTGCGCCGTAAAAGTAGGGAGGGGTGAAGGCAGTGAATTGAAATAAAGCACTAGTTCAGCCTGCGGCTTTTACTGGTCTTAATTTAGGCATTTTTTATATAAATATTCTAATAAAACAAAAAATTTTGAACATCCCTCTAAATTACTGATGCCCATTAATTCCTCTCTTAACGTGAGATAAAATTTTATTTGAGAAATCAGTTCAGGGTACGATAGGTCTGTTATACCCAAAGAGGTAAAAGCCCTTAAAATAAAACAAAAAAAAAAGAGTTTGATAAATTGTATAAACTATTTTCAACCGACTTCAAAAAGAAAGAGGTTCTCAATTCAATTGTATTTTTTTTTATTTGTTATCACATAACTCCGTCCGTTTTAAACCAATTTAGAAATCTATTTTTTTTATCTGACGTATTAATTACTTACAGATTGGCCCCATAGATATTTTATTATAATCGATTCAGTTTTTCATTTTTTAAATTGAACCAACTAATTTTTCCACAATTAATTTTATTTTTATTCTTTTTTTTTTTGTGAAAAACAATTAAATTATTGTTTTATTTTTGTTTATCGCAACAACATGCAGTAACTATTGCACTAAATTGTATGCGGTTTTCACAATTATACTACACTTTATGTGGAGCTATGATTATTATGAATTAAGAACTACCAGACAATTATTTAGAATCTTCAGAGATAAATCATCATTATTATCATTATCATCGTCTTCCTACCCTTTTCCCATAAATTTTGGGATCGGCGTAATATGTTCTTATCCATATTAACCAAATTTTTGGCTTTTGGTTTTACGACCGGCCGCCTGCCTGACGTCATTAAATAAATAAATATGTAAACATTATACTAAAACCAATAGTAATTAATTTAATATGTTCTTTTCTTTCCAGGAGCCCAAGATCGAACAATATTATGTACCAATTCCCGCTCCACCGGATATCTTACTGCGCAGATGATAAAGGCGCGAAAAAATACTTCTCCTTCATCGCCAAAGGTGGCAGCACCGTCAACGGGGTCAACGGCCATGACAGTTCTGCCAATCTCGAGAAACACGAGTGTTTCGTCTTCATTTCGACTAAACTGGCCTCAGAAATTACATTAACTATTGGACAGGCATTCGATTTAGCTTACAGGTAAATTTTACAGTCTAATTTTTTCTTCTATGAATAGAAGCTAATAAAAAAAAAGTCGAAATAAAAGTGGAATAACCACTTGAATATCAATTGCTAATACTGAATCCACCAGAACTTGTGTTGCCATTTTAAGTTATATAATAATACCATCAGATCATTTTAGGAGTTCTGAGTCCACCCTTATAATTACTGCTAATAATACAAGTGTTGAATCCACCATCGGATTATTTTAGGAGTTCTGAGTCCACCCTTATAATTACTGGTAATAATACAAGTGTTGAATCCACCATCGGATTATTTAGGAGTTCTGAGTCCACCCTTATAGTTACTGCTAATAATACAAGTGTTAAATCCACCATCGGATCATTTTAGGAGTTCTGAGTCCACCCTTATAATTACTGCTAATAATACAAGTGTGGAATCCACCATCGGATCATTTTAGGAGTTCTGAGTCCACCCTTATAGTTACTGCTAATAATACAAGTAGTGAATCCACCATCGGATCATTTTAGGAGTTCTGAGTCCACTCTTTTAATTACTGCTAATAATACAAGTGTTGAATCCACCATTGTATCATTTTAGGAGTTCTGAGTCCACCCTTGTAATTATTGCTAATAATACAAGTAGTGAATCCGCCATCGGATCATTTTAGGAGTTCTGAGTCCACCCTTATAGTTACTGCTAATAATACAAGTGTTGGTGTGAAATAATAATAAAATAATAATATTAATTAATATAATAATATCTACACGCTGTTCTGCAGCAGTTGAATTCGTCCCCATTCAGCTGGTACTACAGCGTGCTGTTGCAACGCTGATTTTAAATAAAACCACTAACGTTGATACTTAGTAGCTTTACTGAAAATTTGCGCTTTACTAAAAATCAATATTAAAGTTATGCTTGTCTCTTAATTCCAGGCGATTCTTGAACGACAACGGCAAATACATTGAGATGCAGAAACTCAATTTGCAGAACAAGAAACTGGAGCTGCAAGTGAACGCGTACAAAAACCGCTTACAGGTAAGACTTCAATAAGGAAGAGATTCTCAATTTGGCCTTTATCTTTATGTATATTTTACGTGACATTGTTGCCAATTCTAAATAGCCTCTTAAACGTGGTACAGACGAGTCTATTGATAGAATCGTTTCCGTCAGCTCGCATGAGAAACGTTGAAATATAATTTAGTCTGTGAAATCTTTATCTAGTGTAAATTTATTATCTATGGCAACATAGCAAGCTTAGTGTATAGAAAATGTATACGGCCGTATAACCCCACCAAATTCAGATACAACCTGCTTGCATACTTTCCACATAAACTGTGTCGAATATATAATCTAGTAATGTAAAATTTGTCATTGACAAATAATTGACATATCAAACATTCTCTATACACTAGCCCACTATGAATTGAGAAAAATAGCAACTGATGGTGTATCTTTCGTCCTCTTTTTATTAATTATATTTGCATAAGAAGAAAGGAGGCAATCATATGATTTATTGATTTTATTTTATCATTCCTTCTATGTAATTTCTTGTTCTTAGTTGTTTGTTACTGTCATTGTCATGATATGTCAATTGTGACGTATCGAAAAGTCAAGTTAGCAATGAGTAACTAGCCAAACTTTTCATAACTCAACTATCCGGCTATTTATGATGTATTAGCCGGCTAAATAGCCAGCTATTCGACAATTCAGCTATTGTAAGAAAGACTCATTATGATCAAGTATCTGTCTGTCAGTAAGTCATTAATTCTATATTGTATTGATGTGAACATGTGATATTGTTGTTGTTAGTTCACACTGTCTACTTAGAAAAGTTTTTTTTTTTTATCAGCCTTTAACTGCTCGCTGCTGAACATTGCCTCATAACCTAAAGAAGTTAGAATATAGTATAAATAAATGGAGAATGTTGATTACTGTGAGAAGCAGAACATATAAATATAATACTTGCTATAAAAGATGCAGTTTATTATTTTATACTTTCACAAGAAAGAACAAGACAACGCACGTCGCCGTCTCATTCTATCTCTTATAGTATCACTAGCGGTAACGATTCTATCGATAGATTCGTTTTTACTTTTTCTAGAGATTATTTATAATTATATTTGCAATTGAATGAAATAACAATCTATTCTAATATGTTCTAGTATGTGTAGATTGTTAGTCCTCAACAAATTTCAAAAGAAGGAGATTCTCGATTCCGTTGTATTATTTTTTCAAATGTTTGTTACCTCATAACTCCGTCAGTTGTAAACCGATTTGGAAAATTCTTTTTTTATCTGAAATGATATACATATACTTACAGAATTTAGTTTTTACACAATTAAAGTCGGCTTCACTTTAATATAATGTACTGCTAACCTTTTCGCGCTGGGGGGAAAGGGATCGTTAGTAATGAGGTCTAATAGCCCCATTACTGGCAATATACCCTCTCAAGTCGACCTCCACGCGGTTCCCCCTGGAAACCATCGTGTTTAATTCTTCTCGAATTCATCATGGTGGGCCAACTAACCTGCATTCATTCTCACCTATCATCTTCCACTGGTGCCTCGTCGGTGTATACCGATAGCGCGGGCGGGGTTACCAATCCATTTTCACCTATTAAATAAAAACCATTTCACGCTGTATACACATTTTTCATTCACAATCGTCATTATATAAGCTGGTAGCTGTCCACTGCTGGCCATAGGCCTCCCCCATAAAGAGGAGTTTTACATGTAGTTCCCACGCATAGCAGCCGGGTTAACAATCGCAGTTAGGCTTTGGTGATGTTTTAAGAAGTACGCTGCTGCCCATCCTTCGACCATTAATATAATTCCTTAGTTGCCTCTTACGACACCCACGGGAAAGGAAAGGGTAAATAATTGTGGATTATAGGCCAGATTAAGTTATTACATCAGTTAAATAGTATCTCCGTGTCCTGCTATATAAGTGTACAATATATTATATAAAATAATTACATACATACAGAGTGGCCCATTCTATGCCGAAACCAGGCGGTCATGGAAATAATTTAATGTTATTGCAGGAGTTATCAAAGATAACGTACAAGGACGACCTGTCAGCATATCTGGCGAGGAACAACCTCTCGGAGATCGCCGAATTCAAACCGCCCCCAGAGCTGGAGAGGCAGATCTCTACCCTAACGCTGGCCAACGGTTTCAGCGCCATGAATGGGAACAAGACGCCTGAAATATGTGAGTATCCGTCCTGGAGGTTAATTATAAGCGCTTGAGGAAAAGGGATTAGTATTTATGGAGACTATCGACCCCATTGCTAGCAATAGAGTATATTGCTCGTCGGATCGACCTCCACGCGGTTCCCATAGAAACCATCGTGGTTAGTTATTGATTAATACGTCACGATGGGCCAACTGACCTGCTTTCATCCTCACCAATCATTCGCCCGATAAAAAAGGACGAATTCTTATTTAGTTTGCATTTCTTTTTTATGTTTATTGCCGTATATTTCGTCAGTTATAAATTTTCAGATCCGTCCCATACGAATTTAATCAAAATAGTTTTTTAGTTTACTTTGTAAATGAAAATAACTGGTATTGCCACAATTAAAATTGTTTTTTGTAAAACACAACATTTAAGTATTCTAATATATTTTTTCCTATAAAATTCAAATTTTTAATAGCATCTTTTTAAGAATATTAATTTAGTTTTAGTTCATATCCAGAGAACTTTTTAAATAAACAATTAATAAACATTGAAAATTGTTAAATTGTTTTTGTAAATTTATACCTAATTGTAATGTTTCCATACTTGAGTAAGCAATTACCGAAGTGTGGCAACTTCAAGTACTAGACAAGTCACAGACATACTTAAATATTTATTTATAAAAAAGTCAATTTGAATCGTGCTGCCCTACAAATCACTACTAGAAGTATAAATTAATAACTAAAAAAAATCTATCGAGAATAATCAAGTAGAAAACTCAGAGTATAAATCTTTGGAATATGACTGGAAAGCATTTTAGCTTTTGACCGTGACCGTTTTAATTTCTTTTTGTTTTTATTACTTTCAGCCACAGACGCACTGTCCAACAACTCGACAGATACGTTCAATTCGAGCAACGACAATAATTTATTGCTTTCGACGCCTCCACCCACGCATAATGGAAAGAACAATTTTAATTCCGGGTATGTATTTACACATACAATAGAAATATATTTATTTATTTATTTAACACTTTATTGCACCAACATAACATGATTTGTTAAACAATTTTCAATACGTATAGTGTAGTACAAAAGGCGGCATTATTGCTAAGCAATCTCTTCCAGACAACCTTTGGGTAGAAAGAGTTAAAGCATAAGTAGGTAGGTGGCGCGTTAAAAGAAATAGATTTGTAAAAAATAATATCTGTGACAGCATAGTCATATACACATATATAAATAAACACATACATCCAAATATATACATATACATACATATATAAATATATATACATACATACACATATATATAATTATAGTTCCAGTCATCTACTACATACATTATAAATGCGCATAATGTATATAGCCTTGATACCTTGAAAGGTAAATTCATATTTTTTTTATACGACTTAGAATGGCAAACAAGCTGACGGCCCACCTGATGGAAAGTGGTAACCGTCGCCTATAGACATGAGCAGTACCATGGACATAACAGAGTATACTGTTTCGCCCATGATACCCCCCATGCCTTGCCATTCCTGAGGACTCAGGTGTTACTCCTCTGTACCCTGTAAACTCACTGCCATATACCACCCTTCAAACTGTAACAGCCATGCAAACACAACTGCTTCACGGTAGAAACACGAATGAGACAAAGGTACCCAAGCAAACGACTTTTATACAAAGTCTCCCTCTGGTGATAAATATGAAATGATAGAAGATGAAGTGAGTTTAAAATTATTACAAAAGTCACGTGGTACTATTTTGACACCTGTTTAATTGCCTTAAGCGATGTAAGTATGCAAATATTTACATTTTAAAACAAAAACGAAAAACAAAATTATGATTTAATTATAATACTATTCGTAATACAAATAAAACTTGATCTGTATATATTCACTATCTTTGCCTCAAATAGTTCTCTTAATGTGTTCAAAAACCGATTTTTATCAAAATGTAACGGTTAACTACGAAATTCCATAAAAAAAACCGTTAATAAAGCGAAATAATCCTAGTGACGGTGGTAGGCTCGCACTCTATCACGTTGCATTCTAACATGCTCGATGAAATGTGGACATCTTATAAACTTCACAAATGCAACACCTTTTCTACAATGTTTCTAGCAAATAAATTTCATTTCATTTCATTTCATTTCATTTCATTTCATTTCATTTCATTTCATTGGGCAGGTCGAGTAATGCTTTCGCTATAAAAGCAAAAGTCGACAGATACTTCTAAATATCGCATATGTGATTATTACTGTCTTTTTTATTCGATTTCATAATTATTTTTTTATTTAATAGATAAATTATTTTATCTCATTATTATTTTTTATTACAGTAAACTGTTGGGCGACCTGTCGTCAAGCAAGAACCCCGTAGTAGGCACCAAACTCGAAGGTTTACTCCTCAACTCTGACTCGGATAGTGGTAAGTTTAATGTAACTCATTTACCACAAATTTTAAATTTTGACTAAAATTTAAATAAATAAATATTCTTATAAATATGTATTAAAGTAATGGAATTAATGTTTTTTTTTCAAAACAGGAATTTATAGTTTAAGTTCTTAAATTGTTTATTGTATCTTTAAAAAAAATCAATATTTTGTTTCACTTTTTTTTTTTTGATGGATGAAAATGGTATGGTAACCCCGCCTGCGCTAACGGGATACGCTGGCGGAGCACCAGTGAAGGGTACTCGATGAGAATGAAAACAGGCCAGTTAGCCCATCATGATGAATACATCAGGAATTAACCATAATGGTTTCCAGGGGGAACCGCGAGGAGGTCGACCTGGTTGGATATATTGCTAGCAATGGGATTCTCAGTCTCCATTACTAACAATCCCTTTTCCCCCATTTAGTTTTACTTGTAAAATCTCTTAAGGAAGTCTTGAAAAAATGTTAATTATTTCGGCTCTATATGTTACCACAGTCTACAGAGTTTAAGTTCTTAAATTGTTTTATTGTATCTTTAAAAAAAACACTATACTTTGTTTCACTTATAAAATCTCTTAAGGATGTCTTAAAAGAACTATTTCGACTCTATATGTTACCACAGTCTAAAAAACCTACCAATACTACAATAAACATGTCTACACATAGCTATGCGTCTCGAATTAATAGAATCATTCGGGACAAACCAAGAATATTGTACCTACAGTTGTACCTTACACTGTGATATAACTGTGAGACGTTACATTATAAAACTCCATGCTTTACACACCGCAAACAACCGCTAACAACTTTCACTATGTCTTTATATACAATTAAGCCGTTTTCTCCCTAATTACAGACTTCGACCCGCGCGCTTACGAGTCTGAACCCGTGACTCGGTTCGTTGCACCCGTTGAGAACGCCACACCCACTCCGCCGCTGCGTTAGTATCTTTTAAATTTAAATATTAATTTACAATTTAAATATTAATTTACAATTTTAAATATAATTTACAATATCATATGAATAGGTTGGTGTATTTTTCTGTACAGTGGAGTATCAATAATTTCTGTTCTTATTCGAACATACTTTGTTAAATAAATATATCATTATCTTAAATGTTTCTAATTATATATATATATATATATATATATATATATATATATATATATATATATATATTTTTTTTTTTTTTTTTATTATAATTTTTCTATCAATTTCCAAAGACGAGGTGATTTTCAATATTAATGTACTTTTTTTGTTTAAAAATATTATGCCATATCTATTCTATAATATATATATAATTTAAAGTTTTCTCTTTTTTTTCTTGTATAATGAGCGAAACAGTATACTCTGTTATGTCCATGGTACTGCTCATGTCTATAGGCGACGGTTACCACTTTCCATCAGGTGGACCGCCAGCTTGTTTGCCATTCTAAGTTGTATAAAAAAATTATAACATCTTAATTTTTTCATTTACAGTAGCACCACCACCGAAGTCGTCGAAACGCCAGTCGCCACAACAAACCCAAGCCCAACCCCAGCCCCAACCCCAACCTCAACCCCAACATTCGACCCCCGTCGCAATAAACAGCGACATATTCGGTTCAACCCCATTCATGCCGCCCGCACCGCAATCTATGCCCCAAACGTCCCCGTTCGTCACAACAAAACCCAACTACGATATAAGCGACTTCAACCTCCAAACTTCAGTTTTCAACACCAACACGTCCTTCACGAACGGGTTATCCGGTTACGACCCGTTCGACACGGCGAAAACCGGTAACATCTTCGGCAACGGTTTCGGCAACACTTTCAACGGTTTCGGTAACCTCAGTGAAAAACAAACGGTCGAATTGGACAGCAGTTTCAATGGATTCCTAGATAAAACCATTTCGGAGATGAAGGTTCGTGTAAATTAATATACTTTCTACTATAATAAAATAGTTTGTATTGTTAATTAGTCCTATTGAGTTAGACACTTATCGAACATTCTGGAATTTAAAACATGACTAAACCGACATAGATTACATGCAATATATAGTACATTACTGCAGCGGCCAGCAACTGAGGCATTGATAGACGAACGTACAAATGTGGGCCGAGGCGTAGCCGAGGCACACATACGTGAGTCCATCATTGCCTAGTTGTGGCTAAGGCTTGTATAGTACTTTTCTCAAACAATGCGCGGAAATTAAAAAACACAATTTTACTTTTTAAGTTCAATGACGAATAAAGAACAATAATAATTTTTCACGCGCCATAATGTTCCTTTGTTTTTTTTTTCAATAAACAGCTTTCTATTTGCAAGCCAGTTCGACATTTAAATAAAACCTTTTATTAATTACCTCCTTGGGAGCCATGTTTCGAAGTATTCCATTTTTAAATTACAGGACAGATATGAGTTTACATAGTAATTTACCTGGCCGCAACACACGACAGATATGGATTTTCATTCAACTTTTGCCGGCCGCTGCCCTCATGTATCTGGCCAGTACGGCAATTTTGTTTTATCTCGAAGAAGATTGTCAAAATAATACTCACATTTCCAAGCATGTTTGAGAAAAAAAAATGGTCTGAATTACGCATTTATAGACCATGGCTGTTGTGATAACTATAATACCAGGTCTTTTTTAATGAGTAATAATGGAATGGTATACCCTCCACCACCGTTTAAATCTTTAGATACTAAAAACTTTATATTACTATACGAGTAGTTTAATATTTACTGTACGCTTTAAATGCTGTTTATTATATATGTTTTATTATTTTTAACAGCTTGACGATGGGTAAGTCGTGTTAAGATTGAAAGATTTAAATGTTTTTGTCTGGCCTTTCGTTTTGGAAGGACGTCCTGAACGTGGGTTTTGAACGCTTTCTCGGCCCTCTCTGAATCTTTTTTTTCACAGCATCATCCCCATAAACTGTTCTGAGATCGGCAAAAATTTTTTAACGGGGTTTCGTTTAAAAATATTAATGGGCGCATAAGGAAGGGGTCCTGCGCTTCGCCTACTTTTCCAGATTTTCCGGACAGACCTCGTAGTTTAATATTTACTGTACGCTTTAAATGCTGTTTATTATATATGTTTTATTATTTTTAACAGCTTGACGATGGGTAAGTCGTGTTAAGATTGAAAGATTTAAATGTTTTTGTTTTTTTTTTATCATTTTAAACGCTGTTTTTTTTTTAATTAAAATATTAATGGGCGCAGGAATTCGCTACTTTTGATTTTAGTGTTTAATTTACCATGTGTGACGTGATTTTTTTTTTGTGTTATTAAACTTATGAAAAGACCTTTATATAAAATATTATTTATTTTTTTTTTTATTAATAACTAGCTTTTTGTCCACTACTTTGTATCTCATATACAGATAACGTTTGATTACAATTTTGTTATATTAGCAAGTGCAATAAAAACTTTTCATGACACCTTGTCTCTTCTGTCAAGTAGGTATGATGATTCCCCGGCTTATGCTTGCTATATGTAAGGTTTAAGAGTTTTTTTTTTTTTTAACCAAAACCTGTTATTAATAAAAAAAAAATACCAATTAAAAATAACGTATGAAACTAACTTTAAGTCATGTTTTTTCTTCTTGTTCCCAGGATGGTTTTAGCCGAGGGATCAGCTTTGGAAACGATGATTTTTCAATAGACAACCTCGATCCCCTGAAGAAGAATTAAGGAAAAGTTTATTTTCACGAGAAATAAATAAAAATTAGGTAATTTAGTTGATAAACATAGTTGAATCTCGACTCGATTCACACGGCATAGAATTAAATGCAATAAAATATTATGATGAGAAACGGAATTACGATTTTAATTATGATAATTTTTAGTTTTTAAGTAGTCGTGTGGAGAGAGCTGATATTTTATAGTTATGTGTTGCCATGTTATTGGTTACAGTTATATAGTATTCGACAAATTCGTGATAATAGTTATTATTATGTTTTTTTTTTTTCTACATAAAAAAAATAAATATTTCTTCAACTTTTTTATCTTCTACGAATCTCAATAATAACCAGTAATGTGACAAAACATTTCTATTTAAAAACATATTGTTATTGAAAAAAAAAAAAGTAAATGAATTGTCAGTGATAATATTGTTAATATTATCACACTACTATGTATTATGCTCAATGTCATTCCAAAAGTGCCTTATTTATAATAAATATCAAACCAACAATAAAAAAAAAGAATCATTTATTATGACTTGTCTTATTATAAGGTTATTTTTAATGTATAATCAAAATTTACAATGCATGTTTCATGTTTAGATTTTAAGACATTTAATATGAATTTGAATAACAACTGTAGAAACGAGGACCAAAATTTACCAGTTGAGAAAAATTTGAAGATCGCCTCAAATTTATTCTGTGATAATTCTCTTAACGTTGAGGGACTTCAAATAGCTTTTTTTTTATTAAGCAACTAACTAAAAGAAAAAAAAAACGTCCAAAAACGACTGATAAACAAAAGCATCGCTTTTTTACTGGGTGTATATAAATATTTTAGGGTCGTATTAATGTATACAATTATATTTTAACCAGCGGATGGCATTGTAGCTATAAGGGTCAACATTCCATGAACATATTTTACGATGATAACTATTTTATTACTATTTTGTATAAAGTGTAAAAATAGCAGTAAGTAAATTAATAACAAATGTAAATTATAAAGATAAAAATGTTTCTATTATGAACGTTTTTTTTTTTAATTTAAATTTTTAACAACCATAGAGTTTACTATCACGAAATGTCAATTATATAATTGTATTTTAAATATTAAAAATTCTTCTAAAAACGTTTATTAAAACTTTAAATCTGCTGTTTTTTCACTTTGTATATCGATTACTTTAGTTGTGTATACTATATTTCGTAATTATCTGTTGTATCCAATGTCACATTAGTGGAATATTGTTTTAGTATTTGTATACACTAATGTTACGTTAAGGCCAAAAGATATACATAATTGTGTATTTTTCGTAATAAAAATCTATGTTTCTAATTTGTTGTTTCATTTATATTGTGTATTCAATCACAAATATCAAATAATGTAGGGGTTTTTAAGAAACTATTATGTTATGCCTTCCAAATATTATCTGTGTGTTTAATTTAGTTACATTACCATTAACAGCTCAACAAATATCATGTGTTATCCCAAAATTGGAATTTACATTATCATCGCTAACCACATCAACATAATTATTAAAGTTTACTTAAATAGTTGCTGCTGAAAATAAAAAAAATATATATAATTGCACATTTGCAATAAATATGAAACGCTACTTCTTAGTTCTATATCGTAGTTACTGTACTCTTACTTAATGATATACTTAATACTTTATGAATATTAGCGAATTAAAGAATATCTCTTATAAGTACATCCCTAGAGCGACGTATGTCGACTAAGCAGCACAGTTTGCTTAATATTTGTGTATATAAATCAGTTCGTTATAGCACAGAAAGCAAAGAAAAATTTAATTCACATCGATAGAATTTTTATAATTGTTTTTAGGTTTTGACAACAATCAATAATATTAGTTAAAAAAAAAACAATGTTAACAACTAACAAATAGTTTTTAATAGTTGCCGTAAGTGGCATGCGTGTATGGATATGAGTGGGTTATACTATGTCTATAAAATGAATAAATAAATTAATGCGAAGCAAGAGAGGTCTATTTGAATGTACATTTGGCGTCCTATTATTTCTGTTTACCTCAATTGGAGACAGGTGTAACGGATGTATATGTAAATAGGTACACTCATTATATTATTATTTGCAAAATAAGCAATCTAAATAAATCAATTATCATAAGTTATTTAAAGTTTTGAAACCGAAATATATGAAACAAGATGTACATCACTATTGAAACAAAATCCCATAGAAAAAGCATATACTATCCTTAATCTATGAAAAGCCATAGTGGGTTCTGTCAATCAAATGACTGACATTTTGGTGTCACGTTCGCGTCATGCCATTCTACTCCTCAGTTCGTCGACTCGATATCATAATTTTATCTTGTGTATTTCGTGTTTCTACCAATTCGCCGCGAAAAATTGTTTCTAGAAACTAAATAATGCTCTTATATATGATTTGAATAAATAAGAAATCTTACCATACCAGTATTAGAAGGTAATCTCTCAGTATTAAGCGAAAATGGTCGACTTAAGCGGCGGTCAAGACGGTCCACTGGAGCATGCATTTTCTAACAGTGTTTTCATAGTTCCTGGCATTATTGTCATCAGTTTAACCGGTAATGAGATATTTTTTTTTCATATTTTCATAGTAGATATTACCTATTACAAGTAGTTTCCCCGCATGGAAGTTATTTTCTAATTCTTTCCACTTTTCGTAAGTATTATAAATATTTTTTTTGTATAAAATACCTACATACACCTATAAATAATTTACCAAAATTCAACTTTGTTGCATGAGAATTTTTTAACTAACTTTAAAAAAAGCGGAGATTATTAAGTAACCTGTATTTTATTATATAGAATTATTGCATAGGTAAGTATGCAATATTTTTGCCAATTATGTATTAATTTCAATAACTCTCTTTTCAATAGATAGATTTTATATCCCCTTATTGGTTTTCTAATTTCACCACAATTCTCTAAATAATTTTTGTTTTTTTTTATGCAACTTTGAATGGCAAACAATCTGATGACCCACCTGATGGAAAATGGTAACTGTCGCCTATAGACATAAACAGTACCATGGACATAACAGAGTATACTGTTTTGCCCATGATATCCCCCATGAATTGCCATTCTTAAAGACACAGGTGTTATTCCTCTGTACTCTGTAAATTCACTGCCATATCCCACCCTTCAAACCGAAACACAGCCATGCAAACAACTGCTTCACGGTTGAAACAAGAATAGGACAGAGGTGCCCAAGCAAACGACTTTCATACAAAGTCTCCCTCTTGTAGCTATATGAAATTACAATTAATATACTCATTAATTGTCTTAAAATATCAACATAATTATACTTCTAAGCTTTTTTATATATTGTTTTATTACTTAATAGCTTTTACCTGCAACATTGTATATCCTGGGATGTGGTCACAGTTCAACAATAGCCTATGTCTTTCTCCATCCCATAGTAAATATATACCAAGCTTCATAGAGGTTATAACGCCATTAAACAGTTCAGAAATAATAAACAAAAAAATTCACTTTCACATTTATAATATTAGTAAGGATGTAATTCTTAACATTTAAACATAATCTATTTTGTTTTGTGTTATTCTAAATAATGAAAAACCCAAAAACCTTATACAGTGCAAGTTGATATGTTGTATTACACAAGGGGTACCCAAACTTATTTTGTCTATCACCCACTTTGAGAATAAATTATTTTTTAGCGCCCCCATTTTTTCACCTACTTAAAAACCACTATTACTTCAAGATCAACAAATCACCCTCCATGCCTCTACACAACACCCCCATTTTTTTCTTGGTCTCTTACCATATGGGTACCTTACCCCCCTTTAGGTCTGCAATGCCCACAAGGGTATGTTATCGCCCACTTTGGGAAAGACTGTGTTACACGAAGCAATAACTGCTGTTTCATAAAGGCTAAGAGATTGTTAGTAACATGAACTAACAGGTTTATTGTTGGCAATAGATTGATCCCCATACAGTACCCCATAGAAACCATATAAAGACAATGATATTTTTATGCTACAAAATACTAATTATCCATATTTGTGGGTACCAGTGTTTTTCAATCTTTCTCATGATGCGACCCCCTTATTATGTAAAAATATCTTGCGACCCCCTACCCTCCACGATTTCAAATGTGAATTAATTTTATTATAGTACAATTATGAAATCTGTAACTAGTTGTATTTATATTCATAGTTAGGTATCGATAAAATAAAATAAATAATACATAATAAAGTATCTAAAAGAGACATGTAATCAATGTCTTTTATAGATACTTCATTATGTATTATTGATTGATTGATTTATTTACGGAACTGTTGATTTTTCACTACTCCGCGACCCCCTTTTGGAGGCTCGGGGACCCCCCCCCCCCAAGGGGTCGCGTCCTACACTTTGAAAAACACTGTTTTTAACAATTCACTACATCACTAATTATTAGTGCCTTTAAATCCCAAACCAAACAAAACTTTTGCTATGAGCACTAACCACAGTCAATAGCTAAAATAGATTTATGAAGAAATTTGACGTTTTTTATTATTATGGTGGTCACAGCCATGTTGCTTCATCACAAAAATATGGTACAGAGATACCATGTTGGTCATGTGGTTCAGTATAGGGATTAATATCAAGATTGAGGGGGGGGGGAAGGGATTGTTAGTAATGGAGTGGTTAGTCCATATTGCTATCAATATACCCCCTCAGGTCGCCCTCCACGCCGTTCTAGAAACCATCTTGATTAATTTATCGTTGTATTCATCACGATGGGCTAACTGACCTGCCTTTTCATCCTCACCAATCATCCCTCACTGGTACCCCGCCAGTGTATACTAATAGCGCAGGCGAGGTTACCATTTATTTGTTATCCATTAAAAAAAAATCTGAATTGGGGGGAAGGGTTTGTTAGTAATGTGGACTACCAGTCACATTGCTAGCAATATACCTTATCAGGTCGACCTTCACGTGGTCCCCTATGGAAAACATCGTGTTGAATTCCAGGTGTATTCATCATGATGGGCTAATTGACCTTGCCTTTTCGTTCTCATCTGTCATCATTCATTGGTGCCCCGTCAGTGTATACTGTTTGTTCAAGTGGGATTATCACTCCATTTTTTTATTTTATTTCAACAGTTGTCCACTGTTGGGCATAAGCCTTCCCCATAAGGGGAGTTTTGCCAGTAGTTGCCACTCTTAGCAGGAGAGTTGGCAACCGCAGTTAGTCTTTTAAAGATGTTTTAAGAGGGACGCTGCTACCCATCGCATGTTCTCCCTTAGTCGCCTCTTACGACACCCACGGGAAAGAAAGGGGTGGCCCATTCTATGCCGGGACCACACGGCGATATCACTTCATGGTCATCCCTTAAAAAAAATCAAGATTCTCTTCTTGTGCAATGTATTTTATTTCCCTGGCCACCTCTTTTATCTTATGTCCTGTGCTTAACAAGGTGACACTGTATAATCGTGTCGAAAATATGCCTTGTTTATCCAATTGGCTATTATTTTTTTTTTATAATAATATTGTACTTATTCAATTACTAAACACTTGTGATAATAAAAGGAAATACTTAATATTCGTATGGTACAAAATATAAACTGAGGCGAATTCGCATTTATCAATTTATTTATTTTTACATGTGACAGTTACCACTTTCCATCAGATGGGCCGTCAGTTTGTCTACTATTCTAAGTAGAATTTAAAAAAAATAGCAGATGAGAATCTATGCCACATTTTTTAACTGATTTCAAAATGAAGGCTCAAATCGGTTGTATGTTTCTTATTTTTGTTACCTCGTGACTTCGTCATTTGTAAACCGAGTTGAAAAATTAATTTCTTACCTGAAAGGATATACTTTCATTCCTTATATCATTTCAAAGATTGATTCCATAGAAATTTTATCAAAATTATTTCAATAGTTTAGTTTTTATATCAATATTTAGCTTTTATCACAATTGAAGTAAATTTTTTTGTCACAGTCTAAATTATTGTTTTATTTATTCTGTACTTTTGTGAACTCTTTCTATCTCTTATTATAAAGTCGTTTTTACCTATAACTTCGTATGCGTGGGTTTGTAAATAACGTGTCTGAATAAAACATACATCTTAATATAAAAATATTGGGGGAAAAGGGATTATTAGCAATGCAGTTCGACAGCCCCATTGCTAGCAATATGCTTTATTAGGTCGACCTCCACGTGGTTCCCCCTGGAAACCATCGTGAACAATTCTTGTTGAATTCGTCACGATGGGCTAACTAACCTACTTCATACTCACCTATCATCCTTCACTGGTGCCCTGCCAGTGTATACCGATAGTTCGAGTGGGGTTACCATTCCATTATCATCCATTAAAAAAAAATATATATATATATATATATATATATATATATATATATATATATATATATATATATATATATATATATATATATATATATATATATATATATAAACCCAACCCTACACTCTATATATTATCATCTAAACGTTATAAAAATCATATTCAAGTAAGATATGTAAGTATAATAATTTTACTAATTTTATTTCAAATTAATTAGTAATATGTGGTGTAAATTAGACTCATAAATCGCCATCATTTTTTATCTTAGACCATACACTGAACTACAACGTGTAAGTCCACGTTGGACGTCGTGTAATTATTATCTTGTATGCGCGATAACAAATCACTCGGAAACGATATTCTTTTAAAAAAATAAATAAAAAAAAAAATATTAGAAACATTACAACGTTTAGAACAAATCAAATTTCGAACACACGAAACGGTTAGAGTTCCATTTCCAAAATGTCCGAAGCGGAGAGGGCTATAGAAGACATCTTGAAGTCTGACGACCCGGTGACGGCTAAAAGGAAACTTCTAGAAGTGCTCCAATCAGGAAATTTGACCGATGACCTCAAAGAGAGATTGAAAACTCTATTGTACGGCACATCGCCCCTATTCGGTGACTACGACGGTGTTACAGGGACACTGCTGGCGCTCGGATTTGCCGTTTTGATATTTTCTGTATTACGTGAGTAGTTTTAAGGCACTCATTTGCTACAGATGGCGCTGTTCGTCTATTTTTTAAACGATTTTAAAAGAAGAACGTTCTCAATTCGGTTGTATTTTTTTTTATGTTTGTCACCTCATAACTTCGTCAGTTGTAAACCGATTCGGAAGCTCCTTTTTTCATCTGAAAGGACATACTTACAGATTGGTCTTGTAGAAATTTTATCAAAGTCGATTCAGTAGTTTAGTTTTTAAATCAAAGTAACTGGTTTTGTCACAATTGAAGTCGCATTCTGTGAGGCACAGTCTTATATATAGAAATGCATTCCATTTTAAATAAATAGACCAATGACGTCATAATGTATTTCTTTTTTCTGTACTCTGTATGTATCTATATTTGTTCCGGCACCATAAAAAAATACTACACCAAATTGAATGCTGTTTTCACGAGTATTATATATATATATATATATATATATATACATACTATTCTATGTCTCAGGTATTGTATGTTTCCCTTTTAAAGTAAAATAAAAACTCTCTTCTTCTAGACACGTGATCTAGAAGTGGCCCATTTTATTGGTTTTCTTACGTCTAAAATGTCTGAAATCCACGCGGACGAAGTAGCGGGCTGAAAGTTAGTTCAAAATAAAATTAAACAATCAGTCATAAGCGCTAAAAATTCACAAGCAGCATCCGTTCTCGAGTATGACATATGAATCAAACATCATATATAAATATATATTTATTAATGGGTTATAATGGAATGATAACCCCACCTGCGCTATCGGTATACGCGGGCGGGGTACCAGTCACGGATGGTAGGCGAGAATGAAAAGGCAGGTCAGTTAGCCTATCGTGATGAAAACACCTGGAATTCAACACGGGGGTTTCCAGAGGAAGCCACGCGGAGGTCGACCTGACAGAGTATACTGCTAGCAATGGGAGTGGTAGTCCGCATTACTAACAATTAATGAGTTATAATAGAATGGTAACCTCGCCTGCGCTAACGGTATTTGCTGGCGATGCATCAGTCAGGGATGATAGGGGAGGACGGAAAGGCAGGTCAGTTAGTCCATCGTGATGAATACACCTGGAATTCAGCACGATGGTTTCCAGGGGGGACCACTTGAAAGATACTTGTAGAAGTCCCATATGCAGGACGTGAACAATCCCGAGCAATGCCGGGCTTCATCGCTAGTAATACATATAAGTACTATTTAGGTCATTTCGCATTATCGGACAGAGCGATATAATTTCACTAGTATGTACATACAATTGGCACGTCCACTGAGAATTACGTAAATTTTGTGATAAAAGAAATACTCGGCGTTGAATACGTATGGCAATAACGATTGTCTTTCTATATAAATATTAGTAGGATTCCTTGGGTATTCTCGCAGGAATTAAGAAAAAAGTATAAATTGTCTACGAGTATGATCACATGGCGCGCACCTCCAAAATCTAAAAAAAAAAATACAAATATTGGAGTTTATACTTACAAGTTTTGAAAACTTTGTACCATAATTGTAAAATAATAATGTAATACAAATTCTACTATTTTTGAAATGAAAAATTTACACTTTTTTTATGTATTTTGCTTTTTTTTTTTTTTTTTAAATGAACTCTTTTATCTCTCTTTTTACTGTGTATGTCTATCTATGTCTGTAGTTATTTGTGTGCTGTAATGCAAATATTTATCTATTTCGATTACTAAATAAATCTAAACAGTAAATAGAATTAAGTGTATTTTTTTTATACAACTTAGAATGGCAGCGGGGAAAGGGATTGTTAGTAATGGAGACTAAGAATCCCATTGCTAGCAATATACCCAACCAGGTCGACCTCCTCGCGGTTCTCCCTGGAAACTATCATGGTTAATTCCTGATGAATTCACTGGCCTATTTTCATTCTTATCTATCATCCTTCACTGGTACTCCGCCAGCGTATCCCGTTAGCGCAAGCGGGGTTACCATTCCATTTTCACCGATAAAAAAAAAACTTAGAATGGCAAACATTTTGTTTTTATAACAAAATGTTATATAAATAAAATGTGTATATTTTATTAATAAAATACGTTGACGTGCAATTGCTAGATAGAAATAAAGATGTCGGCCCCATCCCTCTTCTTATTCATAAAAACTAAAACCTATTATAATTATTGAACTAGTTTGTCACTGTGGCAGGATCTGCGTTTCAAGACTTGGGCTTCCATCACAATTATAAAGATTAGCTTGGTATTTATCTTTTGTTAATAGGCGTGAATTTTTTATACCTTTTTACGCCATCTATTGTCAAGTAGAGTTACAATTCTGTTGCTTGTTGTTGGATGATTTTGAAAAAAATGACATTTTGTCATTTTTTTTTTTACAACAATTTTTCAACCCTTTGTGGATTATGTTTTATAACTTTATACAGGTTATATGTTTCATAGTATTTTAAATTAAACGTCATATTTGTGGAATTTTTATTACAATCAGTCCGGTTGTTTTCACATGAAACGATAACATACAAGCTGACAAAGCGATAAACATACAAGCAGAGTAAAAATATAACAATACAACAAATATAATAGACTTTTGCCTACGTTGTTACCGTTCGATTTTATTATCTATCTATCTATCCTATAGATAGATCAGACAGGTAACTCTGGCTGGTGTACCACGGTGTGGAAGGCAAATGGGGAAACCACCGCACAAACTTCCCTAACAAATAGATTTTATTATAATTGTTATAATTCTGTAAAAATAGAATAATGTGACGGCATGAAAAATCCAATATGGCGGACGGGCCGCGAGAAATTAAACCGTTATCTATATTCATTTGCTATCGTATTAAAGTACACGTAATTGGAACACTGTAATGGCAACAAATCAGTGTATTTTCAAATACATAGTAGTTTATCTCTAGGTGTCCACACATACTGTGGTGAGTTGTTTTTATAATTAAATAAATAAATATATAATTAATTGAATAACGAATCGATTCTGATGCATTATTTACCTCTAAATGTGTCTCTGAAACTTAAATTTTATTTATGTATTCTTTTATAAAGAAATCTTTCTAAATACTATGTCAATTTATTAGAAACTTAATTGATTAAATTTATTTATGTTATAAATGATGCGGACTTGCTCCATTCCAATTTGGGTGTTGCTGGAAGAGAACTCTTGTAGAGTTAAACTCACCTTTCTACATTTGCTTACCTCTGTCATATTTCTTTATATATTATTATATGTACGATAAAGCATAAGTAAAGTGGAATAAATAATTATATGCTTTTATTTTTATTTTTTTCTAAAGTTTCATGGTTTTAAAGATAGATTTAGAGGCATGTCTCTAAAGAATCGATCGTTAGTGATTTTTTTTTTAATAAATTCAAATGGAATTCTAATGAAATTTAACCGACTTACAAAAGGGGAATTTCTAAAATCATTATATTTTTTTTTCTTTTACGATTCTTTAATTATTTTTATTTTTTATTATATTTATATACCTTCCTCCTTCAAAAAAAGAATGCAGTTGTTTTTAATATTTGTTACCTCATAACTCCGTCAGTTGTATACCGGTTTGAAAGATGCTTTTTTTATCTGAAAGGATATAAAATTAAAATAAATTAATAAAATTGATTAATTAATTAAAATTAAATTATCGCAATGACTGTAAACTATGGGTATATACCTGAAGTAAATCTATTGTGTTAAACCTGAAATAAAAATATTAACTATTTATTATATTTACAGAGAAATTTTATCACAATCGGTTCAGTGATTTATTTTTAATACCAAAACTTTGCCGCAATTGAAGTATTTTTTTGTGGAACAAGATCTTTTTATTATGTAAAAATGCTGACCATTTTCGTTTTCTTTTTTATCTTAATATTGTTTTTTTAATATGAGTAGGTACATAACAATATTATTGTTTCTGTCTGTATGTAAGATAACTGGTATAGTCAATGACACAGGAGACGTGAGGTTTTTAACCCTGAAACAATAAATCATCATCGTCATATCAGCGTTTAGCTGTCCACTGCTGACCATAAGCCTCCCCTTTAGGGGGTTTTGTGAGTAGTTGCCACACTTGGCAGGCGGGTTGGCAACCGCAATTAGGATTTCGAGATGTATTAGAGGGACGCTGCTGCCAATCCCCTCACAATTAAGTTTCCTAAGTCAACTCTTACGGCACCCATGGGAAAGGAAGTGATGATCTATTCTATGCCGGAACCACATTTTTCTATGCAATTTAGAATGGCAAACAAACTGACGGCCCACCTGATGGAAAGTGGTAACCGTCGCCTATAGACATGAGCAGTACCATGGACATAACAGAGTATACTGTTTCGCCCATGATACCCCCCACGCGTTGCCATTACTGAGGACTCAAGTGTTATTCCTCTGTACCCAGTAAATTCACGCCATATCCCACCCTTCGAACCGAAACACAGTCATGCAAACACAACTGCTTCACGGTAGAAACACGAATGGGACAGTGGTGCCCAAGTAAACGACTTTATATTTATTTGCATTACTTACAGCACACAATATCAGCTGAGACGATGTTGACCTAAAATACATGACGTGTTCATGAATCCATTCGCGTAACAAGTACACGTACTGTTTTTAATTATCTAGTGATTATAAAAAAAAAACAATAGAATCATACATTATTGAATTCAAATCTATTTTCTTGATGATAATGATAAAAATTGCTTGGCACGATTAACTATATCTGAGATTCGAATTGATAAGAGTGATCTATCGTAACAGTTCGTAAGTATAGATTTGTTATTGTTTTATCTATATATATTTTTAGTTAAGTAATGAATGGGCATAGATAATAGTATAAGTCTTTATTAAAGAAATAACATAATATAGGTATATATTTATATATATACTAGCTGACTCGGCAAACGTTGTTTTACCATATACATTATTTCTAGAACTATACATGAAAATTTATCGTACTACAATTATTATATTCGATTGTCATCTTGTAACCTCATTGCGGCATATAAAAATTGCGATTAAAAAACAGGGGTTGATCGTAAAAGCGTGAAAATTTTAATTTGTGTGTATTTTTCAATGTTACATCATAATAAAATAAAAATAAATTGTCAAAAAAATAAACAAATATATTTAGGGGTGGATATAGGATGATAAGGGTATCATTGAGGGGTATGAAAAATAGATGTTGGCCGATTCTCAGACCTACCCGATATGCACACAAAATTTCATAAAAATCAGTAAAGCCGTTTCGGAGGAGTTTGGTAACAAACACCGTGACACGAGAATTTTATATATTAGATATATGTGTATTTATACGATTAAATATAATTAATATAGTTTTGTCTAGTTTGTTTAAATATTGTCACAATATTGTACGCCGCTCTACCCGCTGACATTGTTGCTCCTTTCCACGTTGAGTGTTGCTGGAGGAGAACTCTATTAGAGTTAAGCTCGCCTTTGTACATTTGATTACCTCTGCCATATTCTTATAACTGGTGTGTACAATAAAGAATTAAATAAATAAATAAATAATAAACAATTCAATATAATTAATATTCAATCGGTAACTATTCTGTCACCCCTCTCTTGTCGAAAGACAAAGGCCTCCTCCAGAGTCTTCTATTCTATTCTGTTTTTGGCTATCCTTGTCCAGAGTGCACCTGCTACTGCTTTTATATGTCTTTTTATACAACTTAGAATGGCAAACAAGCTGACGGCCCACCTGATGGAAAGTGGTAACCGTCGCCTATAGACATGAGCAGTACCATGCACATAACAGAGTATACTGTTTCGCTCATGATACCCCCCATGCGTTGCCACTCCTGTGGACTCGAGAATGTCTGTAACCTATCGTGTCAATGGTGTTCCCTGTCTTCTTTGACCTGTTCTAGGGTACCAGTCTGTTACAGTTGTTGTCAATTTTTGTGTTGTTTTTTTCTACCATTATATTAATTATTTTATTTACACACATACACTAAACAAACTTTTCATTTAAATGTTATCATTAGTTAAATACAATCGCTCTTTAAGAAAAATCATATAAATTATACATATTACATCTGACAAAACAACATAATAATGAAGTTTACACAATTATATAATGACATTACTATTTTACTTTGAAATAAGAATAAAAAGAAAAACTTATGAAAAAAAAAAACAAAATGTATGTAGCAGTGTTTGTGCAAAGGACAAATGCCCTGCCCATCTCCATTGTAATTTTTTTATTGTATAGATAACGTTTTTGAATTTTGTTTTCTCTCTAATGTCGACTAATTTAACCCTATTCTTTATTTTTTACATATACTACATAGGACATAGATAAAGTAAAAAAAAAAACAAATACTTATGCTATTATATAAATGTATATAATAGGCTGTGTGGTCCCGGCATAGAATAGGCAACACCTCCCTTTCCCGTGGGCGTCGTTAGGCAACTACAGCATGGGGTTCTTCAAGGGGGGTAGGGTTTCTTCAGGGTTGGTATCGCGCGCGTAGTACCTCTGGTATTGCAGGCGTTCATAGGCTACGGTAACCACTTACTTGGTGGGACGTATGCTTGATTATCACCTCAGTGGTATAAAAAAAGGGCGAGGGATGGGCAGCAGCGTCCCTCTTAGGACATCTCCAAAACCTAACTGCGGTTGCTAATCCACTTGCCAAGTGTAGCAACTGCTGACGAAACCCCTCTAAGGGGAAGGCTTATGTCCAGCAGTGGACAGTTAAAGGCTGATATGTTGATAATGGTATAATACAAATGTTTATATGGGTCCTTATATTCATATATATTCATTAATTTAGTAAATAGGTGGACAGTATAAAGAATCATAAAAGATAATGTAACTATAAAATTTTAAAAGAAATATATTGCGTAAAATTGTAACCTCCCTTTTTCAAGTCGGTTAGATGTCCTATATCGCGCGTTGCACACATGCGCTCGTGTAACTGTGTAATTTTATTACATTACGTCTTAGCGTCAAATAGTGTCAATGCATGTTTGAAACGGTAGCGCCTGGATCATATGCCTCAGGATGAAACATCGCATTTTAGAAACGGCCCATAAACGATCAGCCAACAGGACTTTTGACAGTTTTTTTTTTTTTTATTTGAGAACTACTTTTTTTTTCATAAAAAATATTAGTATTAAAATTATTAAAATAGTGGCCACTTTTAATGATTCTACCAACGATGGAAGTAATCAGTGAAGACTAGTCGATGTCGTCAATGCTTGACTACTCTGTTTACCAGGGGCAGAGGGATTGTTAGTAATAGAGACGCGATTCCCCCTGGACACCATTATGATTAAATCCTGTTGAATCCATCACAATGAGCTGAATGTCACCTGCCCATGTATACCAATAACATAGGCGAGGTTACTATTCCATTATTAACATTCGCTAAGAACTCTGTCCACCCCATTCTTTTAAATATAAACTTGAGAAATATTTTCAAATTTACAATATATATATAATGCAGTTTAGAATGGCAAACTAACTGACGGCCCACCTGTAAATTCACTGCTATATCCCACCCTTCAAACCGAAACACACAGCCATACAAACACACTGCTTCACAGTAGAAACACGAATGGGACAGAGGTGCTCAAGCAAACGACTTTTATACAGTCTCCCTCTGGTAATATATATAATTGTACTGTTTGCATTTTTATTGAAGCATCCTATCTAGAGGTATATGATCTAGTAGTAGTTTAATATACTTTGTAAATCCCTGAAGTCTATTTATAAAATTATCTGGCACAATCTCTCTGTACTCTGTACACAATGCACGCGCGCATCATCTAATTTATATACAGTTACTCCAACGTTTCATATTAATAAAAAAAAAAATTCCCGCCAAAAGAAAATGGCCGACCAAGAAGTAGAAGAAGGGCAGCCCATAAACTTCGGGCAAGTTATCGGCCAAAAGTTAACGGAGTCCATACAAAGTATGGATCTACTCACGGTCTTACAAAAGATGGTAGCTGTTTCACCGGAAGACGAGGAATCCGAGGAAGTGAGGGAGAAATTGAAAAATATACTCAAAAGGCTGGACTCCATGAGCGATGAAGAGAGGGAAGTGTTCACTAAACAAGTCAAGGACGGTTTGGCGTCAAAATTGTCTATGAAATTGCAAGATCCTAATGTTTTTAATACAGAGGGACTAGAGGACGCCATAAAAGAGGCGATCGTGAACAAACTAATTTTAGTAGGAGTCGGGGGACTCATATTGATCATTGTTCTTGGTAACTATATTTTTTTTATTTTTTTTTTTAATTGGAACTCGTGGCAAAGATCGTAGTTATAATTTACCATAACGCGGCATGGTCCTTGGTAAGTATTGTTTTTTTTTTTAAACATAATCAAATTCATGGCAAAGGACCTTTTTAATTTATAACAATCCGGTATGTTATCTTATGTTTTTATTGTCACGATATATTAGGGGATCAAAATGTATGTGTGTATACAATTGTATGAATATTCTAATATCTTCTTCATACATCCGCTATATCGTCTCGTCTATAATGCCAGTAAAATGGCACGATATTTTACTATCTATCCTATTTAAGAGCAGCGCTCTTGTCGGTGGAGCTCTCGCCACTCATGATTTTCAGCGAGTCTCTTCACCTCTTGATACGACACGACACCAACCTTTTCCTAACATTTTTTCCCTTTTGAACTTATAAGATATATTACTATCGCGATAAATTAAATATTTATATAATTATAATTGTCAATTGACAGTTTATGACCGCCATTTTTATTTCTTTAAATGTCGTCTTAAAAGCCTGTTTTATTTTTATTAATTTAATATTTATAGTGTTCTTTAAATAAAACGTGTTGATACTATGAATGGGGGGAGGAGTTGTTAATAATCTGAACATATTGCAAGTTATATACCCTGACTGGTTGACATCCACACGCTTCGTTTTGAAAACTGTCGTGAATAATTCCTGGTGGATTCGTCACGATGGGACAACTAAACTTCCTTCATCGTCACCTCTCTCGCTGGTGTACCATTAAAAAATTCATGAAACAAACGCATTAAAAATATAATTGAAATTTATGTATTGTTCAAAGATATCATTAAAATCCTTGTTAATATTATAAATGGGAAAGTGAGCTTGTTTTTTTGTTTGTTACCTTGTAGCGGCTTAACCGATCTCTATAAAATTTTGTATATACTTACTATATGGGGAAAGATATAGGCTACGTTTTATCCCGGTCACGCGGACGAAGTCGCGGCCAAAAGCTTGGTGTATTATATGTGTGTAGTGTAATGTTGCCGCACTCCGGTAGATTACTCTTAATACGCCATAAAGCAGAATCTACCTTTTTTATACAACTTAGAATGGCAAACAAGCTGACGGCCCACCTGATGGAAAGTGGTAACCGTCGCCTATAGACATAAGCAGTACCATGGACATAACAGAGTATACTGTTTCGCCCATGATACCCCCCATGCGTTGCCATTCCTGAGGACTCAGGTGTTATTCCTCTATCATGTCAAGTGAACTTTGTCGGCAAAAATTATGTATGGGGGCATAAAAATTTTAGAAATGTTCAAGTTGGGGGCATGGCACAAAAAAGAATGGGAAACAATGGCATAATTGTTAAATCTTTGACTCGTATCTATGTGTGTAATTATGGTCCCCAGTCGTGATGGATTTTATTTATCTATTTATTTTTATGCCAAGCCCCATATTATAATGGTGAATGTTATTATTCTATTATCATCTTACTAAAATACCCACCTAATGGGAAATGGGGGGAGGGGAAAGGAATTGTTAGTAATAGAGTCTAATAGCCCTATTGCTAGCAATGTGCCTTATTAGGTGGTCCCCCCTGGAAACTATTATGGTTAATTCTGATGGGCTAACTAGCCTGCTTTCATCTTCACCTGTCATCTATCACTGGAGCCCCGCCAGCGTATACCGATAACGCAGGTGAGGTTACTATTCATCCATAAAAAAATGGAAAATGGTAGAATTGTTAGTAATGGGGAATTAATCTTCATTGCTAGCAAATAAACCTCCTCAGGTCGTCCTATCACCCCTCACTGGTGCCCCGTCAGCGTATACCGTTAGCGCATGCTCTTTATTAATAGTTTTTTTTTTTTTTTGTAATTCCAGTATTCTTCGGCTACAAGCTCTACAAGTCGATAAAGGACAAGGAAAAGAAGAAAGAAGAGAAGAAGAAAGCCAAGCAACTCAAAAAGAAGAAATGACCGGTGTACTATCAACGAGCGAATGGATAAATGGCGGCAGTGGCGCGTATCTTGGAAGTTGGGTTTATTGTTTTAACCTCATATTTTGATAATAAAAAAAGTAAAAATAGATTCTGAATTTAAAATACGCGGTCAATTATACATCGTTATCATTTGATAGACCAATTAGAACCCTGACGCAATGGCATAAGATATAATGGCCTTTGAGTGTTGTACTTCGATGTTTGTAAATTAAAAAACTGAAGTTCCATATTTGAATGTTTACTTTTTTTTTACGCTGTGATAGAAAATTGTAGCTGCCAGTTCTTGTTTAAAACAATAGGTATCGAATAAAAACCAAGATTGCTCAACAGATAATATAACTTATCGATAATTATTCGATAAAATTGTAAGAAGGCATACTATCATAATTATTATCTATAACCATGAGATTATAAAGTAACAAATAATTGTCAATTACTCCAAGGATACGATATTTGTATTGTTAACGTCACTAGTTACTATAATTTTAAAAAACAAGGGTTGGCAGTTAAAGTTTTTTTTTTCTTTTTACATAGAGTATTGGAAGCGAGCTAAACTGCCCGCCGAATATAAAAATGGTAACAATCGCCTACAGATATGAACAACTGCTACATTACCATTCTTGAGATATCCTTCAAAAGATTCCTTCAAATTTAAGCATAACTTCCAAGATATTGTATTAAAATGACTGATTTTAATGAATTATATTTTAGGTATCTACTATATTTTTTTATTTGTGTTAGACAAAAGACTATAAACTGTGACAACCTACATATGGCATAGCGAAGAATAAATATACTATTATTAAACTTTATATTTGTGTAAAAACGTCTAAATTCGATTAAAAAAAAATATTTTGTAACATTATTACAACTGGCTGGTTTTACATTCATATAAAGAACATCTCTAATGTTTTTTTTATACCAAGCACAAAAGCAAAATATTGTACGTGGCCGAACACAACAAAATCAAATTTAGACGACAAATTTTATTGAATTAATTTAAAATAAATTCAAATTTTATTTGATATTGTGACCATATTTTTAATTAAAAATATTTGATTTGTTTATCATATACTAGCGACCCGCCCCGGTTTCGCACGGATGCAATACTGATACTAAATATATTACAGAATAGAAACTGTTCTACCTACTATACTCTTCTCTACAATATTATGCATGTATTATACATATAAACCTTCCTGTTGAATCACTCTATCTATTAAAAAAAACATCAAAATCCGTTGTGTAGTTTTTAAGATCTAAGCATACATAGGGACAGACAGACAGCGGGACGACTTTGTTTTATACTATGTAGCGATAGTGATATAACAGATGGCGCCACTTACATGAAGTCCGTTAATTGTCAAAAATGATATTCACAAAAAATTGTTGTAACTAAATGATAAAGCCTCGATCACAATAATACTAATTTTTATAATATTTTGTCCTTCATAAGTAAAGGCAGCAGCCAACCCACAACATCTCATGTGATTTAAAGAAAATAGTGGATTCTTATTGCGCTCATAGACAAGTGGTGCCCTCTATAGACAATGTATGTTTTTCTAAACTGTGTATGTTTTATCAAATTTATTTTATTATTAATGTATGGGTGGATAGTATTTGACCTTTTTTTTCTTTAACATTCCATATTTTATCTACACTGTGTTAATGTTCTGTTTGAAAATATAATTTATTTTTACATGATACCGTACTTTTATTTTATTTTTGCCTTTTTGAAATACTTTCAATAGGAATTTGTTTTCCAAGCCGATGGTAAGATGGATGAACGTTTGTATATTCTGTTTCAATAGAAATTAATGAAAAGGTAAACAAGTTTTGTTGAAATTATCGTAGAAATGATAATTCCGTTTCCATCAGACGGGTGAAAATGGTATGGTAATCCCGCCTGCGCTAACGGGATACGCTGGCGGAGCACCAGTGAAGGGTGATAGATGAGAATGAAAACGGGCCAGTTAGCCCATCATGATAAATTCATCAGGAATTAACCATGATAGTTTCCAGGGAGAACCGCGTGGAGGTCGACATGTTAGTGTACATTTCTAGATCGGGTCTATTAGATCTTATAACTAACATCAACTCCCCAGGGGGGAAAAGGATTGTTAGCAATGGAGTTTGAGCTAACTGACCTACTTCATCCTCACCTATCATTCTTCACTGGTGCCCCGTCGGTATATACCGATATCGCGGGTGGGGTTACCATTCCATTATCATCCATAAAAAAAATAACTCCCCCCCCCTCTGTTGTGTTTGTATTTAACAAGACGAAGTATATATATAAAAAAGTCTGACATACTTCTCCTGAACTAGGCTAGGTAGCTACTAAAAAATAAAAACTCCAAATGCATTTTAAATACATTTATTTTTTAGAACAACTCAAATTATAGTTACAACGAAAATAATTTACACAAATGAGTGTATTTACTTCATTGTGCATGATTTTTATTGCGCCATTTGCGTATTTTTTTATACAATCTAGAATGACAAGCAAGCTTGTCCACATCATGGAATGCCGTAAGCAAAGCTTAAAGCTTTTATTAATTTAATTGGCATGAAATACGAAACGACTGTGGTTTGTTGAAGAGACCTTAAGGAATAAGAAATCAAATTAAGAGGCTGATTTTTGAAGTCGATTAAAAAGGTTTCTATTACAACACAGGGGGCAAACGAGCATGCGGCTCACCTGATGGTAATTACTGCCGCCCATAATCACCCGCAACACCAACGGCATTGCAGGTGTGCTGCTGGCTTTTTAAAAAGCAATATGCTCTTAAAGATAACGATTAAAAACTTGAAAAAAAAAATCGAAATTACCACAGAAGTACTCTAAATTATAAGTAAGAATAACTGTGTGGTCCCGATATAGTATGGTCCACCCGTTTCCCGTGGGGGTCGTAAGAGGTGAGTAAGAGGATTTAATGGCTAGGTCAGCAGCGTCCTTCTTAAAACATCACTAAAGCCTAACTGCGGTTGTAGGGCGGAAAGGGATTGTTAGTAATGGAGACCGAGACTCCCACTGCTAGCAATACCCAACCAGGTTGACCTCCTCGCGGTTCCCCCTGGAAACTATTATGGTTAATTCCTGGTGAATTCATCATGATGGGCTTACTGGGCTATTTTCATTCTCATCTATCACCCTTCACTGGTGCTCTGCCAGCGTATCTCGTTAGCGCAGGCGGGGTTATTATACCATTTTCACCCATCAAAACTGCGGTTGTAAACCCGCTTGCCAAGCGTGGCAACTACTCACATAACCCCCTATAGAAGAAGGCCTATGTTTAGCAGTGGACAGATGATGTCGATTATGCCTTTAACCCTTAAATACCTGAAGTTTCAAACTTGATACCGGGGTTATAAATCGCATTGGGCGCCTACAATCGATTTTATATTAATACTAGCTGACCCCGTAAACGTTGTTTTACCACTTTTTGCGAAATATAAAAATTGCGATTAAAATACAGGGGTTGATCGTAAAACGATGAAAATTTAAAGTTGTATGTATTTTTCAATGCTAAATCATAATAAAAATGGAAAAATTTGTTAAAGAAATAAAAAAATTTTTTTTGGGGAGGGTTACCCTTATTATTGAGGGGTATGAAAAATAGATGTTGGCCGATTCTCAGACCTACCCGATATGCACACAAAATTTCATAAAAATCAGTAAAGCCGTTTCGGAGGAGTTTGGTAACAAACACCGTGACACGAGAATTTTATAAATTAGATTTGGCTGTTTACATGTTACCAAATGTTTTTTTTTTTTCAAAATAAATATATAAAAATATCGTTTTGTTTTTTTTTTTACTATTTTTCCCTATTAGTAAACACAGTAAAGGGTACACTTATATATTTTTTAATTTGATTTAAAAAACCAGGCTTTTAAGGGTTAAGTGAAATTAATAACAAATTGTTACAATTTATGAGTATGTATAATCCATTTTTTATTTATACCACTGTTGAACATCAGTGGACTGTCTTATGGGCGGATTCATTACTCTTTTGTTCACATTTCCGTTAAGTTCGTTGGGTACCTCTGTCCCATTCGTGTTTCAACTGTGAAGCAGTTGTGTTTGCATGGCTGTGTTTCGGTTTGAAGGGTGGGATATGGCGTGAATTTACTGGGTACAGAGGAATAACACCTGAGTCCTCAGGAATGGCAACGCATGGGGGTATCATGGGCGGAACAGTATACTCTGTTATGTCCATGGCACTGCTCGTGTCTATAGGCGATGGTTACCACTTTCCATCAGGTGGACCGTCAGCTTGTTTGCCATTCTAAGTTGTATAAAAAAAAACACTATATTAAAACATACTTTTTAGTGGTTGATAAAATTGTTTGTTTGTTTGTTTGTAACACTTTATTTTAAAGTATTAAATTATAAGATACATGAGTTCATAAGAAATAAATGAATAGAATATGGCAAACATCCCAGGGATTTCTTCCAGTCAGCCTTTGAATGAATGAAAAGTAATAGCTAAACTTTACGGTGGGACGATATACGACGTGCACAGACAAAAATTTGAGAATTCAACACTTGATTTTACTGTGACTTTGTCACATCTCGCATCAACATTGTCACTTTTCAATTCTATACAACCTACACATATTACACACAAGATAGTCTATATGGCAACAGCTTTAAACTAAATAAGGCAACCATAGACAAAAACTTGGATATAGTCAACAGCTGATTGTCACTTTGTAATAACACTTTAACATAGTCACTAATCAAGTCAATTCGACATACATATGCCATAAAGTGTCCTTAAATTCGTCTTCGTTTTTGGATAACTACAAGGCAACCATAGACAAAACTTGAATAAACAATGGTATGACTTTGTCACACCTCACGTTAATATTGTCACTAATAAATTACGAATTTCACATGCTATAACAAAGATTCTTCAAATTCATCTTCATTTTTGGAATCTTGCAGCCCATATGGCAATCATGGCAAAATAACAGTTGATTTTACTGTGAGTTTGTCATATTCCATATTATCACTGTTATTAACAAAGTTTATCCAACAAATAGTGTTGTTAAATTCGTAATAGACAAATCTTAAGTAATTGAATGTTTGATTTCACTGTGACATTGTCACACCTCATTATTGTCACTCATCAAGTCCGTACAACATGGGCATCGGACTAAATCTTGAATAATTTAGCGATTACTTCACTGTGACATTGTCACTCTTCGTTATCACAACCACTAATCGAGCCTGAGCAATGATTACATTGCAACCAAAAATAGTAAAATTCAACAGTTGATTCCACTGTGACATTGTCACACCTCATTATTGTCACTCATCAAGTCCGTACGACTTGCACATTCCATAATATCTTTAAAGTGATCTTCATTTTGTATACTAAATGATGATAGTATATGGTGGGCATCAGACTAAATCTTGAATAATTTAGCGATTACTTCACTGTGACATTGTCATACTTCGTTATCACAATCACTAGTCGAGTCTGAGCAATGATTACATTGCAACCATATAAAAAGTTGTAAAATTCAACAGTTGATTCCACTGTGACATTGTCACACTTCGTTATCATAACCACTAGTCGAAACTGTGCAATGACTACATTGCAAACATAGAAAAAACATAAAATTCAACAGTTGATTCCACTGTGACATTGTCACACTTCATTATCACGTCACTCGAGTTCGTACGACATACAGATGTCATAGTCCGCGTGTCATTCATACTCCTCCTGGGTCACAGTCTCCGCGGCTGGAGCCTGCTCCTCTATCGACTGGTCCATTTCTTCAGTGCGCGAGCCGTCTGAGCTCGAATGTGTATCTGAATCGCTGTCAGTTTCATCTTTCTGTAAATATTATTAAAAACACATATATTTGTGAATATAAATATAACCTAACAACAAGAGAAATGAAAAATACAAATGAATAAAACCTTATTTAATTACCAAATAAATTTTGTTTCGAATGGAAAAAAAAAACACCGATATAACTGTTACAAAACTAGTTATTTTAAAATTATAAATTAAAATATTGGAAACAGCCATGGGAAAGGAAGGGTTAGCCCATTCTATGTAAGGACCACACGGCTCCATACATGTTTATTAATCCTACTATTTTTATGCAACTTAAAATGGCAAACAAGCTGACGGCCCACCTGATGGAAAGTGGTAACCGTCGGCTATAGACATGGGCAGTACCATGGACATAACAGAGTATACTGTTTCGCCCATGATACCCCCCATGCGTTGCTATTCCTGAGGACTCAGGTGTTATTCCTCTGTACCCTGTAAATTCACTGCCTTATCCCAACCTTCAAACCGAAACACAGCCATGCAAACACAACTGCTTCACGGTTGAAACACGAATGGGACAGAGGTGGCCAAGCAAACGACTTTAGTACAAAGTCTCCCTCTGGTAGATTCTGATAGATCATTATCATAATTTCATAAGCCGTTGTTACTAACAAGTTAACTCTCTCGAGCTAGCAAAGGTAAAGCTACGAAGGCGATGGGCGGTGATACCTTGAGGGTGAAGACGGTGTAGGCGGGCGGCGTGGCGTGGTAGCGGCACGTGGTGATGGGCAGCGGCAGCCGCGGCACCGGCTCGTTACAGGCTCCCACGCCCGCGATGCATACGCCGCACCGAGCGAACAACACCTGCAACCAAACAATGGTGAACCAGGGCAGTGCAATTACAATGCTCAGAGGCTAACCATCCTAGTCGTCAAGAATTGAGAAGGGATTGTTAGTAATGAAGATTGCTAACAATATACCCAACCAGGTCAACTTCTACGTGGTAACCATCGTGCTGAATTCCAGGCCTATTCATCAGGATGGTCCAACTAACCTGCTTTCATCCTCACCTATCACCCTTTACCGATAACCTATCTATGTATAATACCGTTAGCGCGATCGGGGTTACCATTCCATTGTCATCCATTAAAAAAAAGTCCTCAGGAACGACATCGTAAGTGAGTATCCCTCGTTCCATTACACAGCACAGCCCCCGCTGACCACCCGTCACCCCCTGCACAGTACAGCCCCCGCTGATCTACCCGTCGCCCCCTGCATAGAACAGCCCCCGCGGGGGGGGGGGCAGATTGTTAGTAATGGAGACTGAGAATCCCATTGCTAGCAATATACCCGACCAAGTCGACCTCCTCGGTTCTCCCTGGAAACTATTAACTAAACTATAAACTAATTCATCATGATGGGCTAACTGGCCTGTTTTCATTCTCATCTATCACCCTTCACTGGTGCTCCGCCAGCGTATCCCGTTAGCGCAGGCGGGGTTAACATACCATTTTCACCCATTAAACAGTACAGCCCCCGCTGACCTGCTCGTCGCCCCCTGCACAATACAGTCCCCGCTAACGTGCCCGTCGCCCCCTGCACAGTATAGCCCCCGCTGACCACCCGTTGCCCCCTGCACAGTATAGCCCCCACTGACGTGCCCGTCGCCCCCTTTGCAGTAAAGCCCCCGCTGACCTGCTTGTTGTCCCGCAGCACGTGGTGGGCGCAGTGCCGCGCGGCAGGCAGGGCGCGGCCGCTGCACTTGATGCCGTCTTCCACAAATGTACACACGCGCCCGCCGCGGTCTACCGTCTCGCCGCCCTGTCACGCACAATATTTCATATTACATAATACTAAATTTATAATTATAAAGGGGAAAGATTGCGGCCTAGTCTTGGCATAGAATAGGCCATCCCTTCCTTTCCCGCGGGTGTCGTAAGAGATGACTAAGGGAGGGCGAGGGATGGGCAGCAGCGTCCCTCTTAAAACATCTCTAAAGCCTGACTGCGGTTGCCAATCCACTTCTGTTTAGCAGTGGACGGATAATGGCTGAGATGGTGATGATGATGATGATTTAAATGTATTATTTTTTTTAAATTCCTACACCTATAGCAAGGTACATAATTAGTGAATAACATAGGCCGTATTTTATTTTCAAAAAGATTTTTATATGTCTGTTACTCACGCACAATTTAACAGCTGAATGGATTTGAAGTAACTTTTACCCGCGACTTCTTTCGCGTGATCGGTATAAAAAGTAGCCTACATTCATCTTCATCCATATAATTTTTTTTATACAACTTAGAATGGCAAACAAGCTGACGGCCCACCTGATGGAAAGTGGTAACCGTCGCCTATAGACATGAGCAGTACCATGGACATAACAGAGTATACTGTTTCGCTCATGATACCCCCCATGCGTTGCCATTCCTGAGGACTCAGGTGTTATTCCTCTGTACCCTGTAAATTCACGCCATATCCCACCCTTCAAACCACAGTAATACGTGTATACCAATTTTCACAGTGCTAATTGGTTGGTTAAGCCGTTAAGGCGCTATAAGGTAACAAACAAACAAACACACTTTTACATACATATTATATATAATATTAGTAAGGATTTACACGGAGAAACCCGTGGGATACAGCTAGTATTCCAGTAAAAACCATTAATTTAACCTTCCGTTTCTGATGCAACTTTCTCGCCAGTAGTGCCTCGACGCCATGTTTTCTATGGTAGCCGGCGTACGCCTTCAGTTTGCGGAGTTGCCGCCTCTCACGGATGGATAGAGGACCGCTGCGGGCCTGTGCGTTTATACTACCTGTAAAAAACAGTTTGCTCATTTTTAATACAGTCTGTTGGACATTTTAATTTTTCAGTGGTTACAACACTGCATCTATTATGGCAACATATGTCAGAGTATTTTAAAGTGTAGTTGTTGCCTCTGGTTCCCATTCATTACTCTGCCTTTACCTGTAATCCTGTATTCTAACTACAATGAATTGATAATATCCAATTTCTAATGTTTCCATTAGGAGAGGAAGGGATTGTTAGTAATGGAGACCATATAATTTGCAATATACCCAACCAGGTCGACCTCCATGGGCCCTGAACCACCACCTGAAAACCATCGTGCTGAATTCCAGATGTATTCCTCACGATGGGCTAACAAACCTGCTTTCAGTCTCACCTATCACACTTCACTGTTGCTCCGTCGGTGTATACTGATATTGCGAGCGGAGTTAGCTTTCCATTGTCAAAAAAATTAAAACCTCATGATAGTCACCAAGGACTTTTCTTTTTGATAGGTGAAAATGGTATGATAGCCCCGCCCGCGCTAACGGGATACGCTGGCGGAGCACTAGTGAAGTATGTGTATATATATATATATATATATATATATATATATATATATATATATATATATATAGTGTCCACAAAACCCCTGGGTAGTACTAGAGGGAGAATGTACAAAAGTCGATTGCTTGGGTACCTCTGTCCCATTCGTGTTTCAACTGTAAAGCAGTTGTGTTTGCATGGCTGTGTTTCGGTTTGAAGGGTGGGATATGGCGTGAGTTTACAGGATACAGAGGAATAACACCCGAATCCACAGGAATGGCGACGCTTGGGGGGTATCATGGGCGAAACAGTATACTCTGTTATGTCCATGGTACTGCTCATGTCTATAGGCAACGGTTACCACTTTCTATCAGGTGGGCCGTCAGCTTGTTTGCCATTCTAAGTTGTATAAAAAAAAAGCACTCTGGTAAGAAGAAAAATTCATAATTAAATTAAATACCTCTATGTTATTTTTCTGAATATGCTTCCAAGAAGTTGTAATATAATATTGTGTAAAATCATACTAACTCGATTTACATTCAATTACTTTGTTTACTGTTAAACGATGCGATTTGTCTAAAGAGATTATTTCGAAAAGGCGAATAGATAAATGGCGGCTGGATAAAAATTTCTTAATTCTCTCCTCATCAGTTGGCGAAGGCGTACCACACAATTAATATTAACTTATTGACTCACAATACTGTTCCTTCTCAGCTTTCAGCGACCTCAGGTACTGCAGCCTCGCCGTCTGCAGCAGCGTGCGCAGCCGCCCCATCTGGCGGATGTACGCCGCTTGTAACGACTTGAGGGCGTTTTTCGCTTCGGAAACCGCTTCCTCCGCTGTGAACACTCCCGCTCGCCTTGAAAATAATTATAACAGACATTTATTTATTTTTCTCAAACATGCTTGGAAATGTGAGTATTATTTTGACAATCTTCTTCGAGATAAGTCAAAATTGCCGTACTGGCCTGATACATGCGGGCAGCGGCCGGCAAAAGTTTTATGAAAATTCATATCTGTCGTGTTTTGCGGCCAGATAAATTACTATGTAAACTCATATCTATCCTGTAATTTAAAAATGGAATGACCTTTTACTTCGAAACATGGCTACCAAGGAGGTAACTAATAAAAAGTTTTATTTAAATTTCGAATTGGCTTGCAAATAGAAAGCTGTTTATTGAAAAAAAAAAACAAAGGAACATTATGGCGCGTGAAAAATGATTATTGTTCATTATTCGTCATTGAACTTAAAAAGTAAAATTGTGATTTTGATTTCCGCGCATTGTTTGAGAAAAGTACTATACAAACCTTGGCCACAACTAGGCATTGATGGACTCACGTATGTGTGCCTCGGCTACGCCTCGGCCCACATTTGTACGTTCGTCCATCAATGCCTTAGTTGCTGGCCACTGCAGTAATGTACTATATTTACATTATTGCACTAATTAAAAATAATAAATACAGTAAATTTTAATAAAAGTGATAAAAAAAAGGTGGTCTTATTGCTAAACAATCTCTCCCTAACAATCTTCGGGTAGAGGACATTGAGAAAAGACAAAGGGTAGATGGCACACTATTATATATATAAACACATATATAAAGAAGTTTGTTTGAATCCAAGCATTTGGCGTTCATTGTTTCTGCCTACGCTAATGGGAGACAGGCATGACAGATATGTATGTATGTATGTACATATATAAACAAATATATATATATATATATATATATATATATATATATATATATATATAAAGATACATAAGGAATGAAGGTGAAAGATCACAGGAAAATAGTACTAGAAAGATAAGAGGAGTTAGTAGTGAATTTACAGGGCACAGAGGAACAACATCTGAGTCCTCAGGAATGGCATTACATGGGAGGTATCATGGGCGAAATAGTATACTCTGTTATGTCCATGGTACTGCTCATGTTTAGAGGCGACGGTTACCACTTTCCATCAGGTGGGCCGTTAGCTTGTTTGCCATTCTAAGTTGTATAAAAAAAACTTAACAGAGGTTTTGAATCTAGTGACTTTTTTTTTTGATGGGTGAAAATGGTAACCCCGCCTGCGCTAACGGGACACGCTGGCGGAGCTCCAGTGAAGGGTGATAGATGAGAATGACAACAGGCCAGTTAGCCCATCATGATGAATTCATTAGGTCTCCATTACTAACAATCCCTTTGCCCCTTCTAGTGAGAATTTGAGCTAGCCATGTAGTCCCGGAATAAAATAGGCCACTATTCTTTCCCGTAGGTTTCGTAAGAGGCGACTAACGGAGCTTAATGATAGAGGGGTGGACAGCAGCATCCCTGTTAAAACACCTCTAAAAGTCTAACTACGGTTGCCAACCCGCTTGCCAAGCATGGCAACTACTGACAAAACTCCCTTAATGGAGAAAGCTTATGTTCAGCAGTGGACAGTATTCTCACCATAGCGGCTGGTCCTCGCAGGGGGCGTCCTCGGCATCCGAGAGTTCCTCGTCGTACCCCCCGCGGCAGTCCCCGCCCGGGCCCAGCGTCACGCTGTCACAGTCGCTGTCGCTACAGCTCGCGTAATCCATAATCGCCGCCGAGTATGACGCATTCACTGAGGTCGCGTCGATTTGCTCTGGAATTGCAATTTAATAATAGTAAATAAATAGGTTAATAATTTTTTTTTATACAACTTAAAATGGCAAACAAACTGACGGCCCACCTGATTGGAAAGTGGTGTCCTTTCTTATGGGTGTCGTTAGATGCGACTACGGGAGGACAAGAGATAGGCAGCAGCGTCCCTCTTAACACATCACCAAAGCACAACGGCGGTTGCCAACCCGCCTGCCAAGCATGGCAACTACTGGCAAAACCGTCCCCTTTATGGGGGAAGTCTATGTTCAGCAGTGTACAATTAACGACTAATATGATGATAATGGGGGGAAGGGATTATTAGTAATGGGGACGTTAGTCCCCATTGCTATCAATATCAGCTCGACCTCCACACGGTTTCCCTTAGAAACAATCGTAACTAATTTAATCGAATTGAATTTGCCACGATGGGTTAACTGGGCTGCCTTTTCATCCTCACCTACCATTCTTCGCTGGTACCCAGACAGCGTATACCAATAGCGCAGGCGGGGTTACCATTCATTATGTTCATTCATATTACCATTATCATCGGTTAAAAAATATGGTGATGATAGACTTGGGGGAAAGGGATTGTTAGTAATGGAGACTGAGAATCCCATTGCTAGCAATATACCCAACCAGGTCGACCTCCTCGCGGTTCCCCCTGGAAACTATCATGGTTAATTCCTGATGAATTCATCATGATGGGCTAACTGGCCTGTTTTCATTCTCATCTATCACCCTTCACTGGTGCTCCGCCAGCGTATCCCGTTAGCGCAGGCGGGGTTACCATACCATTTTCACCCATCAAAAAAAAAATGGTGATGATAAATACTTACTGAACGGGTCGAGGGGAGCTGGCGCGAGCGGCTCGGTGTCCGACGGGTCGCTCACCACAGACACCGCGGACGCGCAAGACGTCGTGCGAACTCGCTCCGGCCTGCAAGCATTATGTTACATTTCAGATTGTCCACGTCACTATGACATCCTAGGGGGAAAGGGAATGCTAGTAATGGGGTTTAATTGATCTATTGCTAGCAATACCCTCGTCAGTTCGACCTCCACGCGGTTCCACCTGGAAAACGTCGTGGTTAATCATAGTGGAATTCGTATTACCTATGCCTAATACTAAAGACGTTTCCTCACAGAGCACTACGTTTGTATATGTTCACACATACTGACGTAAACATTGGAGGGGGGGAATGGTATAAATTATTTTAATGGGTGATAATGGAATGGCACCCCGCCTGCGTTATTGGTATACGCTGGCGAAGCACCAGTGAGAGATGATAGGTGACAATGAAGCAGGTCAGTCAGCCCATCGTGACGAATCCAAAAATAAATCAAACACGATGGTTTTCAGGAAGAATCATGTGGAGGTCAACCTGATAGAGTATATTGCTAGCAATGGGATTGGCAAAAGCAATGGGAAGTCTAATTACTAATAATTCTTCCTTCCCTCATGTCGTGTGATGTGTAGTGTGGTGTGTAGTGTGATATGTAGTGTAGTTACTTTTTATGGATGATAATGGAATAGTAACCCCGCCTGCGCTAACGGTATACGCTAGCGGGGCACCAGTGAGGAATGATAGGTGAACATGAAAAGGCAAGTCAGTTAGCCCACCGTGATGAACACACCTGGAATTCAGCACGATGGTTTCCAGAGGGAACTACGTGGAGGTCGACCTGATAGCGTATATTGCAAGCAATAGGACTGGTAGTCCGCATTACTAACCATCCCTTACCCCCCGGTATGTAGTGTAGTGTATGGTGTGTAGTGTAATGTGTGGTGTGTAGTGTAGTGTGAAGTGGTGTAGTGTGATGCGGTGTAGCGTGATGTGATGTAGTGTAATGGGTAGTGTAATGGGTAGCGTAATGTGATTTAGTGTAGTGTGATGTGGTGTAGTGTAATGTGTAGTGTGATGTGTAGTGTAGTGTATAGTGTGTAGTGTAGTGTAATGGGTGGGGTAGTGTGTGGTGGCGCACCTGACGTAGTGGTGCAGGTGGTGCAGCAGCGTCTCGGCGGTGGGCACGGGCGGCGGCGCGGCGGCGGCACGTTGTCGTGCCCGCAGCGCCGCCCACGCGTGCTCGTAGCACAACCTGCATACACCACAAACATACTATACTATACTATACATACGCTACCGAAGGATATTTAGTTCCACCTTTTAATAAATTTAAAATTGTTATCAGAGAGCACTTATTGAACAAAGCCTATTACACACTAAACAAATACTTGAATTATTGATATTAGTCGATCGACTAACACCACGCACGTTTGTCATTCAAATTCAAGTTACATAGTCATAAAAATGCCTGTACTTTTTTCTCTTTATACAACTTAGAATGGAAATCAAGTTGACGGCCCACCTGGTGGAAAGTGGTAACCGTCGCCAATAGACGATAATACACGGGCTTTTTAATGACTATGAAATTTTCGACATAGTGATTTAAATATATATATAAAATCAGTACACATATATTTATTTAAATGACTATATATTTAAGTTTCTTATCGGCTCTTCTCAAAAGATAACAATTTACCAAACCCTGCAGTAAATTTAAAAAAATAACGATGTAAAGGCTCGTTAACTACTTTGATTTTGTATATATATATATATATATATAAGCAAGCCATCCTGGCTTTACACAAGTACATAAAATATAAATTAGTTTTTTAACATAAAAAAATTTAATAGGCAAATTTTTATACCTCAGGTAACATCATCAACTGTGTTAGGTTGACTGGAAGAGATCTCTTTTAGAGATAAGTTCGCCTTTGCTTACATTGTTATTAACGTGTTGTTACTGTATGTTTTAGTGCAGTAAAGAATATATATATCATAATATTAGTAGGTTTTTTTAAATAATATATAGCTTGTTGCTCACAAATATTATGGGCGAAACATTATACTCTGTTATGGCCATGGTGCTGTCTGTCCATGTCTACAGGCGACGTTTACCACTTTCAACTTTACACTTTTGGAATTTGGCTTGAATGCTGGAATGTGGCACTGAGATTACAGGGTACGGAGACATAACATCTTAATCTACAGGAATGGCAAAGCATGTAGGGTACTGTGAGAATTGTTATATATTTTGCCATGTTCTATTCCAGTCTATCGGCGACAGTTTACACTTCGCATTAGGTGGGCCATCAAATTGTTTGACATTCTAAGGTGCATATAAAAAAAATATTATATCTACTATATACTTGTAACAACAATTATTACAAAAACCTGTTATTTTCATTTAAAAACTAAATTACTGAACCGATTTTGATAAAATTTCTACGGGATCAATCTGTAAGTATATTTTTACAAACTGAATCTTGCTGGTTACTCTGTTTTGAGTCATAGATCGTTTCATTTGCTCTTCTAATACAGTTAATTATTTGTTATACTAATATTTATGTATTTATTTATGTATGATAATATATTTATTTATTTGACATATTATGTGTATGTTTATATTAGTCTAATTATATGTTTATAATATATGAATATACCAAGTATTGCTTTATTTCTCCTCTATTCAATAATGCACCGCCTACTTATTTCTCTGTTCGCCCAATGGTTGACTGGTTGAGAACACCGTTCGGTGTTAAGTACACCATATGTACATAGTTCCACTGTGCATCAAAGTTTAAATAAATAACAATAAAATAAATATATATATTTATGATAACAAAATATATATGACAATTTATCGTTAGTTAAAATTAAATACAAATATGAATGGATACATCAAATAACAAAATGGCTACATGTAAAAGATGCGTTAGAAGACAAAGAAAAAGTTAACGAAATCATAACAGTGGCAGGAAATAATTGAATGGATATTTATTATTATTTATTTATTTATTTAACTCTTTATTGCACCATAAATAAAAATATACAATGACAAGTGAATAATTCAAGTGAAATACAGATTGAAATATACACATAAAGGTACAAAAGGCGATCTTATCGCTAGGGCAATCTCTTACAGACAACCTTTAGTTAAAGGAGAACAGATAGAATATTATAACAGATATTGCTGTGGATCGAAATAGGTGGAATATAATGGAGACTTTTACCCATGGGGGGGGGGGGCATTTTTTTATACAACTTAGAATGGCAAACAAGTTGACGGCCCACCTGACAAGAAAGTGGTAACCATCGCCTATAGACATGAGCAGTACCATGGACATAACAGAGTATACTAGTAAGCACCAAAACACAAAAACAAATTCATTAATATTGAAAAGTTTATTTTGTAAAGTATGGAGAAATAATCTATACCTATAATAAATCTGTGGAGAGGTCAATTCTGTACATGAAATATATTTCCAAAATAACTATCAGGCGGTGATTAGTGATCGATACTGATGCCAAAAATGCAATCAGTAAAATTTTTGTCTGTCGTCTGTATGTTCGTTATAGAAACAAAAACTGCTCGATGGATTTTAACGAAACTTGGTACAATTATTCTTCATACTCCCGAGCAGGTTATAGTATACTTTTCATCACGCTACGATCAATAGGAGCAGAGCAGTGAAGGGAAATGTTGGGAAAACGGGAGAAGTTACTCCATTTTTAAGCTTCCGTCGCGTGTGCAGCCTTAATGGCCACTTTTTAAAATATAAAAATGTCCACCCGTGCGACGCCGGGACAGGCCGCTAGTACTATAATAAATGAATAGTTACTATGCAATAACTTACATTATAGATATTTTTTTTAAATCATCCTTAAAAATACACCTTTAGACATTTGCATTCAGTAAGAATTTTTTTTAATACAAATCCGTTTCAATTCTAAACCGATTTGGAATTTTTTTTTCTCAAAGAATATACTTACAGATTGGTCACATAGAATTTTTATCAAAATCGGTTTAGTAATTTAATTTACATACATACATACATATCTGTCACGCCTGTCTCCCATTAGGGTAGGCAGAAACAATGGAACGCCAAATGCTTCGATTCAAACAGACCTCTTTCGCTTCCTGCACATTCATCAATCTTTTCATACACGCTCGTCGGTTACGGGTACTTTTAATTTGGCCCTTCTTCAGCACGTCGCCTATTTGGTCGACATAAATCCGTCTAGGGCGGCCTTTAATTTAATTTCTAGACCAAATTAACTAGTTTTGTCACAGTTGAAGTCCTTTTTTTTATGGTACACACATGTGGATAGAGTCCAATAAATCTTACCCCTGATCCCGATGGTCTCTATTCTCGCTGGGGGCGGGCATCTGGCACCTGTCCCCACTGTTGGACGTGTGGGCACACTGGCGGTACGGCGCCGTGGGATCGCGCAGTATATGACGGTAGCAATACTGCCTGCCCGATATCACTGGCAGGGTGCATTCGTAACCTTTGAACGCGCACGACTTCGAACGCGACACGATCTCTTTCTGCAGCTGCGAAAAAAGAGAGGCACAGTGTAACCTTCTAGCAGTATGGGGAAAGGGATTGTTAGTAATGGGGTCTAATTGACCCATGGCTAGTAATACACCCTATTAGGTAGACCTCCACGCGGTTCCCTCTGGAAACCATCGTGGTTAATTCTAGTGGAATTCGTCACGATGGGCTAACTAACCTGCCTTTTCATTCTCACCTATCATCCCTCACTGATGCCTCGGCAGCGTATACCCAATAAAAAAACCATCTAGAAGTATTTATCAAAGGGAGACTTGGTATAGAAGTCGTCTGAGTGTCTCTGTCTGTCTTGACAGGCATATAGTAAAAATTTTTCTAATGTGCGAGAATCGAACCTGCGACCATCGGAAATTGAGGTAGTGTGTTCAATCCACTACACCACCAAATGTTTAAAAAGTAGGATTTTTTCAAAGAGCTACGATGATGTTATCAGTTCTAAACCGATTTTGATAATTCTTTTTACTAGGACATGACATTTAATCGATGTAAAATAAATATGGAATCAACATGGGGATAAAGTCCATCGATTGTAAAAATAAACAATTCAGAGTTGAATTGGAATTGTAAGTAATACGGGTTGCCAAATCCATTGCTAGCAATATAGGGTATATCCAGTCAGGTCGACCTCCACGTGGTCCTTCCTGGAAACTATCGTGCTGAACTCCATGTGTATTCATCACGATGGGCTAACTGACATGCCTTTTCATTCTCACCTATCATCCCATTCCATCATCATCCATTAAAAAAAAATTAAACACTATCGGGACTCAATGCGATGAAATATTTTTGCAGGTACATAGTACCTACTTACCTGGCTCTCTAGACAAAATGGCAAGTGAATTCGTCTATTGAATCGACATCGCTAGCTAGTTCGTGAGATATTCGAGAGAATGAGATAGCAACGCCGGATGTCTCATTCCAACTCACAGACTCGCTACCGATGTCGATTCCATCGACGAATTCGCTTGCCAACTTATCTAGAGGGCCTTGCTTGTTTATTGCCGACGTTTCGACGTAGATTGCTCCACGCCGTGGTGTGACTGTACAAGCGCGTAATTTGATGACAGAAAAAATAAGATAAAACAGAAACTAAGCCTGGTTATTCGTTAGTTATTATTTTATTTATTTTTTTATACAACTTAGAATGGCAAACAACCTGACGGTCCACCTGATGGAAAGTGGTAACCGTCACCTATAGACATGAGCAGTACCATGGACATAACAGAGTATATTGTTTCGCCCAATATACCCCCTATGCGTTGCCATTCCTGAGGACTCAGGTGTTACTCCTCTGTACCCAGTAAATTCACGCCATATCCCACCCTTCAAACCGAAACACAGCCATGCAAACACAGCTGCTTCACGGTTGAAACACGAATGGGACAGAGGTACCCAAGCAATCGACTTTTGTAGAAAGTCTCCCTCTGGTAATTACACTACCATTAATATGTGTGCGACTGCAGAAGTTCCATAACCTTCCATTTTAGCTATCAATCTTCGACTGCCATTCTACTCGTGCACGTTTTTGCGGCACGTGTTTTAAAACAAGACATCTTCAGGCAAATTATTAACAACACCCGTTCACGAGTATGACGTATTACGATCATATTCACCTGTGCTCTAAGTTTGTCTTCCTCACTCTTCTTCACCAGCTCAGGGTCTGGAGGCTTAATGGACTTCACGTGTGTAACCCTCAGGCCTGATGATGTACGGCCGCCGCGGCTCAGCATCCTCACCTTTGGTAGGTGGATCATTTTCTTGGGCTGCTGTGACATGCTTGGGACGGATGACGGCTTAACTGAAACGTATAGGGGGAAGAGATTGTTAGTAATTTACTGGGTACAGAGGAATAACACCTGAGTCCTCAGGAATGGCAACGCATGGGGTGTATCATGGGCAGAACAGTATGTGTGTGTACTGTTATGTCCATGGTACTGCTCATGTGTATAGGCGACGGTTATCACTTTCCATCAAGTGGGCCATCAGCTTGTTTGCCATTCTAAGTTGTATTTGCTATCAATACACCCTATCAGGTCGACCTCCACGCGGTTCCCCCTGGAAACTATCGTAATTAATTTATCGTTGAATTCGTCACGATGAGCTAACTGACCTGCCTTTTCAGCCTCACCTATCACCTCTCACTGGTACCCCGCCAGTGCATACCAATGGCGCAGACGGGATACCCATGCCATTTTCACCCATTAAAAAAAAACACATATTTCGTAAATGTACATACAAGGTAAAGTCAGTAAGTTATGTTTTTTGAACAATGGTTTACAGCTTGTCTTATGGGAAAGAGGTTGTTAGTGATGGTGATTAAGTCCCATTGATAGCAATAACCATATCGGGAGAATTAAAAAGTCCACGTGTAAATAACGACCCCAATATGACGTTATAAATATACATATAGGTACTGTTCAAGTCTATAGGCAACGGTTACCACCATCCATCAGGCGGGCCATCAGCTTGTTTGCCATTCTAATTTGTATAAAAAGAGCCGGTCAAATGCGAGTCGCACTCGCATAACGAGGGTTCCGGCAAAAAACGTAAAAAGTTATAATTTTTTTTTAAAACTACAAATTTCCTGTTTTCGGATTTATTCCCTTACCTGTGCTACATGACATTGCTTCTTGCCAAATTTAATGATTCAAGGTCAACGGGAAGTACCCTATAGGTTTTGATCCCCTTTGCGAATGTCAAAATATGCGATTTAAATGGAACATAAACGATCGTATCTTTTAATTGCTTTCGAAGCATGACTTTTTCACTGCTTTAAGAGATTACAAGCCAGAGTTTATGATATTAATTTCAACGTGATACCTTCACGCGTTCCTAAGAAAAAGGGTATTGTCAGACGAACGGACGGACAACGAAGTGATCCTATAAGGGTTCCTTTATTCCCTTTAGAGGTACGGAACAGTAAACAATAAATAAATAAATAAATTTCGGCAACTTCAAACACTGTCTTCAGATACTTTCAAAGGTGCCGACGTTAATAAAAACCGCAGCTGTGCGCGTTTCTCTCTTTGCCAATCCGTTGTTCCATTGTCTAGCCCGTATTTACATAGACCGTCGGCATTGTTCTAAAAATGAAAGATTCTAGCAAATTCGTTCTTTTGTTTGTGCACGTGTGTACCTCAAGCACCCTGTCTTTTTGTTAGTGATGGAGACTGAGAGTCCCATTGCTAGCAATATACCCAACCAGGTCGACCTCCTCGCGGTTCCCCCTGGAAACTATCATGGTTAATTTCTGATGGATTCATCATGATGGGCTAACTGGCCTGTTTTCATTCTCATCGATCACCCTTCACTGGTGCTCCGCCTGTGTATCCCGTTAGCGCAGGCGGGGTTACCATTCCATCTTCACCCATCAAAAAAGAAACCTCAACCACCGTTTTTTTTTAATAGGTGAAAATGGTAACCCTGCCTGTGCTATCGGTATACGCTGGCGGAGTACCAGTGAGAAGTGATAGATGAGGATGAAAATGCAGCTCAGTTAGCCCATCGTGACGAATTTAATGATAAATTAGTCACGATAGTTTCCAGGGGGAACCGCGTGAAAGTCGACCTGATAAAGTATATTGATAGCGATGGGGACTTACCTCCCCATTACTAACAATCCCTTCCCCCCAGTCAGGTCAGTTAGACCATCATGACAAATTCGACAATAAATAAATCACGACGGTCTCCAGGAGAAACCGCGTGGAGGTCGACCTGATAGGGTATATTGCTAGAAATGAGGATTATTAAGCTGAATTACTAACAATCCCTTCTCCCCCCTATGCTCATATATAAACTTATTGCCTAAAACAATAAATAACACGTGTTACTTTGCATTCGTGCGAAACCGGGGCATGACGCTAAGTCATTTACGAAATACATTAATTTTACTATAATGTCATCAGTAAGTATAAATAATTATAAAGCTATTAAGCACAAATTACTCGCATTATGGAATATACTCGAATTTATTAATTGCATTTTAATTAGCTCATTTAAGTATTTGTAATATATCTATTAAGGGGGAATGGGATTGTTAGTAATGGAGACTAAGAATCTCATTGCTAGCAATACACCCAGCCAGGTCGACCTCCGCGGTTCCCCCTGGAAACTATCATGGATAATTCCTGATGAATTAATCATGATGGGCTAACTGGCCTGTTTTCATTCTCATCTATCACCTTTCACTGGTGCTTCCTTAGCGTATACCGTTAGCGCAGGCGGGGTTACCATACCATTTTCACCCATCAAAAAAAATATCTATTAGTGCATATGCAGAAAGGACTTCAATTCGTATGTATATATTTTAATTTTTGTTACCTTATACCTATACGTTAGCTGTAAACCGATTTGATTTTTTTTTTTTATCTAAAACGATACTCTTATAAGATTGGCCCTACAGAAGTTTTAACAAAATCGGTTACATAGTTTAATTTTGAAATTAAAATAACAGTTTCACCGAATTGGTTTTATTTGTTGAACAAACACATTCGTACATTATTCTACTTAGTAGTCAACTTGGCAATAATTGGCAAATAAAAAAAAATAAAAATGACCTTTTTTGGCGTAATTTTTTAATCTTTCTATAGCCTATATTGTGACCCATATTAAGCTTAACATACTAAGAAAATTTTGTAATCCCTAAACTACACTGTAAAACGAGGGATTTTATTCTAACGGTAATAATTATGCCAACAATAGACTAGTCTTGTGCCACTTTGTATTCAAAATTAATCTCAGCAAAAACAACGTCCAATGTTTTCGGACTACATCAAATAAATAAATAAATAGAGTTATTGTGTGAAATGCTCCTGACTACCCCTTTTGGAATTAGTCATAAGCATTTTTTTTAAATATACTAACTAATTATTTTGCTGCCTGTTAACGATGTTTTCTATTACCAGGAAGTTTCCTACCTAGTCGCAAATTTTGAAAAAAAGTAAGTTTCGAACTTTTACTAATTAGTAAACAACTTAACCACGACCTAAGGTCACAACGATCTCAACACTGAATTAAAACATACCTAATAAATATTTATTACAATAAATTGTGATAGAATAAAAAATATGATGATAACTTACGCTCTGATATTCTAATATTGTGAGCTTGCAAAAAGTGAATATTTTCAGTTTTAATTGGAAACATTTTAAATCGAGCAAGAACTAAATATAAATATGTAGTGGCGAAATAACAATTTAATGAACGTGAAATTATTTAAAATAATTACGCAACAACGTGAATGAATATTTTCTACATATTTTTACTGTGGAAAACCACGTAGCCGCGCCAAACTAAAATTTCACTTCGGAATGGTTTAGTCAAAACATTTCTTTTATAATTTAATAATTGAAACTAAACATAAATTCAATTAAAAACACCGTCATTTACATTGCAATAACCATTAGCTAATTATAGGTCTATGAATTAGTCCTTAAGAGATAAGGTAATAATTTTCCACAAATTAAACAATACAGTGTATTGTAAACAGTGGTGGGTCGGCCATTAGCACGGTCTTACGGAACTTTTAGGTTCCTTTTCTATAGAGCCGCTTAATTACCTTAAAAGTAAACTAATGCTTACAACAATATACACAAATGAAAGGGACTAATTTGCAGTACTATATTCTAAATAGTAATAAAGTGAAGCGTACCTTTCCTTGTTGCAAATCGTCATTCAGTCATCGGACGCCTTACTGTGCGAACCATCAAGTTTTACAATGGCGTCCCTGTGAGACTATCTATCAACATTTTTAGTAGTGATTAATATTATTATATAGTGTTCCCTTCAATATACCAGCTCAAAAATTATTATTTTGTTTTTATTTTAATTTAGTGCAAAATAGTGATAATTTGTCATAAATATTTTAAAACTTTAGTTTTTCAATCTCTCAAATGTTAACGTGATCTTTATCCGGTCGCCGCTGTTATAGTGCTGACCCTTTCCCACTCACGTACGTAAACGGACTGCTGCTCTCCGTCGTGTATCCCCGCGCGCAGCATTGCAACATCCGTTCAATGGCTGGTGGACAAGAAAAATGGTATTTTACAAAAGACCAATTAGTGAATTCTCCAAGCAAAAAATGCGGATTAGATTCGGATAAGGAGCTTGCTTATCGCCAGCAGGCCGCGAACCTTATCCAGGACATGGGCCAGAGGCTTCAAGTGTATCCTTTTCAAAAATTAGTGATATTGAGTGCAATGTTTTTGTCGAGTCATGTGTACAAAACGCGCATTTCGCGTTAAAAAATTGTGTTTTTATTTATGAAAAGTCTATTATTGCTAGTGTATATGCATATGAAATGCATAATTGTGTGTTGTGATAGTGTTCCACTGAGTAAAAGATGACGAAACATCTATTCTGTAACGGCGCCACTGAAATGCACTTTCGATTGGGCATCTGGGATTTCCCATTTCTAATTGAGTAACATCTCTATAGAAATCAAGTAAGTGGTTATTTCACTCTATAATTTACTCGATTTTTCATAAAATCATTAGGTTAATTTAGGTTATGAACAGCGTGATGGCGTGGTTTTGTAGGTCAGTGATCTTGTACGCGCGACTCGAGTTGAGGACGCCTGCGCGTGACGTAGGGCTCTTTTAACGGCTGGTGATCGACCTGTCTGATCTAAAATTACCACATTTATTGCGTATCGGACAGCCGGCATCGCTTGTCCAGACTGAGATAACTCCTATGTTATCATTTGGTTATCAAAAAACTTATGTAAATTTAAAGTATTTAAACACTCATTTAGTTTGTAACTAAATAAATGCTGAGAGTGTTTAATATAACAGATGATCCCATTTTGATAAAACTGTATTTATAAATAATAAAAAAAAAACAAGTCTGAAACTGACAGACTGAGGTTATCAAAAATAAATTTTCACATTTTAAAAACTAAATAATAACAATGTTAATTGTAATCTATTTATGTATGATTAATGGTATATTAAATAATAGATTCACAACAAAAAAAAAATTTAAATCAAACTTTAGTACTAATAAATATAATCTTTCTTTAGAGAAATCTGTACGAATTAAAATTTTTCGGTAGCGCTACACATAAATATTGAAATAAAATTTACATATATATACATTTCTTCATATAGAACAAGACTAGATATGCCCTTCTGTAATAATTTACAATTAGTTATATTATCAAATGTCCCATGTAGGCCCATGATAAGTACTGACAAAACCAGAGGGAGATTTTTGTACTAAAATCATTTGCTCGAGCATCTCTGCCCCATTCATGTTTCTACTGTGAAATAGTGGTATTTGCATGGCTATTTTTTGGTTTGAAGGGTAGGATATGGCAGTGAATTATTTATATATATTGGCAGAGTAATAACACATGAGTCCTCAGAAATGGCAATGCAGCAGGGTATCGTGTGTGAAACTAATGTCTATAGGTGACGGTTACCACTCTCCATCAGGTGGGCCATCAGCTTGTTTGCTATTCTAAGTTACTAAAAACAAAAGTGTAAATGCATATACTTTTGACGGAATTAACAACAGATCATGTTGTCTACCAGTCAACCTTAAAACTGAACATAGATCATTATCTATGTATGTATGTATTTTGAGAGGCCACTGAGGGAACTTAATGGTTGGGGAATGTGTAGCTAGTATCCCTCTTAATTGTGCTTACCAACCTGCCTGTCAATCATGGTGACTACTGTTAGAACCCTAGGGAGACCTATGTTAACCAGTGGACAGATAACAGCTGATATGATTTGATTATACACTTGTTTTGCCATGGTGCAAATGTTTAATTTTTTTTTTAATTTGATTAATTTTTCCCTAATATAAAAACAGAGCGGGTTAAAATTTTTCAATCACACATTATTTAATTTATTATAATTCTCATATTTTAACATTTCTATAACAATTTTTAATTAGTATTGTGGTAAAAATTTTAAATAAAACTGGATATTTTAACTAACAAAAAAATTACAAAAAAATATATATAAAAATAATGAAAAGGAATAAAAAAAATAAATTAAAATGTAGCCAGCAATATAGTATATTGCCAATTTTTTACCATAAATAAATATTCAATCTTTAGTTATGTTTACCTAGTAACATTGAACATGAGTAATGGTGAAAGTGAACCATAAACCTCTCATGTGACATCCAAAAGCCTTTCACCTTTGTAGCTGAGTACTCTTGCAGGATGTAATCGCTGTTTTTAGTCATATGTATTGTTCAGTTATTTATATATTTATTTATTGAGCCACCATCAACAATATATGTGTAATCCTTATTAATATTATGAATGTGAAAGTGAGTTTGTTTGATACCTAATAGCACATTAAGGGCTTAACAAATCACTATGAAATTTTGTTATAGACATACCTTATAGGGTAAAGAAGGATATATGATACTTTATATCTCTTTTTTTTCATGGAATGAAGTTGTAGATAAAAGCTATTTAATTATAATTGAGATTGTGGTCAACAAAAATAACTGACTTCAAGCTCCTGGCAAACCAAATATTTTAATAAAAAAAAAAGTAATTTTGATTTTAAAACTTATTACTAAACATATTTTGATAAAATTCCTATGGGGCTAATTTGTAAGCATATTCTTTCTGATAAAAAAAATATTTTCTAAATTGGTTTATAACTGATCAGGTTATATGGTAACAAACAAAAACAGATATCTAAATTGAGACCCGCCTACTTTTTTAATTCGGTTGAAAACTAACATGGTTTGCCTTTGCAAGTATCCTTAATATTACATCTATTTAATATATATATATATATATATATATATATTTATTTATTCTTTATTGTACACAAAAAATTACAACATATAATATATATAAAATAAAGATGTACAACAGGTGATCTTAACTCTGTAAGAGTTCTCTTCCAGCAAACCATGAGTGGAAAGGAGTTATTAATTAATTAATTATTATATATATTACAGTACTTAATCATTATCAGTCTTAACATGTAAAAGGGTGTAGGTTCAAATTCAATTTTGAAAAATTTCAGCCATAAGTAAAATTAATATCAGAATATGGTTTTTAGTATTATTTTTTTCTATAAAAGGAATATCTTTATTTCCTACTAATGTTACAAATTTGAAAGTTTGTTAAGATCATCATCATCATCATATCAGCCATAAACTGTCCACTGCTGGACATAGGCCTCCCTCATAAGAAGGGTTTTTCCAGTAGATGTCACGCTCGATGGGCGGGTAGGCAATTGCAAATAGTAGGATTTAGATGTTTTAACAGTGAATCTCCCTTCCGTTAGTCTCCTCTTATGACACCCACAGGAAAGGGTTGATCCATTATATGCTCAGATCAAATGGCAACCTTTTTCAACCATAAGTAACATGAAAATTGGAATTTTTATATTTTTGCTATAATAATACAATCTTTATTTCCAACTAATAGTGTAAATTTAAAATATTATTAAGATATTTGTGTGTTATTTAGTCAAACCATTGTCTGACTTTGAATGAACGAATGGAAAAGGGGTAATGAAATTTTGGTTTGGCCATTTCTGTAAACAGTACCTATCAGCTCGCCATGTCTTACATATGCTTGTAATTCTCTTATTGAATATTTAATTGTATATCACCACAATTGAAGGGTCTTTTTCTTTGCAGAGCAAAATCTTTTTATAGCAGCACAATTCTGCATTCTATGTTCAAATAATTTAAATATTTGAACATAGAAAGAAACATTTAAATTTTTATTGGCGTTCTTTTTTTTTTTAAATAAAGGATAGGGAAAATAGCCAGTATTATTCTTGTGGTATTATTGTAGTCTTTTTTTTTTTTTTCAGAATAGAATTTACTGATTATATACTCTTTAATATTATTTTAAAATTTTTAGTGTTTGTAGAAGGGGAAACACCATTTGCAAATGTCTCTTTGTTTATAAAGTAATAAATATATACCTGTTTACAAAAGATGTATTATTATACCAAATAGGAATACAATGAGGTTGTAAAGTATTGTGGTAGCTACACATAATACAAAAGACCGCCCAATTTCAAAGAAATGGTAGTATAGGTACAGTGCCTATACTCTGATTGTTACCTACTGTAACAATAGATTTTAAAAATAACTTATATTTTCTCTTGTTAACAACACATGCAAAGAAGGGACTTATTTTCAAGTTTTAAAATGAGAAATGTTAACTTTTCGCTTCTCAAAAATTGGTTGTTTCAATAAAAAAAAAACGTACATTTGCCTTGTGAATATTATATTTAGAATTTATAAATGATTTTGCCTTCGCATAAGTGGTCTTTTCAACCAACTTAAAAAAGAAGAAAGTTCTTAATTTGGTTGTATTTTTTTTATGTTTGTTACCTCATAACTCCATCAGTTGTAAACCCATTTGAAAAATTTTGTTTTTTTTTTTAAATGGTAGTCACTAGACACCGTAGGAATCGCTTAAAAAGCCTATAATATTGGTTTTATTGCATACATCTGTAATTAAAGATTATGTCCTACAAAATAAAACCAATTTCAAATCCAAAAAAATGGTTATTTTGATTTAAAATCTAAATTACTGAATCTATTTTGATTAGATTTCCATGTGACCAATCTGTAACTATATCTTTACTCAATTTAAAACTGAGTGATGTTGTAACAAACGTAAAAACGTACGACCGAACGGCGAATCTCCTTCTTTTTTGAAGTCGGTTTTTTTAATGGATGATAATGGAATGGTAACCCCGCCTGCGCTAACGGTATACACTGGCGGGGCACCAGTGAGAGATGATAGGTGGATAATGGAAAAACAGGTCAGTTAGCTCATCTTGATGAATACACCTGTAATGGGAAAGGGATTGTTAGTAATGGAGACTGAGAATCCCATTGCTAGCAATATACCCAACCAGGTCGACTTTCTCGCGGTTCCCCTGGAAACTATCATGGTTAATTCCTGATGAATTCATCATGATGGGCTAACTGGCTTGTTTTCATTCTCATCTATCACCCTTCACTGGTGCTCCACCAGCGTATCCCGTTAGCGCAGGCGGGGCTACCATACCATTTTCAAATATCAAAAAAAAAATACACCTGTAATTCAGCACGATGGTTTCCAGGGTGAGGTTGATCTGATAGGGTATATTGCTAGCAATGGTATTAGTAGCCCGCATTACTAACAATCCCTTCCCCCCTTTTGAAGTCGGTTGAAAATAATAACACGAGTGGAAGTAACGGTCCGCGGTCACTTTAGCATTCCGCGAAGGCGGTGATGACTCATGTTAGCATATGCGAACTGTGAATAAACGTACACGCGTTTTCCTTGTACAACATGTGATAATTAATGAAAACATGTTTATTTCAGTACTCGCGGATTTAATTGTACTCGAAACGCGATTGTACCGGTTAAGCGATCTTTTGTATCGTCACTGTTTTGGATGGGTAACCATTGTTGATAGGAAATTGCAGAATCATATATATTAGTATATTTTTGCTCCTTGTTTTGTATGTGTGCATTTCAGAAGTAGGGAAAGCAATTAAATAGATCGCTTCTAAATGGCGTATCGAGAGAATACATGCACGAGTTTTTAAGTTAGACCCACAGGAATAGAAGTGTTAAAACCGCAACCAATTTGCTCTAATTATATTTTGCATGATGCCGTAACAAACATATAGACAGGCGCATAATTTGTAAAAACTGTTTTTTTTTCCGTCTGTTGTTCTTAGCTCTCATATTATAATACTACTTGCTGGGGGGAAAGGGATTGTTAGTAATGGAGACTGAGAATCCTATTGCTAGGAATATACCCAACCAGGTCGACGTCCTCGCGGTTCCCCCTGGAAACTATCATGGTTAATTCCTGATGAATTCATCATGATGGGCTAACTGGTCTGTTTTCATTCTCATCTATCACCCTTCACTGGTGCTCCGCCAGCTTATCCCGTTAGTGCAGGCGGGGTTACAATAACATTTTCACCCATCAAAAAAAATCCATTCAGCTGTCTTTCAAAATATCTTTTATTTTTAATATTAGTAAAATTAGGATATTGTGTATCTCTAAATCCCAATTTCATCCAAATCTATTCAAAAATATCTTTTCAAAGTTTCACATTTGTAGGAAGTATGAACACGTCCATGTTTTTATTTGATAAAAATGTTTTAGCTATCGCACGTAACAGATAGATAAACTGATCTAACTTCTATAGATAAGTATTATCTCTATTAATTACACAAACCCCGCCCACAAATTATACAATGCATTTATTTTCAAACAACTTCAAAAAGATTGATACCTCATATTTCTGTGTGTTTCAAACCTGTTTAGAAAATTCTTTTTTTTTTTTTTTTTTTTTTTCAAAAAGGATATGCTTACAGATTGATCCCATAGGAATTTTATCATGCTCGGTTTAGTAGTTTACGTTTTTAGATTAAAATAACTGGTTTTGTCATAATTGAATATTTTTTTTGGGACACAATTTATATTTTTTTTTTCTGATGGGTGAAAATGGAATGGTAACGCTAACAGCCTGCGCTAACGAGATACCCTGGCGGAGCACCAGTGAAGGGTGATCGATGAGAATGAAAACAGGCCAGTTAGCCCATCATGATGAATTCACAAGGGATTAACCATGATAGTTTCCAAGGAGAACCGCGAGGAGGTCGACCTGGCTGGGTATATTCCCAGCAATGGGACTTTGTCTCCATTACTAACAATCCCTTTCCCCCCAACACAATCTATATTAATTTGGGTACAACAAGTCATGGCTGGATTGTGCATTAAGCAGTGTGATAATGGTTGATAATGGTGTGGTAACCCCGTCTGCGCTATCGGTATACACTCACAGAGCACCAGTGAGAGATGACAGATGAGGATGAAAGCAGGTCAGTTAGCCCATCCTGACGAATTCAACTAGAATTAGTTAGTAGTCGACCTGATAGGGTATATTGCTGGTAATGGGGCTATTTAACCCCATTATTAAACAATCCCTTTCCCCCCACATTAAGCAGTGTAGAGCTACTACGGGTCTACCATCGGCTAGGGGTATATATATATATATATATAGCAATTTTATGAACTAACTAAACATACTAAGTTTGTTTAGGCCCCTGAAGAAGACTTTCGGATGAAGACGAAACAATTGTTGAAAACTGCAAACATAGCAAATTTATATATATATATATATATCATCATAATGGGTTTAATTTGAACTTTACTTACGTTTAACTTTACTTTTTAAAAAATTACAAAGTTTCGTCTAATTTTGATCAATGTTTAGGATTTTTAAGTTTTAAGTAAACTCGGTGTCATTTATGATTTATTAATTTTAGTATAACCACATTCGCCATTACAATGTTCATGTTTTTTTTATTTATTTAGGATACCATCCATACCATCTTTGTTACTCAGTGGAACACTTATTTACTAGCAATCTGTGCTGACTTCGCACGGGTTTTCTTTTTTTTTTTTAATAAAATATATCTCGTGTTATTACGCAATAACGTACTGATTTCCATACGTAATGATTTTTTTTTAATATTTCTCGTGTATTTTATTGTATTTCTTTGTCTTTGTAACTATAAATTAGAACGTACAGTATTTTTGTCAATAAATCCTTAACCAAGCACCCAACAGCTCTCAATTATGTATCAACACAGCAATTGTTTATATGCACCGGTTCTACGCGTTCCATTCCTTCACGCAGTTCCACAGGAATGCTATAGCGGCAGCCGCGCTGTTCCTCGCCGCGAAGGTAAGATACATTTACTTTATTTTTTTTTCTAATGCATGATAAGGTAACCCTGCCTGTGCTATCGGTATACACTGGCGGGGCACCAGTGAGAATTAATAGATAAGAATTCTTTAATGGTGATGATTACCACGTGAACCATTTTGTATCCAGGTGGAGGAGCAGCCCAGGAAATTAGAATATGTTATAAAGGTAGCTCACGTCTGCCTCCACAGAGGTGAGAGTGTCAATGCACTCACACCAGAACAGTATACGGAACAGGTATGTTTCATATTGTTCTTTATTGCATTCAAAAATACATTGTTTTTTTTTTTAAGCATTAATATTGAATTAAACATGTTTGCCAACATACGTAATTTAATAAAAAAAGAAATCCCCAATTCAAAATTAGAATTTAAAGTATTGACGTACAGAGTATATTTATAAATATTATTTTTATCTATTTAACTTCAGACGCAGTAGTGGCATGATCACTAGATAATGTTTTTTTTTTTTCTTTATTGTTCCAACCGATAAGAAAGGCAAGGACGCGAGACCCGTTGAGTTTTGTAGCATTTTAATCGAATTAAAATAAAAGTGGAAATTTTCAATTCTGATTGCAATTTGATCTGTATAGAATGAAGCCTGCATTTTTTTTACACAATTTTAATTTATTTACACATTGTTACAGGCGCAGGACCTGGTCTTCAACGAAAATGTACTCCTGCAGACATTAGGGTTTGATGTAGCGATCGACCATCCCCACACTCACGTAGTACGCACGTGTCACCTTGTAAAAGGTGAGACATCCGACATTGCTGTCACAGGATACCGTATCGGTGACAGGGCACCCGGGGCCCGGGCTGTGGTCGGATGCTCTAAAATGCTTGTTTCGCGCGCGGCTAGTTCGATTTTCAAATGTTTTGACGGTGGTATATTTATTTTATGTTTTTTAAACGGCGTTTGACTTCCCTGTTCTGTTTGGCCAGTGGTTGTTTTTCTAAACTTTACCAAGTTTTTTTTTTCCAGAGAGATAGAAGTATTGCGTATTATTTTTAAATATTTTCTATCCATGATATGGTTTTTGACTGAAGAATAATAACTTTATATCCTTTGAGGTTTTTCTGATTTTTTTTTCTTAATTTAGATATTTATTTCCTTTAAGAAAAAAAAATAATTATCACTCTTAGCAATATAAAAATCGTGTATTCATATAGTTAATAATTCGCCTATAATATGGCTCGTTATTAATCTTTACTTCTTAATTCTAACATATCACTATGGTATCAAAATTTTTATATTTTTTTATCTCTTTTAAAATAAAAAATAAACTACGGAAGTTAAACTTCGTCAATCCATATGTATAAAAATCAGGTATGCAACCACCTCAAAACCGCAAAGAACTTAGCCGTAAGCGTTAAAAAAAAACCGCATCACACAATGTGACATTTTCGCAATGTCACTCAGGTATGTAAAAAAAAGAAAATTTTAAAAAAACATTGTGTGTTACCTAATAATTTCATATTCATCTTCATTTTTAATCCTTTGGCATAGTTGGGGCAAAATGTCGCATTTTAAATTTATTTGTGATCTGTAAAAATTTTAGAAAAAAAAAACGTAACATGCATCTCAGAGCATTCTCATTTTTTTTTAATACTGTTATAATTGTGTCATTACTGCACTCAGAGATGTTCTAATCGACCTATTTGAGTAATTATGTAATTAACTTATGACTAACTTATGACATATTACTTAATGATAACTAAAGTTGTCAATTGGCATATTAACGAATTTTGTAACTGTCTCTAATGAATCATTAATTGGTTCTCTTTTAAATACTGAGTTACTTAGTATCATTACTTAAGTGTTAATTGTTTATTTAATGATTTAAACGACTCTGGGTGTAGAAATAACTTTAAAATGACATTATATTTAATTAAAATATATATATAACTAGATAGAGAGAAAAAGTTATGGATATATAAAATGAATAATTTCCCAAAAATCAATCTTTGATATTTTTATGAACGTAATTATTATAAAAAAAAAATTAAAAATAGAAACATAAAGACTTGTTTCCCTAACTAGACCTAGCTTTTAAAATATCTATGTTTTAACATCTCAATGCACATAACTTGGAATTAGACCTCTTTTTAACACTAGAACCCTTCCCATCACACATTCCTACAAGTAATTATTAACTTTTTTTTTTTTTATACAACTTAGAATGGCAAACAAGCTGACGGCCCACCTGATGGAAAATGGTAACCGTCGCCTATAAACATGAGCAGTACCATGGACATAACAGAGTATACTGTTTCGCCCATGATACCCCCATGCGTTGCCATTCCTGAGGACTCAGGTGTTATTCCTCTGTACCCAGTAAATTCACGCTATATCCCACCCTTCAAACCGAAACACAGCCATGCAAACACAACTGCTTCACGGTTGAAACACGAATGGGACAGCGGTACCCAAGCAATCGACTTTTGTACAAAGTGCTCGGTATTTGCTTCAATAGACCTGTCTGAAAATGTAATAAAGTTTTTTTTTTTTTTATTGTCATAGGAACTAGAATGAAATTAGTCATTAATTAATAAAAATTTTTTTTCAAATTTAATAAAAGAAGGTTTTCAATTTGAATTTGTTTAATCTTTGTCTTTGTTTTGAATATTTTTTTTATCTGAAAGAATATATTGACAGATTGGTCCTCTAGAAATTCTATCAAAATCGGTTTAGTAATTCTTAAATAAAATAACTGGTTTTGTCACAGTTAAAGTTGGTTTTCTGGTACACAATCTTTATTACTTTTGGACATCAGTAGACTGTCTACGTCTGGATCACTCGGTTGTTTGTATACATTTTCAGTAAGCTCTATTGAAACGAAACTATAGTACTATATTGATTAAATTTTCAAAAACTCACTAATATAATATCTCTTTTAATTCATAAAAATATCAAATGTATAGTAAATCCCCATTTGTTTTAGCTATAGAAGTATTCTCTCTCTTTCTAATACATTGATTGAACAATTTGATAAAGAGTAACAAACAGTGAATTAATTCAAATATGATATGTTCAGAGAAATTTGATTTACAAATACAAATGTCTTTATTGTGGATCATAGGTCAAATTAAGGTATTATTACATCAGTTAAATCGTATCTCCATGTCCTGCTATAAAATATATGGAACAATTATAAATAAAGTAAATGCATTATTTAACGGTATATAAAACAACTTTTAAAATTATACTATATAATTTTAAATTAGCAAAATAAATTAAAATAGTTTGAACTAGCACCATTGATTATTTATCTGTTTGTCAACAGCCCCCAAGGACCTGGCGCAGACTTCGTATTTCATGGCATCAAATAGTCTACATTTGACTACGATGTGTCTACAATACCGGCCGACGGTTGTGGCATGCTTCTGCATACATTTGGCATCAAAATGGAGCAATTGGGCTGTGAGTTTTTTTTTATTTTTATTTTATTTTTATTTTTAAATATTTGTTCAACCTCATAATTCCATTAGTTGTCAACCAATTTGGAAAGGGGGGAAAGGGATTGTTAGTAATGAAGACTGAGTATCCCATTGCTAGCAATTTACCCAACCAGGTCGACAACCTCGCGGTTCCCCCTGGAAACTATCATGGTTAATTCTTGATGAATTCATCGTGATGGGCTAACTGGCCTCTTTTTAAATTCTCACCTATCACCCTTCACTGGTGCTTCGCCTGTGTATTCCGTTAGCGCAGGCGGGGTTACCATACCATTTTCATCCATCAAAAAAATTAAAAATAATGAAATGTATTGTTATTAGATACCTCAATCGCACGAGGGCCGCCACTGGTTTTCATACGTGGACCGCAGCGTCACTACGGAACTGCTTGAGCGGCTCACGGCCGAGTTCCTCCACATATTCGACAAGTGTCCGTCGCGTCTCAAGAGGAAAATGATGTCGATGACCACCAACAGTGAGTTTTTTTTTTTATACAACTTAGAATGGCAAACAAGCTGACGGTCCACCTGATGGAAAGTGGTAACCGTCGCCTATAGACATGAGCAGTGCCATGGACATAACAGAGTATACTGTTTTGCCCATGATACCCCCCATTCGTTGCCATTCCTGAGGACTCAGGTGTTATTGCTCTGTACCCAGTAAATTCACACCATATCCCACCCTTCAAACTGAAACACAGCCATGCAAACACAACTGCTTCACGGTTGAAACACGAATGGGACAGAGGTACCCAAGCAATCGACTTTTGTACAAAGTCTCTCTCTGGTACCAATCCATTTAATGTATTCTATGGAGTATGATTGAATGATAACGTAATATTTACCCCGTTTGTGTTACCAGGATTCGTTATAGGAGTACCAGTAAGAAAGGATAGGTGAGGATGAAAACAGGTCAGTTAGCCCATTGATGAAGGAATCATCAGAAATCACCACGGCTCGAGGAAGAACAAGACATTTCTATCTAATGATTTCCTAGTCGGTTATAACAGTTGTTTGCAATATGTCTATTGGCGTTGGTTTTAAAAAAATACAGCTCCTAAAGTACCAATGTGACGTGAATTTTTTTTTTATGAAACTTAGAATACCAGATACCACGCTTACCGCCGTCCAGATGAGAAGTGGTAACTCTTCGTATATAATTGTATCGTCTGCATTCCTAATGAAGAACGTGTCCTTAGGCGGTGGCTCCCCACATTCGGGCCCCGCTGGAGGTCCGGCCTCTGCCTCTGGATCGGCCGCGCCTGACAAGAAGCACCCCGTCGCCGGGCCCTCCACTGACGACTTCGACAAGTCCTTCGACAAAGGTAATCTATTGTCTTCCTCGAATTATTCTTTGACATATTTATTTATTTATTTAATATTTTATTGTACATACAATACATAAAAATGTGACAGAGATAAATCTACAAAGGTGATCTTAAGGCATTCCTTTCCAGCAAACCCAAAGTGGACACTTTAGTTTCTCTAGCTAGTGACTTTTTTTTACAAGCTTTTAATTAGCAATGTATGTTTAAGTTAAATTCTACTCGATGGTTAATTACTTTCGTCGTAATAGGTTTATGAGATCAGTTTGTAATTATATTTTTTAAGTCAAAAAAAGAATTTATCAAATGAGTTTATAACTAACGGAGTTATGAGGTAACAAACATAAAAAAATATACAACCAAAAATAAAAAATCTTCTTTTAAAAGTCGGTTAATAAAGTGTTTTATTCCCACAGAATATGAAAGGGAACGGCGCCGCCAACCGGTTCCCGGTGGTTACGTGCCCGCCACGTCGGTTCCCGCTAACCCACAACAACCACAGAAGATAGATTACAACCTGTATAGAGAGAAGAGAGAGAGGGAGGAAAGGGAGAGGCGGCAGGCTGCCATGCAACAGCCGAGACCCGGTGCTCCACCGGCTAGACCCGGCCAACCTCCGCCTCACCACAGGCCGTCCCAACACCATAAACCTCACCACCCCTGGCCGCACCATGCCAAGCCGCCCCACCACAAGCAACCGCCCCAGGACCATCGCCATCACAGACCGGCACCGGGTCCTAGCACTAGCCAACCATCTCAGCCTCACCCACAACCGGAACAAAGAACGAGACCACCATCGTTGTTCTCGCCAGAAAATGCTACAACACCCATCGCGGCGGCCACTGCCCCTCGCCGGCCGCAGCCACCGCCTGCGAGGCCCAAGCCTGAGCCCCGGGCGGCGCCGCCCGCCCCCGCGCCGCCGCCCGCCGCCCAGCCGCCGGACAAGCCGCCGAGCCCGCGCAGGCGGCCCGACCCCTCCCTCGCCATCCGCGAAATGCAACCTCCCGCTATCTTGTCACCGTTCTCGTCCCCGCCGGCTGTTAAGGAGCCACAGCAGCGCTCGCGGCCGCGAGTACCTTCCGCTTCTGAACCGGAACTGGTGCCGGTCGTCAAGAAAATAGAAGAAACCCCCGGCTACGAAAATGTCCTGCGGGATTCTCAGCGCGGCTCCTCTATAAGGACGAAGGCGCCGGAACCGCGAAAACCGGAGCCGGCCCGGGCGCTTAACGGGATAGAAACGGACCCGACGCTAGTCTCCAATCTCTTGAAGGAGAGCTTGGCTAAGCCTGTTCCCATCACGGTTCCCACGGAACGAAAGTCGCCGGAAATAAAGCGGGAACCGGTGGAACCTCTTCCCGTGCCACCGCAGCCCGAACCCACCCCGTTGCAACCCTCCACCGAGTCCGACCACAAACACAAAAAAGAGAAGAAGAAGAAGGACAAACACAAACACAAAGACCGCGACAAGTCAAAAGAGGAGAGGAAGAAACACAAAAAAGAGAAAAAGAGAGAGAGTCCGCCCCCGGTCGCGGCCGAAGTGCCCGCAGACGGCACGCTGCGGATCACTATCCCGCGGGACAAGCTCGCGGCGAGTCCCGGCCTCAAAATCAAGATCCCGAAGGACAGGCTGGCGGCCCCGCCGCCGCCGCCGCAGTCGTCCGGCCTCAAGATCAAGATATCGAAGGAGGTGCTGGAGACGTCGCGGAAGAGGAGCTCGGCCGCGGAGCCGGGCCCGCCGCCCAAGCTGCCGCGCCACAACGGAGCGCCGGCCGCTAAGGTAGGAAACTGGCACGTCCCGCCCCCCCTCCCGTACTACATGGTGCAGCCGCCGCCGGTGGCTTACTACGGCGTGCCCATGGACGGCTACTACTACCAGCCCATGTACCCGCCGCAGCCCCCGCAGCCGCCGCAGCCGCCCCGGCCGCCGCTGCGAACGCAGCCGCCCCTCCCAGCGATGCCGCCGCCGCCTGTGCCGCCGCCGCCGCCAGAGTGAAACACACTTTATACTAGGGTTGCCACCTAACTATAATTATTAAAGTATTTATACACTCAATAAATAGTATATCTAATGTGGACGTTTTTAACATACTGTTTTTTATTGCGCGTACGCAGTACGTATATATATATTGACCAGTACATTGTGTCACAAGAAAAATTTTACACAATACATTATAATAATAATATAGATTCTGAAAACTAATTATATATCAATTAAGATAATAACGTATTTGATCATACATACTTGTATAAATATAACTTTAGCACTTATAAAAACTGGTCAAATTTCTCTCGTGAATAGGGACTTTCTATGTAAAATACATCATTGTATTAGCAATTAACTGTCCACTGATGGACATAAGCTTGTCAGGCTGCTTTGCAACCGCAGTTAAGATTTTATGATATTTTAAAAGGGACTCTACTGCCCATTTCTTGTCTATCAAGTTCCCTTAGCCGTCCCTTACAACGCTCACGGGAAAGGAAGGGATGGCCCAATCTATACCGGGACCATACAACAAAATAAATAGTACACAGCAAATTATGTATAACATTTGAAAATTGTCAAATTTATTAAAAAAAATAAATACAGGGTGAAATGAAATTGGTGGCAACCCTACACAATGGTCACAATCTAGCTAATAGTAATTTGAATTTATTAGTTGTAACGCAGCTATACCATAATATACAGTAGAATCTCCATTATCAGAATCAAATATAAAACCAGGCGTATTATTAAATTTTTATATATTTTTTTATTATGTAAAGTGTTTTACATACATCATTTAGGTATCATACGTTATAAAAAAAATACAAGGTATAAACATATGTTTAATAAAAATTTACCCAAATAATAGATAATAAATAAATAATACAATTTCTAAATTCGGTTATTAGGGCCTTGAAGTCCGGATAATCGAATATTCGGATAATGAAGATTCTACTGCATATATATATATGTTTGTATATTTTGACTGAAATAGTACGCTAGCATTTCTATACATAAGGTACATTTTGAATTTACAATTTGTGAATTTACATCTACATACTTCTTGTATTAATGTTTATATACATATATATACATATATATATATATATAGAATAAGTAAACATTATGGAACATTTTTAATGCAAGTCTTTATTTTTAAGTGTCGTAGTTAAGATTTGAAATTATATATTTTATATTTAATACATATTAATACATAGTTGTTATATATCTTTAATATTTTAAATGTATATAACACCTGATAATAATAATTATAATGGAATAACACCTGAGTCCTCAGGAATGGCAACGCATGGGGGGTATCATGGGCGAGACAGTATACTCTGTTATGTCCACGGTACTGCTCATGTCTATAGGCGACGGTTACCACTTTCCATCAGGTGGGCCGTCAGCTTGTTTGCCATTCTCAGTTGTATAAAACAATAAAATAAAAAAAAGTATATAGGATGGAGAAGAATTGAGGTTCCTCGACTTTGTCTGCATATTCCAGTTGTCTAGTAATGTCGGTCGGTAGGTAAACACGCGTGATATCCCTAGCTTTACAGACGTCTACGGCCTACGGTAACCCTGTTTACCATTAGACGGGCCGTATGCTTGTTTACCACCATAGTTGTGTTGTGTATGTTTTTCTATAGTTTTTAGAATTGCATCTATATGGGTACCTCTATCCCACTCGTGTTTATGTCAACAAGCTACTGTGATTTTAAATAAAAAAAAAATTGTATTGAATCAAAATATATCATATATATGTATTTATTTATATATATTTTCTATATTTCCTAGATTTTTTTCTATCACATTTCTCCAGCCTATTTCTTTTATTTGCATGTTAATCTCTTAATATTTCTTGTGTTTATTATTTTTAATTCTACTTTGAAATATTCTCAATAAATTACTTTAGCTATAGTAATCCTTTTTTTAAATAAAAAAATTTAAATTTTTTTTACTCTGGTTATTGAGTAGGTCCCATAAACACTTCCCGCTTTTTTGTTTTTTTTTTTTTTATTTGAATCCATAGACAATTTTTGATTATACTTTGTACTGACGGTATGGTAGTAAGTAATAGATTTATAATAAATATATTTTATATATATTTATTAAATATAATAATAAATAAAAATAAATTTATATATTTTTTTTAAATGTATCTCTCTGGCTTCACAATCTTACATAGTTTTCATATATTATCATACCAGCCGTTAATTGCCCACTGCTGTAACAATAAGCCTCTCCCATAAGGGGAGTTTTGCCCGTAGTGCTACATTTGATAGGCAGGTAGGCAACTACAGTTAGGCCTTTAGAGATGTTTTAAAAGGGAAACTGTTGCTCGTCCTTTTACAATTTCCTTTAGTCGCCTCTTGCAACATCCACGGGAAACGGGCGGCGTATTCCATGCATGTAACCATATGGCCATATTTTTATATTAATAATAAATATATAATTTCAAAACTTAGGCTTAATTGAAATACCATTTTTCATAAGTCGAAACATCACAAATTCTGGTCTTATAGTTAGTTAACGTTATGATAAAATGTTTTTTATATATATAATATAAGCATATTGCAATTGCACTCAAAATATAATGGGGTACATGCAATATATTGGAATCCTATATACTCTTATTGCGTATTATCTAATGTTATTAGTAATTGTATAAATTACTATAGTTATATTACACTGTTCTATATAAAAATGTTACTAAATGTGTACTAAAAATACTATTTTATATTTGAACTTTTTAATGTTACAATTAGTACAAAAATGTTTACACTACACACTTGTATTGTATATATACTATGTTAGTTGACGTAACACATCCTTTAAAACTTGTATTAGAATGTGTTCATAAGATTTAAAAAAAAAAAACTTTCTTAGAATAATATTTTATGTAATCATAAATTAAAAAAAAATACTACACAGTCCAACAGTGCCATTGCTACGGATGCAGATTGGCTATATTTATTGTGATAATCAATTTATATTTTTAATTTTTACTAATATAAAAATGTCTGTTTCCAGCGGCGTGACCGTTTATGGCGGTACGCTGCCATTTTGTCTATGGCATATCATGCTGATGATTTACAAAAGTGGTACATTTTGACATATTTAATTCGGATTCCAAGAGAATTCACATTAATAAATTTGAATTTTGAATAAAGACAGGACTTTTTTAAATGTAAAAATGGCAGAAATCTGCCACAAATGGTCACACTGAGGGCCTACCATGAAATTTTTTTTCTAAATTTCGGGCACGAACGAAACAGAAATTTGATGTTAAAATTACATAATACATGCTGTTTAAATTTTTTTTAAATGTTAAAATATCGTTCCGTTGGACTATTAGGATAGGATTTATGATGGATGAAATGTTAAGCTCCATTTACAGGGTCGATTTTGTTACGAACAAAAATATGAAATTGAGCGCGAAAATTCGGAATTTCATTTCATGGTAGAGGATTAACTACATGGGACAGATAAAGGAAACACTAGGCGTCATGTCGTATAGGCAGATAAAGGATATGGCCTGGGATAGAGCTGGCTGGGGGAAGATGCATGAATTAGTTGCGCCGACAAGAGGGAACTTTTAAAATTAAAAGAAAAAAGGTAGACCAGCTGGTTTCGAGGGATGTGTTACATTGATTGACATGCTGTATATATATACAGTATGTATTTAGTATGTATAGTAAATACCGTCACATCACAATATGAACATCACTTATAGTTTTAAAACGTATACAGTATACGAAATAATACTTATACACTTTTATTAGAAGTGTTTTTTTAACGTTTTAAGCGCAATCGATTTTTATATATTAGTTAAAAATTTGAAAAAACTACAGTTTTTATATATCTGTTTATACAAATGTAGTTACTTTATACGGTCTATGTTTTGTAAATATATATATATTTATATATATATAGTTTACTAGCTGAAATGTGATTTAACAGTAAGTGGAAAGTATATTTCCTTACATAGTGATCAATATATATATATATATATATATATATATATATATATATATATATATATACATACACATATATTACATTCCAAACATATATACTCGTTTATATATATTTTATATATTTCACCGTTTACAATTGATGAAAATTGAATATAAAAATAAATTAAATGGATATTTTTTAAAAACATTACCATGTGTTAGCTTTAATTTTTTTTTCTTTTTACTAATTAATAATTATTTTTTTAATACATAATTAATGTTAGTAAATAATGATTTAATGTATATAATAAAAAAATCTACATTAACGATTAAGGCTTGCTCAAAAATGATGAAAAAGTATAAAAAAAAAATACAGGGTCTCTTTATACGATGTTCCTTAACTTCTGAGCTTTCACAAGTTCAAAGCCAACTTTTTAGTATTAATATTTAATGATATTGTTCTTTTTTTTTTTCTTATGTGGACATTTTAAAGCGATCGTGTCTACGTACTGGTTTTGAAAAATAATCTTATTGCAGTGTGTGTTTTGTCGCTTTCTATCGAGTTATGAAACTACCGGAAAAGAAAGAGAGCGGCAACTAAAATAAATTAATTTGGGCAATTGAACGTTTTATGTATGTATATAATTTGTAAAAAATCTTTTTTAATTTTAAATATAAATTTGTAAATATTGTTTGTATATTTTTGATAAATGTTTAGAGCTTAATTTTAAAATAATTAATATTAAAAAAAAATGGCAGTTAAAATGTATAATTAAGTAAGTATATATATATTTTTTTTATTGTGTTTGGAAATTAAATAGATAAATATTTATAAATGTTGTGAGCAAGTGTGGACTTATCTCTGAAAGAGATCTCTTCCAGTCAACCCAGTACAGTGAGAAAGCGTTAAATATTCAAAAAGTTAATATATAATTATTCTCAGGAACTGTTGTCTTGAGGTATTTTTTTTTTAATTATTTTGACTTATTGATATAAATATTAAAATTTATTAATGCGTTAATGTTTATTTTAACTCCATTTTTTTTTTAATATTGATTACACATTATGCGGATATATTGATGAACAGTGGTGCCATTCTCGTTACCATTTTTTCAAAGATAAATGAAAAAAAAATAAAGTTTATTAATCGATTAATAATTATTATATTTTCTAAGAACGTACTTAAATTTGTTTTTAACATATTGTTTTTACTATTTTATAGAAGATATGACATGACTTTTAGTATAATTTATTTTTTTTTGGAATTTATTTTTATGTTTGTCTGTGTATAAATTAAGAAATACATTGTTTTTATTCATTGAATATGTTGTATAAAAAATCTCATAGGTCATTAGAATAGTTGTGAATATTTTCTTTTTTCTCTGTTTAAATTGTGTTTTTTTTTTTTATGTTTAAGATTGTAAATTGTAAATTTTAATGAATGAGATTACCATCCTGAATTTCATAAGTTTTGTAAGTTGATTATCATATAAGTGTAAATAACTGTTTAGTAAAGAACGAATTATTTTTTTATTATATATATTTTTTTATGAATACATTAATATTACCCCGAATGTTTTAAAAGTTTTGGTATTACCAACTTTGTCCGGCTATAGCCACATATTTTAAGTCAATATATTTTATTTAAAAAAAAGTCGGAATCGGTATGTACCGATTTGTAATCGAAATAGGGTATCCATAAATTATGTCACACGTTAAGGGGAGGAAAGGGTCGAAGAAATGTGACAGAGTGTGACAAGGAGTGGAAAAAGGTTCTAAATCTCCTGACATTACATCACAATCTAATATATCTCTAAGTATTAAAATACGAAATTTAAACTATTAACGAAAAATTTTAATTTTCAACTCTGTCTATATAAGCGTAAGGCTTAAATTGCTTTATTGGCGAGTTTACCCTGTCTACTAGTGGCGCACGCCGCAACCGCCTAAGAACTCTGATAAGTGCCGCCACACGCACAAAATGTGACGTCACAAGGAGGGAAATGGAGTCCTACAAGTGTGACCAATTATGACAAGGTCGGGAGAGGTGTACAACAGTTATACATTTCCTGTGACGTAATTTATAGATCCCTATTTTGATTCGGTGTTCTATTTTGGAAAAATATAGACATAGAATACCGAGTTTTTTTTTTTTTATTGAATACATTACGAGTTCAAGTATTGATTACGGTTTTAGTTACTTAAATCTTATTTATATATGTATATTTCAATAAATTGAAATAGGACCTGGTTTGTTGATATATCTGAATTAAAATTATGTAAACAAATATATATATATTTTCTTAATAAATGGCCATTGCAAAAATTATGACTTTCTATTGATTGGATTTGGTTATCAAATACATCCTCGCAGCTCTCCATACACGTACATGGTGAAACTCATCATTTCTGCAATGGACAGATTCTATTATGAAATGCATGTAATTGTCGCTTTCACACATTTTTATCACTAGGTCCTGTGAGTGCAGCACTGTTTTACAAATCATTTGGCTGTTATATTTAAGTTTGCTTTGTGTGTTTGTATTTCTGGTGTTATCTCTCCACTTCATTTAAATATGATTTCGCTTATTCGTAAAAACGTAAAGCCTACAATATCTATTTTGACAGTGTTTTGTCTTTTTCTTTCAATTTACGAAATGAACCCAAGAGAAAGGGACGAAACGTTCGAGTAGATAAAAATAAGTTTTTGGTTTTTACGAATAAAAAACTGTACAATGTGTTCTGATGGTGGTTATTCCATCTTCATTTATCTGTCATTCCATCAGAATGCATCCTGTTAATACAATTTTATGGGTACTTGAATGTAACAGCTAAATCGTTAGCTTGCGCGCAGCTGTGTATACCGTGACCTTTGGGGCTCGACCGTTCCAAATGCAAAAATTAACCATCAAATACTGGCCGGTCACTAATTCCACCTCTTTGGAACGGACTTTGAAAAAAAAATATGTCGCACAACATAATCGCTGGGTCGTTTCCGCTTAATTAAAAACCCTGGTGGCGGGTGGGTGCTTTCAGATCGGTCAGTTGTGGGCAGCGGGGTCGTATATGTCCCCGCGGCCCCCATGCCAGCCTCATTAGGAACGACGACACACGGCTGCGCGCGCGCTGACAGGTCGCTCGCTTTGCAGGTGGTCGAGCCGGCATTGGGGAACGGGCACGCGGGCAAGTGACGTCACTTCCGCGCCACCCATAGCGCCACGTGTGTCGACGTTCCTCCGCAACAACTTACGGACCTCACTAGCGTAGTAGTGTAACCGGTTAATATCGGTTTTTTTTTTTTATTTTCAATTTATTTTTGTTTTCCCAACGGACGGTTTTGGCTCGGACCGGTCGATGCTAGTTCGGAGCATTTGTCTGGCAACAATTATATAACTGTAAGAATAAATATACAGACAGAAGGACACTCTATTAATTCTATATTAATGCAGCCCTTCATTTTCATTTCAGCCGTTAACTGTCCACTGCTGGACATAAGCCTTCCCCATAAGGGGTTTTGCGAGCAGTTGCCACGCTTGGCAGGCGGTTCGGCAACCGCAGTTTGGCTTTTAGAGATGTTTTAGAGGGTCCTGTCGCTCTGGACAATCCTGTCCATCGCTCTACCATTATGTAATACAGGCCTGTTATGAGCTAAACCAGTAACGACTCACGCGCAGTGAGAGTCTGTCTCGCTCACTCGCACGTGTGTCGCGTATAACAAAGTAATTATGCAGGTTAGAAGGGCTTATTATCGCATTTGCAGTGTAAGAGTGTCTCTTCTACCAAGTCAGTTTATTCTTGCGATTTTTCTCTTTATATACAGGATGTAAGGGACAGGTTGGCCAAAACGAAGACAGCTGATTCTAACGAACGGCCTGTATCAGATGGCAGATTATTTTCCCACCGGAAATGCACCAAAGCCATATAATTAACGATTCTTTTCTCGATTAATTTTGTCACCGCGCAATGTATTTGAAATTTTACAATCCACACGACGCGTGATACCTACAGCGCGCGCTATTTCGTAAATAGTTTCGTACGCTTGCGGCGTCGACCTTACTCGGCTGTTTCCGCGCGTCGCGATAGAATTCAAATACGTATATTACATTGCTGGTTTTTAGTATTTAATAGTATTTCACTATAAAATATTATTATTAGTTTTTTTTTTTATATTATGACAACATCATAGAGTACGTGATTTTAAATAAATAAAGGAATAGGAATTTTCTGGAAAGAATTTCCACTGGTTTTCAATTCAGAACAATGGTCTAAATTCACTGTTTCAGTTTTAGCCAACCTGTCCATTTTACCCTGTATATATATAAACATTCTTGTGCGGCCTCGTGTCTCTTTGTAAATAAATTAGTAATATGTAACATTGAGATGGGTGATTGTGTAAATATAAAATGTTCTTATACTTGGAAGTTTGATATAAAAAAAAGTTATATAAATACGTTCATAATGTTGCTTGCACCGACATTTAATGTTTACTCACGCTATAATAGGCATGAAATTATATTTAAAAAGAAAAAATCAAATTATGCAATACAGTGTAATATTGGGGAACATGTAAATCCTAATTCGTCGATATATAAACTCGTGTATTCGAAATTAATCCATGTTTAAAATGTTGTTATATAACGAAATATATTCCTGTATTGTTAGTGATTGCTTTGAGACTGAGATAGAGAAGAGTTCATTGAAACACATACTATATATTGAAAACATAATATTAAGAAATCCAAATAAAACATTTTTTTGTTTAAATAAACTATCACTATGTTTTCTCGTAACCCATTTTATGTATAGAGTGTTCGCGCTTGAACGTGCCGCAGTGTGGCAACGTCGCATTTAACTGTCAAAATTCAAAGACAATTTAACGTCTTTCGATGGATTCGATTCTGACGAAAAGAGTTGTTTGGTCCTTTTAAATGTTTGTAGACACGTTGATTGAAAACTATCCGCCCGGACATAAAATGATGATTGATCCGTGCGGATCCGATGAAGGATTTTTGAACATTTTTTTTTTTTTCAAAAATCCTTCAATACAAACCATTGATGGCACTCTTGAAATAAATTCTAGTAGTTCAATGTATGTATGTAATTACCATCTTATACTACAATTTAAATATTTTTTTTTAACCGCTATCGTGTATTATTGGTGCAACTTGCCAATCCAAACTATTGCAAGCTGATCCCAATTTTAACCTAATCTCTAATTCTTCATGAGTGCAGTACAACTGTCATCAGCAATAGATTGGTTTGCTGTCGACATTAGATTTAGGAATCTAATATTAAATCTAATCTGAGTTAGCCAAGTAGGTGCAGCTGTTCTGAAGTGTTGAGCATACATACATTAGGCAATTATTTTTTATTAATATTAAATGTCGAATTGTTTTAAAAAAATGTCAGATAAATCCGACGTTGCCAATCTTCGGTAAAGTAAGAACATTTAAATTTTCAACTATGTATTATAAATAAAAAAAAAATTGAACAGAGCCAAAATCGTTCCGTTTCCAAGAATAATAGGGGTCGTTAGATGCGGGAATGGTATAACTGAACACGGTTTTTGACTCCGTGTGTCCTGGGATGGATGCTTCTACTATGCCAGTTATATGTTACATTATGCGTCTTATGATTGTAAACGTACTAGCGACTGTCCCGCGTCGCATTTCTTTTTTTTTTTTTTTTTAATAAAATACAACCCATAGTGTAATGATAAAGTAGCTTTCTACTGGTGAAGTTTTTAAATCGATTAGATACTTTTTTTTTAATTTATTCAATACAAACAAAGGTATCAAATATTTCTACTGCAATTTTTAGTTTAAATATAAGATGTGATATATAACTGGCATGTGTATCATGAACCATCACAAAGTCGGATGTTATTCAACTAAAAAAAAATGTAATATTTATAAAAGTATGAATTAAAAAATTTAAAACGTATAAAATCCGGTTTTGAGATGGCCCGTCATGTTATAATAATGGTGAGATTTCTTTTAATGTTATATAATTTGGCATAAGTAAAAAAAAGGTCAGCTTAGTATAGTATTTTTTTTTTCTTCTCTAGCTGACCTATTTGGGTTTTAGCAGGACGTTTAGTACTGGTGTTAATTTAATTATATTTCCTTGAACCAGTGTTAAATTTATAGTCCGACTACCAGTATATATATTTTGTAAATATATACATAAAATATATATATTTCTAACCGGCCTATAACTGCTAAAGTGTAAGATATTGAATAGGTTTATTTAAGTGACAAAGCGTAATCATAATGAAATAATTAAAAAAAAAGACTAGTAAATGTGATTTGTTGAGAACAAACCTTATTACGGAAGATAAAATAATAGAAAATTGAGAAAAAAAAAAAAGGAATTTGTCGATGAGTGAGATATGTAAGAAGCAATCTTTACCACAAACATACGGGTCGTGTGACTTCAAAAATTCTCTTGTTTTTATTTTCTCATAATGAAATTAGTCCTGAAGTGGCACGGCCCGCGTGTCTGCGGATGGAGCCTTGGTAAGGGCGTAGAATCGTGTCAGATGTTAGAAAGAGACAGGAAATCTGAATTAGCATGTGAGACAATTGAACGTATGATTTGGCCAATCAACTCTGCCTGTTCTAAACACTAACTCGTTTTGCGCGCCAAAATTTATGTAGTTGACATTTTTTGTGGCTGTTGACTGACATCTTTATCTATCACATGATGTGCTAATTGTAAAATACAAGCGTTTATAAAAATAAATGTTATTTTTTTATAATTATTTCATTTTATTTTTACTTACAATCCTATTATCCACTTTGATAATATATACAGATGCTTAGATTATATAGATAGAGTATCTGCATATAAAAGTTTCGAGAAAAGCTTATCAACTTTTACATATATATTTACGTGATAAATAGTTATGAGCGATTCCTTTATAACTTTTTTTTTTGTCTTATAAATTCTGCATTTTTTTAATGTGCAAAAACTTATTTATTAAATAATATAAATGTACAAACATACATTAATAAAAAACTAGTCAGCTAATTTGACAATAAGCTAATAAAAAGGTGACCCGTTTTTAAGGCTCGATGCTCTATAATCTAAGTGCAGACGATATAGCAGGGAGTCAGTGGATGCAGGTGGCTTAGGAACGTTCCTTATGGCAGTCTATTCCCTTATACATTCTCATATACAATATGAGCGATCAGTAAAATAGGCAGTGGCGTAACAACAGGGTGGCAGGGCTGGCAAAATGCCACGGGCCCCCGACCCAAAAGGGCCCCGGCTCAAGAGGCCTCGAGCTCAGATTTTTTTACATTGTACCTGAGTATTTTACTTTACTTAAAAAGTATTTTTTTTACTGATAGGGCTCCATCAAAAGAATTTGCCCCAGGCCCCAAATGGTATAATTATGCCACTGAATATAGGTACTTAAGTCTTAGGAGAGATCTTGCCTCTACATATTCTACCGCTTGTACAACGGACTGTGCTCAGAGTAATTGTTCAATATGATGCCCACTGCCACTTTCTAGTGTCATACAGTTCGCCATCGACAGGGAGTTCATCCTCACACCCTACAGCCTAAATGGTCGCGTACAGCGCGATTTCAGAGATGTCACAAACGCTCCGGTTATGGAATAAGCTCCCTGTCAGTGTTCTCGAAAGACTATAGTATGAGGTTCTTAAAAAAAGGAGTAAATAGGTTTCTTCAGAGTCGGCAACGCGCACGTAATCTCTCTGGTATTGCAGGCGTTCATAGTCTTCAGGTGGTGGTAGTGAAATGGTAACCCCGCCTGCGCTTATCGTATACGCTGGGGGAAATGGAGTGTTAGTAACATGGAGGTTAGTTCTCCTTACTATCAATATTACCTATCAGATCGACTTCCACGCGGTTCTCCCTGGACGTCATCGTGACTAATTTATCGTTGAATTCGTTACGATGGGCTAACTGACTGTTTTTTCATTCTCACTAATCATCCCTCATTGGTGCCTTGCCAACGTATATCGATAACGCAGGCTGGGTTACCATTCCATTCTCACCCATTAAAAAAAACGGTATGCGCTAGCGGTACACGCTTTCAATTGATCACGTTAAAAAATAAATTGTATTAGTATCAAAGGTGCTCAAATATTATGTTGCGTGAAGAAGATACATTGATAAGTTATTCACCTTTCCCCTAACTCCCCTCCTCTTTTTTTATACGACTTAGAATGGCAAACAAGCTGACGGTCCACCTGATGGAAAGTGGTAACCGTCGCCTATAGATATGAGCAGTACCATGGATATAACAAAGTATACTGTTTCGCCCATAATACCCCCCATGCGTTGCCATTCCTAAGGACTCAGGTGTTATTCCTCTGTACCCTGTAAATTCACGCCAAATTTTTCCTTATGCCTCGCTAGATATATTGATTATATACTGTACCTTTTTTAATTTAAAATAAGTTTTTTTTTTTTAATTTAAAGAAGTATTTTATATACTATACCTTTTTTTTTATACCACTGAAGTGTCAACAAACATACGGCCCACCTGATCGAAGCAGTTGCCGCAGTAGCTGGATTAGTATACCCTATCAGGTCGAACTGAATTTGTCATTCGTTTCAAGTGTATTCATCACTATAGGCTTAATGACCTGCCTTTTCATTTTCATCAATCATCTCTCACTGGTACCTATATCAGCGTATACCGATAGCGCAGGCGAGGTTACCATTCCATTATCATCCATTAAAAAGCTTATACCAAGCAAAGGTAAATAAAAAATAGAAGCACATTCATACATTAAAAATAACTTTATGGATAGTTTTATGGGCGATTTTCGATCAATGAAACGGTGTTACTGAATTATGAAATCTGAAAATGCTCAAGAATTTAGTGCAGTTTGCAATTGCAACATGTTTCATAATACAATTAAAATCTAAGGAATCCTGGTCAGGTAATAAAATAGAAAAATACTTATTATTATTTATATTACACGTTTATTATAATATAATAAATAGTATGTTGGTAAATAAAACAGACACGTGAAACAGAATCTTCGCTTTATTCAGCAATTTCCGGTTGAAAAAAAATATAATCAACAAAACTACAATTGAAATTCTGAACATGACTATTTTTACAAACAATTTACAGCGTTTTTTTTTTTTTATAATTATTGTCGGCGCACCTGAACGCAGTGTATGCGAAGAGCGCGAATCGACATCGTAAACAAAAAAAAATCAATAAAAAAAAGTTATATTTACACATAAAAGGTACTGCACGAATGTGGCCATAGACAACCACAAAGAAAAAGTTAAAAGAAAATAATATACAGCGCGCCATCGACACAGCATTCAGTGGCGTCGCAATGGCCTAAACTATTAATCGGAAACTTATCGAGGTACACATTTCCTATTTATTTTACTAAGCGTATGTTAACGGCCCCAAAAAAATGGGGCCAATTTTTTTTTTACATTTTTTCTTCCCAAACGCAGCCTTTTGTACAGTATATGATACTTACTAATTATATATGTATAGGTAGACATAGTTAAAACCGTTACATTTTTTTTTGTTGTGAGTTCTTCATCTTAGCAGACCGTGTATGGGGCTGGTAGGAAAAAGGACTCACTGTATTTTTTAAACGTGAAATAACAGGACACTTGCGTAAACACGAGTTGATATAATTCGCATAGCTCTTACCCGCCGCTTCTCTCGCGGCGCGCATAAATAAAGGCCTTGTTTCTTTGAAAATTATCACATTTCATCAAATCAGGTGAAATATTGTGCGCGTACGCCGCGGAAGAAGCGCGAGCCACATTGATTTAGTTTACATTAAAATACATAATCGCAATATTTTTTAAACATTTTTTTGCTTTTTTTCTGCAAAAATTCTAATTAGAAGTGAGTGGAACGGACAAATTTTAAACTTGAATTGGATCCCGAAAAAGAAACTACATTTTAACGTCGATTTTCCTTTGAATAAACTGCGAATTGACTTACAAAAATATTTCATAATGAACAAATACGTTGCGGATCCGACCCCCCGCCCCCCACCTCCATTCAGAAAAAGTAATACGTTTAGCTTAAATCTATTTAAACAAAATCGAATTTAAATTCTTGTACAAAACAAGTTACTTTGATTAAAAAATTAAACTACTAAACCGATTTTGATAAAATTTCTATGGAACCAATTTGTGAGTATATTCTTTAAAATAAAAAAAAAGAATTTTCCAAATCTGTTTATAACCGAGGGAGTTATGAAGTAACAAATACAAAAAATACAAACGAACTGAGAACCTCCTTATTTTTAAAGTCGGTTGAAAATAGGTTCGCAGATTTTAATTTTTATGAATAAAGTTAGCTTCTAAAATAAATCGTTTAGAATACATTTAAAATAATGCATACTCTGTTGCTTACAGTAAGCGTGCTAGTCTTAAACCTATATGAAGGCGATAAGTATACGGCTCGCCTGATGGTAAGCATAGCGCTCTTTGCCAAATAACAGAATCTTTCTGAAGAGCTGTATACTATTTTTTAAAGAATGCCGCAACGTAGTGTGTATTGATTTTATTATGGTTTTTGCAGGAAATTCGCAGTTTAACCAACTTAGAGATTGTTAAATAGCATTAAATGTTTACTAACTACATGGTGTCTACCGTAATCTAATAATTTAATGGACACATTCCTAAGTTACTACAATTTATAAATACCAATTATAATAAACATTGTACATTTGCTTGCTTGTTAAAGAATGAATTGTCGATATTGAAAGAGAACATTTCCGGAATAAAACACTATGGTCATTCCATTTTTAAAAATTGAAATTATTCTTTTCAAACATGGCTACCTCTTACTTTCCCGCCAATATTAAAATCAGTGACGAGATTTAAAATGAGAACGCAACGCAATGCAAAACATTTCTAAAAATATTGTGTAATAATACAATTTTATTATCTCACTTCCGCGTCATTTTCAACAATATCTACACGATTAATTACTATTTAAATTATTTTTACAATACATCGAAACGAGAATGTGTTAATTGTAGTTTCTTTATCAGTGCACGGTCCGTTTCGTTTCACGGCCTATCCCGCCAATTCGCGTCGTGTCAACGGTGAATCGATTGCGTCACAATAATCGTCACGGCTAATTCGACGCTGACACAGCACAAATATGTCAAAACAGAGCCTTTTTAGAGTGTTCAACACGAGAATCGGAGTACATACAATTATCCCTTTATATTAAGGTCTATTATTGGTTGTTTCTTATTATAATTAAAACCAAATAGCCTGTATAAAGCGTCCAGTAGTAAATACTACAAATCCTCAACAACAAGGGGAATCCTCTACAAATGTAGAGGATTCCCCTTGTCCCATATATATTTTCAACTTAAAAAAAAAACTCCCCTGCCTTACCTTCGCTACTCAAACATTATTTTTCCAAATAAAATTTCCCGCCATATTTACACTTAGAAGGGTATTGCCATTATCATGTTAATAATAACTATTTCATTTCCTACGCTCCGTGTTGAACACTCTAAGCTTTATCATTCATTAAATTAGGACTAGCGGGAGCGGGTATAGAAAGGCGAATATTTATAGCGTGTGAGATCGTGTGGCAATTGCGATTTTAAATAGCAGTATTTAAAGGTCATTTCAGTTTGTACTAGTAAGAAAATTGGGTGTTCCCTATTTAAAATTGTATTTAGAATCGCAACTGTCGATTGGGGCTTACGCAGACGAGCAACATGAGGGCAAATCTCCATCGTGTCGATGGACATAACTACGCCGAGGACAGTTCCACGTGTGCGCACGCCCTTACACGATCTATGCCTTCTAAGGAAAGCATCTATATTTAGACATCGTCAAGCCACTTTATAATCAAGTTTCATATTTTATATCAATTAGCATTTTCACTTTTAAGTATTCCCATATTAGTATTATACCTTTTAGTTTTTTTTTTTTAAACTAGACATAAAATCGTGTCGAAGGTATCAATTCTAAGTTGATTATCTATGATACGGCCAGTAACTATATATATAGGAATATTTCGAATCGCACCATAGATAATCAAACTTTTTTCGTTTCATTATTCAGAATTTCTATAATAAAAAAAATTACATTTTTAAATTAGTTATAGAAATTCTAAACAATCTACCAATCTGATTAAAAAAAATCAGCTTTGAAATATTCAACGCCAATTTGTCCAATACCGCGATGGGATATCATAAATACCCATAACCTCATTTGGCATGAATTATTACCAAGAAGTACCAGATATCATTGTACAGATCAAATATATCTAGATAGAGTATCTCTCTAAACACGCATTGCCAAAACGCCCATTTGAAAAAAAAAATGGCGTCCTATTTAAACAATATAAAGCTGTAGTGATTTTTTAGTTGATTTTAACTTTCATAAAATACACTGTCATGTTATTTATTTACTAATAATTTACCCGCAACTTCTGTGTTATCGGAATATGTTGATGGACCGAAATCACTTTCCTTCTACATCCCAAATATTACTATGACAATTGGTTGAGCCGGTAATGCGTTAAGATGTAACAAACAAATTCACCAAAAATTATACTAATGAAATAAAGATAAGTGTAAATATATTATAATACCAATATTATACTTTTGGACTTTTGTACAGAACAAAAAAACGACATATCATTCAAGAGACGGCTGAGCGTTTTTTGATACTCGATGCTCTATCTAGATTTATACGATCCATTATACATTATATACTTTTCAAAAGTAACATCCTAGATTGGTTTTCGGTGATACAAACTCATTTTAGTACATTTACTGCCATTTTGAATACCAGTTTAATGTGTAAATGTCTATAGTAAAATGTTATTAAAAAGACGAATAGAATGTAACAATTATTTCATTACATGAATTTATGGTTTATAAACATATCCCCATAAGTACACTTTACACGCTTTTTTTATACTTCGAATTACATAGTCTGTGGTACACGTATAAATAAAAAAAAATATATTACAAAACAGATTAACCAATGTTCATAAATAGATGTGTTTCAAATTGTAGAATCTGGGAGATTTAAAAAAAAATGATAATTTTTAAATATAGAAGCTTATGATATAATATGAAATATTATTTCTTCTACCAATACCTAGAAATTACAGCCTGAATATGAAATATAAAAAAGAAATATTTGTTATACATTAGCCATAGACAAAAGAAACTGTTTTTTTTTAATACATAAATTATTATATTAAAACTATTTTGATATAGACAATTAGGTTTAATCCCATATTGAATCATTGATATGACAAAAACCAAGATTCATACTTCCATATAAAAGTTATACTTAAAACTGTTTTTTAAAGTAATTATTATAGTACTTTTTTAGTCTTAGGTTGTTTATCTAGATTTTTTTTAAAATATCAATGCATTTAAGGCATCTACATTAAACTAAACTACAGAATGTTATTTAAATAAGTTCGCAAATGCCAGCGTGAATATCAATATATATTAATATTATTAAAAAAAAAAGTGTTCTAGCCCGCAATTAAATAAAAAAAATGTTATCCCACGGTTGGAGGAAATAAACAAACAAACACGATATAATCGCAACTACTTATTGCATAGAAGAATGATGCGAGTCTTTTGCCTAATTCATAAAATAAAAAAAAATAAAAAATGGCGCCAAAACTGAATAAAAATTTTCATGTGACATTAATGAAGTAAAACGAATGTTGCGAGCCTTTTGCCTGTTACATAAAAAAAATACGACAAAAAGGCGCTAAAATTTTAAATATCGAATTTTATATTTTTTTCATCTCAACTGACATTTGCTTATAAATTAACTAAGTCACAGCCACGGTAATTATATTTAAATTAGTATTTTACATTCAAACTATCGACTCTTTTAAACAATCGAACAAGCGTGAATAATTATTTTGGAATTAATTTCACCGCGCCATTCTACAAATGCGCATTGTATCTTATTTCTTATTATTGATATATAGGAAAATTGTAACTCAACGATGTCTGTACATGGAAATATTTAAGAAAACTTTATACGAGGGATCTTGATAAGACCAATAGATGCCAAAACAACATTTTTTAGAAATTCTATCTATATGTTTGAGCCGGTACACACAAATACTACTAAACCAAATTCGATGCGATTGCCACAGTTGCATTCCTGAAAATCTAACTTAAAATCTGGTGTATGTTTCAATTTAATACGCTATATACAAGCGGTCTATATTAGTTTTTCTAGTTCTGTAAGCCATGTGTACGAAGTAGTAGACAGAAAGTTAGTATAATTTTTTTTGGAAATATACAGTTCTACTGGATGAACCAAAGATAATGCTGTGTTGCCATTCTCAACTCATAAAAATCAATAGTAATTGAGATTAAGTCTGTGTAAATTTAATAATTGATGTTTTCTCAAATTTATTGAATCCATAATGGTTTTATTTTTTTTCTATAGGTTTTTAGATCTGTTAACTATACCATACGTATTTATTATGACACAAAATATAAATTGAGCTATACGTAAAGTTTTTTTGGAAAGAACATTCATATTTTACTGGTAACACAGAACACACTTTTAAAATTATACTAACAATTTCACCCTGTATGTTGGCAAATTTAAAACTAATTTTGATTATTTTTTATTAGCTCTATGACAATACTAGTTGCCGTATGGTCCCTGCATGGCATGGACCACTCATTCCTTTCCCATGGGTGTCGTAAGAGGCGAATAAGGGTATTTAATAGTCAAATATCGGGCAACAGCGTCCCTCTTAAAACATCACCAAAGCCTAACTGCGGTTGCCAATCCGACTGCCAAGCGTGGCAATTACTGGCAAACCCACCATTGACAAATACCAGAAGGAAATCACCCCCAGTCATTGACTCGAGACCGTTCTATATGGTAGTCTACGAGCGAGACTTATATTCAGTAGTGGACAGTTAATGGCTGAGATGATGAAGATGATGATGATAATAATGATGATGAACACTAGCTAAGGTTAAAATACATTCATAATATTCGTTTCTTTATAAGTTTGTAACACAACGTTTAGAAATCCTCGGAACGGTGAGGTCGCTCCATGAGGCCTGTGAAGAACCCAGGAAGCTTCTGCGCTTCTGGGCGGAGCTAGGTTGGCAGCACTAGCCACGACTCATACGCACAACGGCCCAAATGAGAGGCTAAGCGCGGAAAATAGAGTTCTATTTACATTACATTACAAATATGTATTCGTATAATAAATAAAAAGTAAATTAAAACTAATCGTAAAAAGGGAAGCTTAAAAAGCTCAAGGGGTAACTTTTTTTTTTTCAAATTTCTTAACTACATTTAAATTAACTATAAGAAGTAAAATCGGTCATTTACACGACTCGAATAACTTTGATATCTTACTATGTCCTAATGCTATAAACTAACTATATCCCGCGGAGTTTGCTCATGTAAATGGGGTTGGACAGTACCTTACGTTTAATCTAGAATAATAACTTTCTATATACGAAATTTCATTGAAATCGATTCAGCAGTTAAGAACTGTTGTTGTTGAAACTGGTTTCTATAGGATCGTTTGTTCTATAATTAAACATAGCTGAAAACAACATAAACGAAGCCGCAGGCGAATAGTTAGTTAAATATAGTGATTAAAATGCCAATATTGAGAATATATGGGAGTCAAGACTCTTTTATGGTATGTTAGTCTATGGAATTGTATTGAGAAAGCTATCAATCTGCCATGATGACAGTAAAAAAAATATACCATTCAGATGACAAACAAGTATACGGCCTGCCTGATAGTAAGCTGTCACCGTAGCTTGAGGACACTTGCAGTATTAGAGGCGTTACGTAAGCATTGGTCGACCCGAAACTATTAATAAAAAATAAACATATTCACGTCTATAATCACTAACAAGGTAGTCAGAGTCATCTATCGACTGTTCCCGTTATGGTGAACGTAACAGTCGACACACGCATATTTCGCCGAGCATGTTGGTATGCAACGTTGCGGGGGCGAGCCTACCGTCGTCACTCGAGCTATTTGGTTTGTTATCACTGTTAGTGGACAGTAAAACACTTTAATAATTGTTTTTTTTTCCTATACCACGAAAGTGGCAAACAAGCCTACAGCCCATCTGATAGTAAATGGGTCACTGTAGTCCATCGTGCCTATCTTAGACTTCTCTAGTGCCCAACCCAGGATACTAACGAAGCTTTAGTTATGCGTAGACATGTCTAAAGCTATATGGGAAATCATATTAAATGCTCCAATGTTATAACGTCAATAGCCAATTTTTTTTATGTTCATGTGTTCTTTGAATCATATAATAGCGAAGGAAACACCGAAACAATTAATTAATATTATAGTATTTTTATTTTATAGAATGGGCCATCCCTTTCATCCACGTGGATGTCGTGAGAAGCGATTAAGAGAACTTGGCGGTTAAGGGATAGGCAGCAAGGTCCCTTTTAAAATATCACTAAAGCCGAAATCAAACGGTTGTTAACCCGCCTGCCAAGCGTGGCAACTACTGGCAAAACCCCCCTTATGGGAAAGGTCTATGTCCAGCAGTGGGCAATTAATGACAGATATATAATGATATGATTTTATATTCATGCGATAATTTAACTAAAACGCGAATAAAAGTAACGTTTGAAAATTTTAAATTCCAAAATTAAAGATATGCCTTATATACCTATAGTGTACACAGACTATATAATTCAAAGACGCCGTTTCGTTTCACTGTTTTTATAAACAGAACGAAAAACACCTTTCATATTAAACTATGGTCTTTGAGAGATAATTTAAAAACATTTTCATTTTTATTATCACATATTTAATAATAAAAAAAAAAAATTAAATAAACAACATATGGCCAGATCGGCTTCGGCGCGTCAATTTCATTTTTTTTTTAATAACGCCATTCAGTAATTATTTCAAATAAAAGTAATACTTTTTTTTTTATTTGCAGTCTGTATAATATGACAGTTAATAAACATTGCATTTATTTAATTAAACAGAGAATTTCTTTTAAAGTTTTCCAAGAAATGGCTAAAAAGCTACAGTTACGATCATAGACAATGTTATTAAAAAAAAAAATTACATTGTCGCAATTTTTTTTTTAAATAATTAACACTGGTTACTTATTAGCCAACAGATTAAAAAGTTACAACATTAATCAACATTCTAAATTTTACTTGGATTCGTTTTTCAAAAATTTTCCCGCCCTTTACAATTTGTCTGAAGGTAATTCCAATTTTTAATAATAACAAAAATTTTAGAAAGAATTAAAAAATATTTATAAGCCGGGTGATTGATTTTATACAATGTACTTGGTGAACATAATATAGCCTATTTAAAAATTAAGTAGACATATAAAATTCAATGTAATTATTTAAAGCTGTACACTGAAACGTCTTGGCCTCATTAGGGGAAAATAAATAAATACAATATGGCGGTAAATTACTTGAGTTTTGGCTAGAACACCAAAATGGGTAGCACCTTTTCGACCACCCGATCCATTGGCGCGTCGATGTTCCTTTTCAAATCCGTGGATTCTTGCGGATCTGCCGCATCGAGATCGGTACTGACAATTTCATTGTCACAATCCGCGCTGATACTCGAATGTTGTTTGTGTGGCGAACATGGAACATTTGCCGAGCCGCTGCCATCGCGTTTGACATCACCGGTTGTGCAATCAAACTCGTTACTTACATTGAGATCTGTTATTACATTATGACTGTTTATATCGCGAACAGGGTCCGCGTCCGCGTTGGCACTGGCCGCGACTTTGTGAGCCGTCACATCGGGGCGTGGGTTACCGTTATGTGGCGAGCGTGACGGGTGTGGCGAGTGTGGCGGGTGTGGCGGGCGTGACGAGTGTGGCGGCCGTGGCGAGCGTGGCGGGCGTGACGGGCGGGGCGGCTGTCACGTGACCTCCATCGGCAGCGAGTCGGCCGTCCGCCGCCGCACCGAGCCGTTGGTGGCCGTCTCCTCGTCCTGCAGCCCGCGCTCCGCCGAGATGGTGGCCGGGGCGGACGACGTCGCCGGGGCGGTCGACGCCTCAACTATTTCGCTGGAATATTTAAATTAATTAATCAATATTTATATATATTCACCTAAATTAAATTAAAGCATTATAATAAAATTACATTACTTTCAATTATATATTACATCCGTCGTATGGTCCCGGCATAGAATGGACCACCCATTTCTTGCCCGTGATACTTGGTGGATAGGTAGCACAGCGTCCCTTTTAAAACATCACTAAAGCCTAACTGCGGTTTCCAACCCATCTGTCAAGTGTGGTAACTAGTGGGAAAACTCCCCATTAATGGATAATGACCTTTTTTCCGCCATCAATGTCCAGAGAAACCCAATATATAGATATCGGATCGGTATCCATATTACCTATGCCTATTGAGAATACATAATTGACATTATTGCATTGCTTTGGGTTGGCTGGAAGAGATCTCTTTTAGAGATAAGCCCACCCTCGCTAACAAGTTGTTAAATCGCTGTATCTTTTGTTCAAGTGCAATAAAGAATATATATATTACTAGCGACCCGCCCCGGCTTCGCACGGGTGCACATTACACCACATCATATTAGAAACCACTAAATTTATCAGTGTTTCTCTACTATATTATGCATGTATTATACATATAAACCTTCCTCTTGAATCACTACTAATAAAAAACCACATCAAAATCCCACTGTGTAGTTTTAAAGATCTAAGCATACATGGGGACAGACAGACGAGAAGCGACTTTGTTTTATACTATGTAATGATAAAATAAAGATACATTTATTTAACAAAGTATGTTTGTATTAGCACAGAATTTATCATTGATTCCTACACTAGGCTGAGCCTGTCCTGAGGAGACGCTCTTATCATCACGGGGCGGGTCGCTGCCGTCGGAGATGTGGTGAGTGCGAAAGCGAATCCATGTCTCCGACTTATGGCACCTCGAGGGTATATCGTCTGGTTTTTGGTGGGTACACCCCCGCCTTACGGGGGGAGTCCCACAGTACCCATTCACCGCCCACAAGGTATATAGGTCTGCATAAAGCATTTTCCAGACGTTAAAAAAAAAGGCTAAGCCTGTCCTGTATATCATATACATGCATATAGATATTAAACATCCGACAATCTGGACAAACTAATGGTTGTAGGCAAGATAGAGGGAAAAAGACCACGCGGACGATCGCCTAATCGATGGTCGGACCAAGTAACCGCCGTTACGGGACTGTCAATTGCAGCTGCCCTGCGAGAGGCTGAAGACCGTGTAAAATGGTATAACATCATAAGAGAGGCAACAGACACCTTTCAAGGACACGACCTTCAGTAATGAAGAGGACGAAGAGAGAGAGAGATATTAAACATAGGCTTTTTAGCAGTACTCTTATAATTGTGTAACTCATTTGTATAACGCAATTATTTCATTTAGATCTCATTACCAATATAATGATGATGACAATGATTAAGAGGTCAATGTATAGACAGTATTTCAATGATGTTTGTGACAATACTAACGCGACTGGCACGGGCCTCGGCTGCGGTATCAGCCTGGCCTGTCTCGCCTTCAGCTGCGCGGTGGTGAAGGCGATGGCCTGCACGTTGGCGGACAGCGGCTGCCCGCCCGGACCGGAGATCGCTATCTTGGGGCCGCGCGGCAACACCGCCGTCTTCTGTAGCAAGTTCGCCACCACAGCGTTCGGGACCCTGTGATCGAGCATACACCTGGTTTGAGACCTCTTTTAGAGATAAGTTCAGTTATTAATATAAGTTTTGTTATTAATACATTTAAATGCAATATATATATATTTTGAGTAGGACTAATTTTGTTACCCTAATAAAGTATCCTAATAACATGATTTTTACCTATTTCTTTTGTAACAATGTGTTGACATCTAAAACTATACAAAATCTCCAATTGATAGCATTAATAATAATGGCCATTCGTATAAAGTCAAATAATAACTTATCGAATATTATTATTTTGAAATAGAATCTTAAAAGTTGATCCTTCGAGCCGGATTACCAGCGATTTATTTTAAGATTAGGTTATTTTTTTTTTTATTTTAATCCAATTTCGTACCTCGCATCCGTGACGTGTAAGGGGCGGCTCTTGAGCTGTATCTGCTGGCGAGGGGGCCGCGTCGACAACGTTGGTATAGTGGGCAGAGCGGCGTGAACTAGCGTCCGACCGTCGAGCCCTAGACTGAGCCGCTGCGGACGAGCGGTAGCGGTAGCGGGCGCGGTAGCAGCGGCGGGAGCGGTAGCGGCGGCGGGCGCCGTAGTGGTTTCTCGCCGCTTGGGCGCCGGTTGCCGGACTACGTTAACGAGGTGAGGACCTTTGGCTAGCTGACCGCCCTGTAAAAAACAAAATATATAAATTATATTTTTATAGAATTTGAATAGTCAAACAAGTATGTGTAGTGGGCACACTTGGTGAAAAATATAACCAGTATCTACAAACGTAATAACACCTGAGTTCTCAGGGATGGCAACGCATGGGGGGGGGTATCATGGGCGAAACAGCACACTCTGTTATGTCCACGGTACTGTACTGGTCATGTTACCGACGTTGACATGACCAGTACAGTACCGACAGTATGTTACCGACCGGCGACGGGTACCACTTTCCAGCAGGTGGGCCGTCGTGTTGATCGCGACTGTAACAGACACCCACCTTGATCTCGAAGAACTGCGCTACGGAGCCGGGCGCGGCTTTCAGCAGCGCGGGGTGGCGTGCGTCTGACAGCGGCGCTAGTGGCGCTAGTGGCGCGAGCGGCGCGAGCGCGACGCCGGCGGCCGCCGCGCCCGCGCGCGCCGCCAGCAGCTGCGCGCGCTGCGACTGCGTCAGCGGGTGCGCGTGCAGCACCTGCGCCGCGCACCGCCCAGTTGCATTACAATGATACACGGAACAACTATTCACTGTTTTCACTTGATACACGTGTCTATCATTTAACATATGCACATACATACATAAATATATACCCAAACGCATTCGCACTTTCACGCATACACAGCAGGATACATGCACACACACGCACTTACGCACGCACGCACGCACGCACGCACGCACACACACACACACAAACACTTTTTTTTATATTAACTTTATTATTCTTTTTTTATCACCTTCTATTAATTATTGTTTTTTTTATTTTTATTTTTTGAATGTGTAATTTCAGTGAAATGCATTTTGTTTCATTATTATTTAAACACATATCGGTTGGGGGCCTGGTGATCTGCACTACAGGTCTTAACCTATTACAGATACCAGCTCCTCACAGCAGAGTGCCATATTATTTTAATTTTATTGTATCCTAAATACCTATGTGTAAATTTAAGTTGTTTGTAAGGAGACATAAATAAATATATTATTATATTATATTATTTTATAATCACAACTCACTCCATCCCACGGCTTTGCCTGTCGCATTGTGATATTGAAAAAAACTATTACATTGTTTTGTCACATTCTTTCCAATTGGAAATTTTGTGTAAATAAAAGAGACAAAGTAATTCAACAGCTAAAATAAAACAATATAGTTTATACGAATAAGGGAGTTAATTTATAACATTAAAACAGTATTTGAGTAAAAAAGATAAAAATCATATCTCGCAGTATATGCTGCCTGAGTAACTATGCCTTCTTTATCATGATCATAGATACAATATTTGTTTTTTTTTTTATACAACTTAGAATGGCAAACAAGCTGACGGCCCACCTGATGGAAAGTGGTAACCGTCGCCTATAGACATGAGCAGTACCGTGGACATAACAAAGTATACTGTTTCGCCCACGATACCCCCCATGCGTTGCCATTCCTGAGGACTCAAACGTTATTCCTCTGTACCCAGTAAATTCACGCCATATCCCACCCTTCAAACGAAACACAGCCATGCAAACACAACTGCTTCACAGTCACGGTATCTATGATCATGAATTAAAAAAAAAAGTCAAGTGCGGCTATAATAGTATTAAGTAGATATGGGTCACTTAACAATTCTTATGTTAACACAGTACCTCAAACGCATTCCCTTGCACTGGTTTATTAACTCAAAATGAAGCAATATGGCGCATACAATAACTTGTCTTTTGTATAGCTGTATTGTATTTAATCATGTGCTAAAAAAAATAGACGACAAGTTTTTCCTTGCTCTATATTTTACTGCATTTGTATACGGAATAAGAATAAGAATATCTTTATTTCCTTTAACGAAATTAATCTATGGTACAATATAGCTAAGACCCCACACTGGGCAAAGCCTGTCTCGTGGAAGTCAAAGCAAGTCATTTTACAGTTATGTTGCGGCGAACAGGGCTAATCTAATTATATAATGTTTCATGTGAATTTAGGTACACGTAGGCGCATGGTTTGTGTGGGTGTGTGCGTGTGCGCGTGTCGGTACGCGAGTGTGTATGATGAGTATATATAGTATACTAGCTTGCGCCCGCGGCTTCGCCCGCGTGGATCTTGGTTATCGCAATATGCAATTTTTGGAAATAACTCGATAGATTTATTTTGACAAGGATTAATAGCATGAGTAAAATAAATGCGTTTTGAATGTAGTCCAAAAAATTCAAGATTTTTAAATAAATAAGTGGTTCTTGTGCCTCACTCGACATAGATAGGTATAGTGTGTCGCGGACACGATCGTGGATCGCGGATAAGATCTACAATTAATTAGAACATTTTATGGTTCTATCTTTTATAGTTTAGGAAGCGTACGCAAAATAAGTAACTTTTCTGGTTGATTTTTTACACCTTGTGTCCGAAAAACCCAAATATTTTACGGAACCCTATTTTTTTCCAAAATAAAATTTAGCCTATGTTACTCGTGGATAATGTATCTTTCGAATGGTGAAAGAATTTTTAAAAACGGTCCAGTAGTTTTTGAGCCTATTCATTACAACCAAACAAACGAAAGTTTTCCTCTTTATAATATTAGTGTAGATATACTGTATATATAGTTTACAAGCATTACCTCAAAGTCCCATTTTACTTTTCCCTAACAACTTTCCTGGAGTGCGCTATGCTACAACTCATATTGAAAACGTGTGATAATACATGCAGCGCAGCGTAGTGAACTGGCGTAGTGTTAGCATATATGCTAGTGATGTTTTTTTCAATAGACAATAATGTAATGGCAACCCTGCCTCCTGCCTGTGCAAACAGTATACGCTGGCGGGACACGACAGTGAGGGATGATAGGTGAGAATAAAAAGGCAGATCAGTTAGTCCATCGTGATAAATACACGTGTGATTCAGGTCGGGCTGATACCCTATCAGTGCTGGTGGTGTAGTGGTGGTCACCTTGAGCTTGTTGGGCGCGACGTGGTGTATGGCGTGCGGGTGCGCGACGACGAGCGGCGCGTGCTGCGCGTGGGTGGCGTGGGTGGCGTGGGCGGCGTGGGCGGCGTGGGCGGCGTGCGCGGCGTGCGCGGCGTGCGCGGCGTGCAGCTGCAGCGGCTTGTGCGCCAGCTGCACCAGCGGCGCGCCCGCCCGCCGCGCCACGCCTCCACCGGCCGCCGACACCACGCCCGCCGCCGACACACTGCCCGCCACCGACAGTTTCACTGTACACGGAAAACAAACATGTTACTTTCTTACATATGTAACATTGTGTTCATTTAGTATCTAATACGAACTACCATTTTGTCAGTGTTTCTTTTACCTACGTACACCAAATCATTGTTTATTTTGAATATGTTAAAAAATATTTAATTTTACACTACATTTTTAAATATTATCAATTTATTTTCACAATAATGAATTTATAAAATAACTACCAGTCATTCAATGACTGGATGGTAGTAATCAATGAATGTAAATATGACAATACCCTTTTGGAAAGGGCAGTCGTGTTCGGAACATGTAAATGAATAGAATTATAATACTATCAAGGCAAGCAGAGTGTTATTTTCAATAGACGATACTTCACTTTAAAATCTATTTACAACTCACTTTAAAATGTATTTCCTTTATTTTTCTATTTTTTTTTTCTCTATTTGTACATGTCTATCTATATTTATTGTTATTTCTATGCTATAAAAGACATTTTTTAGCCATCTGTCTATTACTGCACTAATATTACTGCACATTATTCGCTTCTATATTATCATTTTAGAAACCTAAACTATATAGATAGAATACGAGTGTCAAAAATAAATAAAAAAAAAAAAAACAGGGGATGTACCATGGCGTGAATTTACTGGGTACAGAGGAATAACACCTGAGTCCTCAGGAATGGCAACGCATGGGGGATATCATGGGCGAAACAGTATACTCTGTTATGTCCATGGTACTGCTCATGTCTATAGGCGATGGTTACCACTTTCCATCAGGTGGGCCGTCAGCTTGTTTGCCATTCTAAGTTGCATAAAAAAAAAACTGTTTTCAGATACAATTTCATATTTTTATTGGCCAGAGAATCTATCATAATTTTTTTTTATTTCTCCCTCTAATCAATACAATCGACGTTTGATTGTGTAAATTTTAACTCGAATTGTATTTTTTTGTAAAATTTTTACACAAAAAAAAAATTTAAATCAATACAACAAATTCCATTTTTTTTCAGTGTTGCAAGTCTTAAAATCTCCTAGACCAAGTCGACTTTATATATCCAAATTAAAACTTTTTTTATATTATACAAATATATTAGTTACAAATTAAAATACATGTATTAATTAAAATGGACATTTTCGACGAAGTTAAAACAAAAACATATTATATATCTAAACATTTATATGAAGATACTCAATTTACATAATTTATTTATTTCAGATTAAAAACCAAGTGCCCCAATAAAAGTCATCCTGTCAATTTGTTTAAAACGTTTGGTATTAGATACATAGAGGACATAAAAATTAGATATTTTACATTTCTTCAGACAATTTTTCCAATTTTTCTCTTCATAAGAACCTTGCTCGAATTACGACAAATATTTTAAAAAAAAACTAAGCTAAACTTCTTGTAATTATTTATATTTATAATAAGTTTACTATTGTAATCTTTTGGAGGAAACAATAAAGACTATCTATCTATCTATCTAACTAAGAATTTAACAATAAACGAAAGTGTGCTTGTGTCAATAAACTAGCTATGAAATAAACTTTATTCCATGCTTATTATAGTTTATTTATTAAAACACTGACTAACACATTGTCTGGGCTCTTAATATATTTATTTATTTATTTATTCATTAGTACATATATGTGTACATGGCGGACTTAATGCTAAAAGCATTCTCTCCCAGTCAACCATAGGCAAGTGTCAGAATACTCGAATTAAATTGTTTTTTATTTATTTTCACTCACCGGTGTCAGTCCGTTCGGCGCGATCGGCCCGATCAGTCCGGTCGGCCCGATCCCGCTGCAGGGGCAGTGCGACCGCCACGGAGGGGAACGGCCCGTTCTGAACCAGTACACCCGACTGGCTCGACAGAAGGTGGTTCTGAAGTCGCACCTGTGGGACATAAAGACATACAATTAACTAGGGTAATGTTTTAAATTCTATTTACGTAGTTAGTTGCTACTTAATGGGGTGGGAGGGGATGGTTAGTAACAGAGATTGCACTAGTTTTTTTTTAATGGGTAATAATGGAATGGTAACCCCACCCGTGCTATCGGTATACACCGGCGGGGCACCAGTGAAGGATAATAGGTGAGGATAAAGCAGGTCAGTTAGCTCATCGTGACGAATTCAACAAGAATTGTTCACGATGGTTTCCAGGGTGAACCACATGGAGGTCGACCTGATAGGGTATATTGCTGGCAATGGGCTGTCAAACTCCATTGCTAACGATCTCTTCCCCCGGATTGGACTAGGAACCCCATTACTAGCAATACTAGGTACATCTCTGGAGGAGAGCATATATAGCAACAGCTTAGGTGGCTCCGGCAAACAGCAAAATGAATTATTGTTTTTATTTTATTATATTGTTGATTTTTATACATTTTATGAGTGGTAATAAAGATTATTTATCTATCTATCTATCTATCAATATACCCAGTCAGGTAGATGTGATCTCCTTTGAAAACCATCCTGTTTAAATCATGGTGAATTCGTCACAATCCATCCCTCCTCACCACTATCTCTAAAGCTAAAGTCTCTCATTAATGCCAGCTTCTAGTACAGACAGAATCACAATAATTTTGATTGATTAAAAAAGTTTATTAGTTGTACTAAAACACATTACAGAGGGAGACTTTGTACAACAGTCGATTGCTTGGGTACCTCTGTCCCATTCGCGTTTCAACCGTGAAGCAGCTGTGTTTGCATGGCTGTGTTTCGGTTTGAAGGGTGGGATATGGCGTGAATTTACTGGGTACAGAGGAATAACACCTGAGTCCTCAGGAATGGCAACACATGGGGGGTATCATGGGCGAAACAGTATACTCTGTTATGTCCGTGGTACTGCTTATGTCTGGGAGAGGGGGCGAGTGACAGATAGACGATGGACGACCTATCACTAGTGTGCATAGTTTTAAGAGAATTTACATTTTAAAATTAGTAAAAACGATTATAGCAATTAAGGTTTCATTTAATATCCCACATATCTATGTATATAAAAATTAATGCCACTTTTCGTTGTAATTTTATAACTCAAGAACGGGCTCACGTATCCAAACTAAATGTTTACGCTTTGTTCGGACTATTTAGTAGACGGTTTATGTGAAGTTTGCACAAAATCGGTCGAGCGGTTCTTCATTTATCACATTTTTTGTAACAATTACAGTGAATTCAATAAATGGCGGATCATTTTGTTAATGGGGATTTTTGTGTCAAATTCAAACTGTTTTTAAGATATGGATTGTGCTGTCAAATTGAAACTTTTTTCAGGGTTGACAGGGTTCAGGGTACAAGCATGTTGTTATGTCATACATGCGGTCATTTCATTTTGGACGTGCTTCGATTAAAGCAAATTGTCAGCGATATTGATGTTATAATTTTTTTTTATTATTTCACTTTATACGCAGAGAAGCACGTACCGGGCCGCTAGTGTATTATAAAAATATTTAACATTTCCAAGTATAGTTATTATTTATATAAAGAACTATAATATGAAAATATCATCATCATCATCATCATCATCTCAGCCGTTATCTGTTCATTGCCGAATATAGGCTTCTCCCTTAGACTGCTGTAATGAACGGTCCTGAGCCACCTGCATCCACTAACTCCCTGCAATGCATTTCAGGTCGTCACTCCATCTATTAAAGTAAATTAATATAAAATACCAATCCATCTATCTAGCCGTGCGAAGCCGGGGCGGATCACTAGCGTGTTATAAATAACAAATCCACACACCTTCAAACTATCTGAGACAGCGACGGTCACGATTTGGGGTTGCGACGTCTCCTGCACCAACGACACCTCGTTGGGTCTCCTATGGGCCACTGACGTTATTATATGCTTCTTCAGTGGCGAATGCTTCGTCTGGACAGTCTTCAGCTGAACACCTGGAGCCAACTGCACCTCCTCCAGCGTCTCATCCTTCCTCTTCTTCTCCAATTTGATTTGAGGCACTTCGTTCACTTCCTCGACGATGATCTTGGACGTTGGCACCGGAGAAGGCTCCACCTTCTCCGCTTTGATCTCTTTGGGCGTCTCGACAATTTTAGGCGTTTCCGTGTCAACGTATATGGTTTCCTTATCCGCGCTGACGTGGACCACACTGGAGCCGAAGGAATCCGCCTTCCTCCTCTTTGGGCCAGAGACGGCGCGCCCTTCCGTGCTCTGGCCTTGCAATAAAAAAGAACCCTTGTCAACATCGTTCACCAACTCCAATATATCATCCGTTATCTTTTTATCATCTTTCGTGAGGTCTTCAGCTAAGGTCTTCAAGTCTGTCTCCGAGAGGATGCTTTCGACTTGGGCCTCGGTTAGTCCTGTGAAATTCTCGGGTAGCAGATCGTCGCTTATGTCTAGACTGCTACCGCTGGTGTCTTCTGGATTTATATCACCGTATAGTTCACCGAGGGTAAACTGGGAGGTGGTGAATGTGTCTAGAGCTTCGGAGGGAGGTTTCTCCGCTGGTCTTAGCTCAACGGAGATGAGGGTATCAGGGCCGATGGGAAATTGATCGTCCGCTGGTGTTTCCTGTTCAGGTGGTGAGGGCGGAGGTGTTTTTGGTCGGAAATGTAGCCTGGAAATGAAAATCAATAATTGAGTAAAATGTATATCGGAAGACAACAACAACAAGTCACTATTGTAATGAAGACCTTAATAACTTAATTGATCACAAACTATAACTTTTTAACGAATTATAATTACAACAATTAGTATAAAACTTATTCGTCTCTCTTAAAATATTAGAAAAGCCTAACTGCGGTTGCCTATCCGCCTGCCAAGCGTGGCAACTACTAGCAAAACCCCCCAAGGGGAGGCTTATGTTCAGCAGTGGACAGTTAAAGGCTGATATGATGATGATGATAAACCCATTCAAGCCCTATTAGAGTGGAATATTAATATATTAATACATAATGGTGGTTAGACAACAGGCAAGACTTATAATGGGTGCCTTAACTAAACACATGCCTGTAAGGCATATACTATACAAAATGGGTCTATCTTTGGACATACTGTGTAAATTGTACAGTGAGGAATCGGAATCCATGGAACACTTGATGTGTAACTATGATTCAGATTATTGGCAAGCATGTACGAGGTCTGTCCGGAAAGTTCGTATAAAAGTGTTCTGGAATGCGAGAAAGAGGAGTGGGGAGGCCAGGTAAGCGCAGGACCCCTTCCTTATGTCCCTAACAATGCTTCAGTTCTGGTCTGACCGCCGTGCGGTGCGAACTGGCTTGTCACGCCATCTGTGAAGTTACCTCTTAACGAAACCCCGTCGGCATGGAGCCCGCTTCCGTTGAAGAGCAGCGCGTCGTAATCAAGTTTCTCTCGAAACTCGGCAAGAATGGCCGTGAAAGCAAAGAGTGGAAGACATCCGGGGAACCACGAACAAAAAAATCAAGAAAATCCCGCTCAAATGTCAAGACAATGTTGATTGTTTTTTTCGATGTTCGGGGGATTGTCCATCAAGAATTCGTCCCTCCAGGCCAGACAGTTGATGGAAAATTCTACGTCGATGTGCTCAGACGCCTCAAAGCTCGTGTGGCACGAGTTCGTCCAGAATTGGCGCGAGAGGGGCGTTGGATTCTTCACCACGACAATGCCCCTGCCCACACCTCTCTTGTTGTCCGTGAGTTTTTGAGTAAAAATTCCATTACGGTGACCGAACACCCCCCCTATTCGCCGGATTTGGCCCCGTGTGACTTCTTCTTGTTCCCCAAAACCAAATTGGTACTTCGGGGGCGGCATTTGGGGGACATAAATGAGATAAAAAAAGCTACGACGGGGCAGCTGAGAAACCTACAACCAGAGGACTTTCAAGGAGCCTTCTCACAGTGGAAACGGCGTTGGCACAAGTGCATTATGTCACAGGGGGAGTACTTTGAAGGGGATAAAATTGATTTACCTGAATAATTGTAAAATAAAATTTTTAAAAAACTTTTATACGTACTTTCCGGACAAACCTCGTATACTACTGGGAATAACTTATCCGGAGTCAGAGGACTATAAATATCGTGGAATATCGTAAAAGTGAAACATTGGATCTATAAAATGATAATATAAGGCAGGGGAAGCACAAAGGTATTTAACGAGTCGACGTACAACGGTTTGGCTGACCCCATACGTTTTTTTTTTATACAACTTAGAATGGCAAACAAACTGACGGCCCACATGATGTAAAATGGTAACCGTCGCCTATAGACATGAGCAGTACCACGGATATAACAGAGTATACTGTTTCGCCCATGATACCCCCCATGCGTTGCCATTCCTGAGGACTGAAATGTTATTCCTCTGTACCCAGTAAATTCACGCCATGTCCCACCCTTCAAACCGAAACACAGCCATGCAAACACAACTGCTTCACGGTTGAAATACGAAAGGGACAGAGGTACCCAAGCAATCGACTTTTGTACAAAGTCTTCCTCTGGTGTATAAACCTATTACAAATAATACAAACAACTCACCATTTTTTGTTAACCTCGTTGATGAAATTTTCAAACTCCCTCTCGACCGGATGCAGACTTTCATCGGAGTCGTAGCTGCTATCACTGCAGCCACTCCAGGACCGCTTCCTCATCACCCGCTGCAGATTCTGCCTTACATCACTATCTATAGTTCTTGCACTAACACTAATATCACTTTTTACACTATCCTGAGGTATAACATCGGGTAACACGTCCATTGGTTCCTCTTTGACTTTAACGTCATCCACGTCGAGTTTGACGTCGTCGGCGAGGACTTTGACGTCGTCCACGTCGAGTTTGACGTCGTCGGCGTGGACTTTGACATCGTCCGCGGGGGGTTTGACCTCCTCCGCGATCCAGAGATCGGGCTTCCGCGCGAGGTGCTGCCGGAACGCGCGCCGCCACGGATACTTGCCGCCCGCGTGGTAATCCCGGGACACCTCCAAGGGAGTTCGATGTGATTTCTTCTCCATCTCCTCCTGGGGATGACACGATTTTGGATTAATTACGAATTAATTCGTTTTAATTTGGATTACTCTACAATTGTGATAGTCTTTCACAGTTTATATTAATTATAATGTTAATATCAAAATCATTTAAAGTAATTAAATTTCTTTTTTTATCAATATTATGAAGAGGTATTTCTCAATCTGATAATTTCTCTTTTTTTTTATCCAACTAATGGCGAACAAGCTGTTGACTCATTTAATGGGAAACGGTAACCGTCGCTTGTAGATTGTCACCATTGACAGCAGCGTAACACTGTTGTTGGCATCACATGAGGAGTTCCAAAAGATCAAGATGTTATGATCCCGTACCGCGCAAGTTCCCAGCGTGTGAAGGTTACCTGGCGGGCGACGGCGGCGGCGGGCGGCGGCAGGCGCGGCCAGAGGTCGTCGAGCGGCGTGGCGCGGCGGTCGAGCAGCAGGCGGCCGCCGCGCCCGAGCCGCCGCCGCGCGAACCCCACGCAGCGCCGCGACCCGTCCGCGCACCGCAGCGACGTCAGTGTGAACCTGACACACGAACACATCATTCGTCACTCGAGTTCTTTAAGCCTTAAAAGCCTGATTTTTTAAAATCAAATTAAAAAATATATAAATGTATCCTTTACTGTGTTTACTAATGGGGAAAAATAGTAAAAAAATCAAAACGATATTTTTATATATTTATTTTGAAAAAAAAAACATTTGGTGTCATTTTTGATGCTTTAGGCATTACGGTAATCAAAATATTTAAATTTATTTAATAATGAAACAATGCAAACCCCGGTATCAAAGTTGAAACTTCAGGCATTTAAGGGTTAAAGCGATCATAATGGAATGCTACTCATAACCCAGCCTACGCTATGAACATACGCTGACGGGGTACCAGTGAGGATTACAGGAGGTTAATTAACCCATCGTGATAAATTCACTAGGAGTTAACCACAATGGTTTCGAGAAGGGACCGCGTGGAGATCTCGTGAAGACTAATCTCCCAATTCATAACATTCTCTTTCTCCCTCGTCACTGAAGAAAAGAATACTAACTGGAACTAACAATCCCCTCCCTCGATCTCAGATTCAACTCGACACAAATGGGCCACCTTTCCTAAATTAGCTAATCTTGATCCCTATATTATTAAAAAAAATAAAGAATGGATTGGGGCTACAGACATCGAATTGAAATAATTTAAAATTTATCTGCCTAATCATTTGGGAATTACAATAAAAAAGACAATTTTAGCATTAAACTACCTCCGAACTACGGAGTTCCTCAAGGTGTAATTCTTGGACCAAATTTATATCTAAGTCACATAAAAAAGTAAATTAATATCAATAATATACACTCAGGTTGTGGAATGAGCTCCCTGCCGAGATTTTCCCAAGAGACTACAGCATGGGGTTCTTCAAAAAGGGGGTAAAGAGGTTTCTTCAGGGTCGGCAACGCACGCGTAATTGGTATTGCAGGTATTGCAGGTGTTCACAGGTTACGGTAACCACTTACCATCAGGTGGGCTGTATGCTTTTTTGCCACTCAGTGGTATAAAAAAAAATGTAGTAAACAATTTTATAGTACAATAAAATTGAGAAAATCCGGCTATTAAAATTCTGAAGTTTTTAATGATTTAAGTTGACAAGTAGCCTCCATATTCCTACAAACATGACGTACATAATAATACTTGTTTAATAAAAAAAAACATCTAGCCACTAAAGCTATATGTCACGCCAAATATCCAAAAAATATACACATCCAAAACGTTACCTACTCTTTATTTATTTAGTCGGATAAGTACAGTACGCCAAACTCACGAATACATTACAAAACTCACCTATGCCGCGTGTCGATCTCGTGCTCGTACAGGCCGTCCTTTGTGGGTTTCTCCGGGTCCACTGGGTCCCCATACAGGGTAGACGTGGGCTGGAACAAAAAATATATTTTATTTGATATCTGTTTAGAATTAGTTTAATTCCGCTATTATTAGTTTGTGTGTGACTGTCAACACTGGAAGTCTGACCACCACTTGTTGCTACCTAGTAGTTCCACAACCCTCAATATTATCCATCAATTTTAGTATCATGAGCGGAACAGTATACTTTGTTATATCCATGGCAATATTCATGTCTTTTGTTTCATTTAATTATTTTGTGATACATAACAATGGATGGTAAAACAAGTCCTATATGATTAACCTGATGAGGTTATATATATCGGGGTATAGAATAGAATAGAATAGAATATCATAGAATATCATAGAATATAATAGATTAGAATAGAATAGAACAGAACAGAATAGAATATAATAGCATAGAATAGAATAGAACAGAACAGAACAGAATGGAATATAATAGCATAGAATAGAATAGAATAGAACAGAACAGAATAGAATAGAATATTATTGCTAACTGTGTACATACATATAGCTGTAAACATTGCTTTGGACTTGACATCAGTATCAACAGTTATACCCTATCGGGCATGGAACAATTTAAAAACAGGTAAGCTAGCAATTATATTAACATACAAATTCACAAATATAAATATATAAGAAAAAAAAAAGTAAGTCTATAAGCTATAAGCAACCACTTTTCATCAGGTGGGCCGTCAGCTTGTTTGCCATATAAAGTTGCATAAACCAACTTGGTCAGTAACTACTGACCATTTCGTAGTAGCAGCCCGGTTTCCGCCTGAACGCAAACGGCCCGTCGTCGGGCGGGCTGGCGGCCGCCTCGCGCGGCACACTCTCCTCTTCCGACGACGTGTAAACGCCCGACTCTGGAATCAAACCCGCCGCCGCACTCGCTGTTAGATATCTCATATATAAAGTACAATAATATATGCGTCATGTATGTATCATTGGCATTCTTTTAACTTACGATGTAAGTAAAATATAGTATAGCAAAATACGATATATTGTACGATATCTATGTATTGGTCCAATAAAAGGTATATTAAATATCGGTTATCCAATATATAATATTGAAATTAATGAAGATATTCGATTACCCGACCGGAATGGGCGATATCGAAATGGATGACGAGCTTTTTCCCGCCATAAGTGTTAAGAGGAAACCAATATATAGATATCGGAGCGGTGCCGATATTACTTACGCCTACTTTTAGCTAACTAACCATCCTCAAAGTGTCCGTTCACATAGACCTGCTCGGAGAGAATATCAAACTTTGATCGCGTTTAAAATAGAGTTTTACGATCATTGAAATAAGGTTTATTCTCTCATTCTTATTCTTTTAAGACAGTGATCTACTAGTGGAAGTAAACATTTTTCCGAGAGAAACTAATTAAATAATAAAAAAAAAAAAATGGAAACATCAATTAATTTCTTTATCTTTTGAGGACTCGGTTCTCTCGTAATGCACTGATGAAGATATATATAAATCTAATTATACTATTTAAAAAGGAACCTATTAAAGTATTCCTAACTCACATCTTACAAATATAAATATACCCTTAAAACATAAATTCAGTAAATACTTTAAATCAACAACAAAACTATTTGAACTTTTGTTGCCCAGTTATATAGTTATATATTATATGTATTTAATATGTTATCTATATATAATTTTTCAACAGCGACCGATCTATGCACCGTTTGAGCGTAGGTACTTGGCCGTCTCGCGGCCGTGCCCGCGCGGCAGTAACAATCGGCACTCACCTCGCAGCCCCTGCACCGAGCCGACGGCCGGATGCCTGTGTTTGGGCCGTTTCTTGTACGGCCGCTTCTCTCGCTGTAAGGCAAACACCTCGATAATACACTCTCTCAAACGGCAAATTTCACTCAAACGACGGTTACAGGTTCGATCCACGTACAATACAAACATTTGTGCGTACATCTGTTTGCATACGTGTTAAAAAAAAAAAGTATTTTAGAATTTCTATCTGTAATCTTGCAGCCATACTAAAAGCTCTGTTTAGTGTAGCACTAGATGGCGTTAATATGTTCTAATGGTATACAGGATGTAAGGGACAGGTTGGCAAAAAAAAAGTGAATTCAGACTCAATATTCTGAACTGAAAACTAGTGGACATTCTTTTCGGAAAATTTCAAATTCTTTTCCTGTTTCTAATCATAGATCATAATGTCAAAGATTAGATATTTTTTCCTTACAAATCTTGTAATCTTGTAAATATTTTTTTTAAATAGTGAAATACTATGAAAACAGCAATGTAATATACGTATCAAAATCCTATCGCAACGCGTAGAATCAGCTGTATAAAGTCAACGCCACAAGTGTACGAAAACTGTCTACGAAGAAGCGCCTTTAACGTGGACGATAACTACGTATCAATTGTCGAGTGGATCGTAAAATTTCAAATACATTGCGCGACGTGATAAATAAACTGCCATCTGATACACACGATTCATCTGAATCGGCTGTTTTCGTTTTGGTCAACCTGCCTCTTCCACTCTGTAATCACTATTATACACACACAGTGCAGACTTGGCCCACATTTTTAATTTGGCAGAAACGGCTGTATGTTTTTCGTAACATAAATTTATTATGTCTATATTTTTTTAATAGTACCTACTTTTATAAAAAAAAGTTGGATTATTAAGAATTACTTTGAAATTATAGTGCCAACCCAACTGAATTAAAAAAAAAAAAAACATTATTTTGTAAACTAAAGATGTACAGCGATATCAATTCTATGGCTATATAAGATGACTTTAAACAAACCTGTTTAAATTAGTAAAATAAAGAAATCTAATCTAATCTAAATTATGGCCAAATTGTGTGTCTTTTAATTTAAATAAATAACTTTAATAAAATATCTAGAGATTTTGATTTATATTTATGGTATTTAATTCTAAGATAGAATCCGCAAGACGTGTGCTGAGTCAGTGGTTTTTTTTATTCATCTTCGAACATATGATTTCAACTTTTTATTTTGCGTAACTGCCTACCCTATAATGTTTGTATTACTATAACGTTATTACTTCAAGTTTGATATAGTTGTTTGTACGTATATGCGATGTCATAGACATTTTAGGTTAAACGTTGTTTTTATTTGTAAAATCCTGCCTTTGTCTTTATTGTCTTTTTTTTATTATGAAATTATTTAACTGCTGGTTTATCTTTAATAAAAAATAATATTGAGAATTTTACATTACGGTCGATTTTCAAGCACAATTCTGTAATTCTATCTCTAAAATTCACATATATCTGTAAGAAAATCTATAACTTCATATTATTCCATTTCGCCTGCTAATATTGTGAAAAATCGAGATTAATTTTTCATTTTGCACCAGAAAGAATCCGTTTCCACGCCTGATGAACGATATGGCTAGTACAATGTACAAGTGTGATAACGTCGCATTTTAAATCTATGCCACGTGAACACGCCTCACTGTGACGAAATGGTAAATTAAAAATATTTACATTTACAATATTTTTATTATAACTCTGGCCTGGTTTAGTAAACAATCGTGGTAGATTTATTTTTATCAAAATCCATCATTTGTAAAGAAAAAAAAATATCAAATCTTCGTGTAAAATGAATAAAACCATATTACGTCGACCCCAAATAACTGTGATAAGGCCAGGAAGATGATTTGTCATAATAGGTAGTTTAATTAATAAAATATATTTGATATTTTTGTGCAATATATGTTTTTGTATTTTATGCATGTAAAAATTATTAATTCACTCTTGCGCCACCTACCCTTTTCTATCTGTTCTCCTTTAACCAAAGATTGTCTGTAAGACATTGCCCTAGCAATAAGACCGCCTTTTGCACCTTTATGTATATATTTTAATCTGTACTTTATACTACTGTATTTCACTTAAATTGTTCAATTGTCATCGTATATTTTTATTTTTCTGGTGCAATAAAGAGTTAAATAAATAATAAATAAATAGCCGTTAAAATTAATGTCAATAATAATGTAACAATCCATTAACGTTCTACTGTTCGGCATGTGTTTCTCCATAAAAGGTATAAAACACACAAAAAATAGTAAATACAAAATCTTTTTATTCCATTTGTTTAATTCGTTTAATTTTTTGTACGGTTATTTCGATTTTATTTACATAAATTTATTTTGAACAATTTTGAATAATTATTTTTTAAGATTGCATGGCTCAATTCGGAATGCAATTTCAGCGGATAAGAAACTCCGATGTTGCTTTTGTTTCATAAATAAATTGAAATTTACCATTCATTTTGTATGAACGCAAACTATAAAACAAGATAGTAATACAAAATCGCTTCTATCTTTTAAGCTTACAGCTTATTCATGAAGTTGTCTATAGATAACTTTAAACGTGATCGATTTCCTGGTGCACAAAGTAGGTATAGGTACCAATCCCCTGTCCTCACATCATGATCAATCACCTGGTGATAACAAAATGCCCCCCACCTATTTCCCTGTACTCAGAACGCGGCTAATTCCTTGGCGTACTTGTGTACCTCAATATCCTGGCGGACAGGGTTCTGATATCTGTCGTATTAGTCAGTAGCTATGTGCTATAGGATATAACATCATGAAAATAACCAAGCTATCGCTACGGCTGTTAATTGCCTAAATCTACAATACACATAAACAACAAAGTTTACCAATCAATTTTGATATAATTTGATACAAAATCTAATGACTGACCGTCTAATTCCCTGTATATACATCGTGAACAATTCTCTGGTAACAACACAACAAAGTGTACCGTCTATTACCCTGTACAAATATTGTATCTAAATGGATTGTCAGTCCCATTGTTAACAATAATCTCACCACGGAAACCATGGTTGTTGCCTCCCAAATTAGACACAATGGGATAACTTGACAACCTCACCTATCATCCCTAACTGGTACCCCGTCAAATTCGTTTGTCGCGTAAAGTGTACTATCAAATTCCCTTGGCACTAACCTGTCGGGGGGCAGCGTGTGCGGCGTGGACGTCGTGGTGCGAGGCGGGGGAGTGGACGTGCGTGGAGGCGGCGCGCGGCGTATATAGCGGCTCGTAGTGGCGACAGCTCGCGGCCAGTCGACTCGCCGACAGCGGTACGCTCGTGTACGACGCTCTGACGGAGAAATTTGAACGACTCCTATTATACAGGGGTAAAATTAACAAAAAATTAGCCACCTTCGGTTTGGACTACAAGCATCCAAAAATTATTTCGTACAGAGCAGAACAAAAATGCGTTCTGGAGCACTCCAGACATCATATAGAAACAATTAAAAGACTACTTTGAGAAACGGTCTGTAGATCCGTTTATACACAGTCTGACGCACATAATCCGATAGTCCTTACAAGGGATTTCTTACTTCCCTTGAACTACTATTAAGGAAACAGAAGTAGTTAGGGGGGAAAGGGATTGTTAGTAATGAAAACTGAGAATCCAATTGCTAGCAATATACCCAACCAGGTCGACCTCCTCGCGGTTCTACCTGGAAACTACCATGGTTAATTCCTGATGAATTCATCATGATAACTAACTGGCCTGTTTTCATTCTCATCTATCACCCTTCACTGGTGCTCCGCCAGCGTATCCTGTTAGCGCAGGCGGGGCTACCATACCATTTTCACCCATCAAAAAAAAAATATCACTATTAAATTCAATATTATCATTTACCACAATCCCCCTGACGACCCCGTAAAGAATTACAGTCCTGAACATCCTCACTAATATTTATTAAGGTGAAGTTAAATTTATGTGGCTCAACTGCCTGAGATTGGCTCACCCAGCCGTTGCGAAATTGGGTATACATGACTGGACTTGATGTATGGAATTGGAGAAACGCATATATCGCGGTCATCATCATCATCGCCATAATATATCAGCCATTATTTGTTCTCTGCTGAACATAGGCTTCCTCCATAGACCTCATAAAGGAACGGCACCATTTCTTATGGGAGTTTATCAGTGGGGAGATTTACAGTAGTTGCCACGTTTAGCAGATGAATTGGCACCAGCAGTTTGGCTTTTGACGATGTTTTAAGAGGGACGCTGCTGCCATTTCCTCAACCATTATGTTCCCTTAGTCGCCTCTTACGACATCCACGGGAAAAGAACGGGGTGGCTCACCTTTTATGGCGGGACCACACGGCACCATTGGCATATTTAAAATTAAATTTACCAGCCAGAGGGAGACTATATAGAAATCATCTGCATGAGTATCTTTGTTCCACTAATATTTCCGCCGCCAAATGTTGCATGGCTGGCTTTTTAACCTCTGTGTGGACGCTGTCACATGTTTGTAAAAAATAAAGTTTATTTTATGTCTTATATAAATGTCACAATGTGAGCTCATTCTAATCTCCGAAATTGCTCAAACGATTTTCATGAAATTTTATAGATGAGTATTAATGTTTGCTTCAACTTGAGAGATAGGGTTGCTTTTATTCTGATAAGAAAAAATGGGCGAAGTAACTTTAGAACCAGAATGGTCACGCACAGTGCTGTTTCAGAGGAGTTTTCTCCCGCGAACACTAAGGTTGTGGAATGATCTTCCTGCCGAGGCTTTTCCTAGAGACTATAGCATGGGGTTCTTCAAAACTGGCGTATTAAGGTTTCTTAGAGGTCGGCAACATGCGCGTGACATCCGTGGTATTAGAGGCGTCGAGTAATTACAGTAACACCGTTTACCATCAGAAGAGTCGTTTGCTTGTTTCCCATAAAAAAAAGTGGCAGTGGGGGGTCAAAACCATATCAGCTAATAATATTATTTTACAAACCTGGGAGTTGGTTCAGGCGGCAACAGCTGATTGGCGAAGTCTCCGGCCGTGTACCGGCGGTCGGCGAGTTGGGCGGTGAGCGCGACCAGCTCGCGCTTGGCCACCTCCCGCCTGGCGACCAGTTCGAGCAGGGTCAACGCCCGCACGAGATCGCGGCGGAGCTTCAGCATCTTTTCGTATGATGTCTCGTCGTTTTTCCTGTAATTGTGATATAAAGTTTTGTTGTAAAAAAAACTACATAGGCTACTTCTTGTCCCAGCCACTAAACATATCGCGGTCACGCGAGCACAGTCGCGGGTAAAAGCTAGTTATTATATATATAAATCGTATTACGAACCTGGGAAGCGAATTTTTATACAACTGCTCTAGAAACGAGTGTAATGTTTTCAGGGTTCAGTATTTATGGATGTGAGTTTCTCTACTCCACTAAACTTCTAAATAGTTGAACTAATTTGGATGTAAGTATATATCGTTAGAATTCTTAGATCGTCTTATGTAATATTGGCCATTTATTTTTTTGAAATTACAAGTACTTTCTTAGTTGCATTTGGCGGAGCAAAACATATTTGTATACGGAGCAATATACTTGTTGTTAGACAATAACGAGTCTATTTTACACACCTGTTCTTCCTGGTCTGCATCTTCTCAGTCCGCCGCCGGAACGCGAGGTACGGGTTGTTGGACGACTGGCCGGGCCTGCTCTCTGTTTTCACCGACAGTATCAACGGGTGTTGCTGAGAATCGAAATGGCCATGTTAGCATGTAGCTGTAACACGCAACTTTGCAGAAGGGACCTTTAGACTTTACTGTTAATGGTCCCTGTCATGTGGAGATAGTTCCACGCTGTTCCCTTTGGAATCCATTGTAACTAGCAAATTTGCTGCGATTGCCAACTGATCTAACTTCATCCTCGCGGGGGGGAAAGGGATTGTTAGTAATGGGGTCTAATGAACCCATTACTAGCAATACACCTTATCAGGTCGACCTCCACGTGGTTCCCCATGGAAACCATTGTGGTTAATTCTAGTGGAATTCGTCACGATGGGCTAACTGACCTGCTTTCATCATCACCTATCATCACTCACTGGTGCCCCGCTAGTGTATCCCGATAGCGCGGGCGGGGTTACCATTCCATTCTCAACCATTAAAAAAAAACCTCATCCTCGCCTACTTTATACTACAAAAGGGAAACCATCCATCACTGGTGTTCCAGCAATGTGTCCTGATAATGCAGACCCTTACCATACCATAATAATCATCATCTTCCTACCCTTCGTGTTTCAACCGTAAAGCAGTTGTGTTTGCATAGCTGTGTTTCGGTTTGAAGGGTGGGATATGGCGTGAATTTACAGGGTACAGAGGAATAACACCTAAGTCCTCAGGAATGGCAACGCATGGGGGATATCATAGGCGAAACAGTATACTCTGTTATGTCCATGGTACTGCTCATGTCTATAGGCGACGGTTACCATTTTCCATCAGGTGGACCGTCAGCTTGTTTGCCATTCTAAGTTGTATAAAAAAAAAACCCTTATCCAAATTGTTAATTGGGGTTGGCGTAATATGTTTTCTCTTCCAGGCCTTTACCCAACCATTTTTATTAAATTAAGATTGCGTTCCACAAAAAAAAATATTTTGATTTCAAATCTAAACTACTGAATCTATTTTGACAAAATTTCTATAAAACTAATTTGTAAGTATCTGATCACTGGTAATTAACGCTCCTTTCCACTCAGGGTTTGCTGGAAGAGAACTATTACAGAGTTAAGCTCGCGCTGTTGTACATCTTCATTTAATATTCACTTTAACTATGTAATTTTTGTTTACAATAAAGTATAAATAAATATTAATAATAAATAAGTATATCCTTTCAAATAAAAAAGGTATTATCCAAATCGGTTTAAAAACCGACGAAATTAAGGATATTAAATATATTAAAAAAAAATACAACCGAACTGAGAACCTTCTTCTTTTTGAAGTCAGTTCAAAAGAAACCTGCGACTTTATCCATTAGTATCTACACGCGGTCCTCCTGGTAACCACAGTAGCCATTTCTACTGAATTCGTCAGGATGTACCAACCGGCCTGACTTTATCCTCACCTATTATCATTCACTGATACCCCGCCAATGTACACCGACAGCGAAAGCGAGGTCAGCATTCCTTTACCATCGAAAATGAGTTCCGAGTACTCGAGATCATATCATTACTCACCAATGCGAGGGGATCCTTCTGCGATACTGACGTCGCTACCACGCGGTCAAGGCTCTAGAACATTCCACAACTCACGTACCGTGGTCAGCCGCTTGTTGAGCCAGTAGTCGTAAACCGCTGTGACGAGTTCGTCGTGCCTCTCCAGCAGTAGCTTCGCCTCGCTGAGGGTCACCACCGTCTGGCCGGAGCTCTTCTCCAGCTTGTCCATCATCTGCTCGAACTTTAGCTCTGTAATGTAATGAACCTTGTCAGAGTGGATTAAAATTATGAGTAACTAGAGAAAGAGTAAACGTTCTCTTCATGACGACGATGATGATGATGAAAGTAAGGGAGATTCGATGAGGAACTCTCTCACCTGTGTTTCCGCTCAGAAGTAGTTGCGCTTACGGCTGTGTTTCGATTTAAAGGGTGGGATATGGCAGTGAAATTACAGGGCACGACAGGATAACACTATAATCCTCAGGAGTGCAAACCCATGAAGGGTACCATGGGCGTCATAGTGTGTTCATTAATATCCATGGCGCTGTTCATGTCAACAGACGACGGTTATCACTTCCCAAGAGGTGCACCGTCGGCTTCTAGGGGGTAGAGGGATTGTTAGTGATGGGGTCTAAAAGCCCCACTGCTAGCAATATACCCTATCAGTTCAAATTCCACGCGGTTCCCCTAGGAAACCATCATGGTTAATTTATGTGTAATTCGTCACAATGGGCTATCTGACCTACATTCATCCTCACCTGTCATCTATCACTGGTTCCCCGCCAGCGTATCGGTATACGCGCAGGCGGGGTTACCATTCCATTATCATCCATAATTAAAACCGTCAGCTTGTTTGTCATTCTAATATAGTACATTAAAGACTCACTCAGTTTACAAAATATATTTAGTAAGGATGTAAAGGCGACTATCTCATAAAACATTAAATTCAATCCTCTTGATATTCAATTAACAATAATCTATGCAGAACAGGGGTAAGATTATTCAGCACCTTTGCAATTTGGGAAACAATAATAATGGAAACTAAGTAAATTCATTAAAATAAACCCATTAGACAACGCTTCGTTGAGTTTCTGTCTGAAGAAATTCAGGGCCGGGGAGAGTGTTGACCGTTTTAATAATGACGTCACTGGATGAACAAGTACCTCGCTTTTCATAAAGGATTATTCATATTACAACGGTCAAAGAACGGGTGGGCAACGAGTGCAACTCCTACTACCTTGTTGTTACTATTGTATCACCCTTTAACTGTCCACTGCTGAATATAGTTCCCCCCAAAAGGGAGGTTTGGCCAGTAGTTACCACGCTTGACAGGCGGGTTGGCAATCGCAGTTTGGCTTTTGGTGATGTTCAAGAAAGACGCTTTTGCCCATCTCTCCACCACAAGCTCCCTTAGTCGCCTCTTACGAGACCCACGGGAAAGGGAGAGGTGGCCTATTCTATGCCGGGACCTATAGGGCTACCTTATTAATTGGTGATTATTGTATGTGAAAATTTGTGAAGTTATTGAACGACTGAATGGATCGGTTATACAGAATCCTAAATATATATATTCTTTATTGCACTTGTAAGTTCCATATAAAATAATGTATTTATAAATGTTATGAGCAAGGGTGGACTTATCTCTGACAGAGATCTCTTCCAGTCAACCCAATACAGTGAGAAAGCGTTTCGTTAGCGGGCAGCTGAAGTGCTACATATAAATATTAGTATTATAGCATACTTTCAAGTTTAAATCATAATTCATATGACCAAATGCGGGAGTAAAGCTAGTACAATAAAATAATCCTTAATTATAAACACATAAAAATTGCGTGTCACAATATTCATTCACGCTAATCTCCAAAATCGCCCAATCGATTTTAAAGAAATTTTATTTATTTATTTATTATTTTTAAGAGAATTTTATAGCTATAATAACTTAATAATTGGCAATACTTAATTAATTAAAAGCTACCACATATAGTTAACGAAAATTTTATTCGTTACAGTCTAGATCATTAATAAGTTTTTTTTTTTATACAACTTAGAATGGCAAACAAGCTGACGGCCCACCTAATGGAAAGTGGTAACCGTCGCCTATAGACATGACAGAAGATGCCCATGGACATAACAGAGTATACTGTTTCGCCCATGATACCCCCCATGCGTTGCCATTCCTGAGGACTCAAGTGTAATTCCTCTGTACCCTGTAAATTCACGCCATACACGAATGGGACAGAGGTACCCATACAATCCACTTTTGTACAAAGGCTCCCTCTGGTAACAAGTGTGCAAAATATGTATATTGTTTGCTCTACCTTGAGGAATAGGACATTATATTTTATTAAAAAAAAAATTATCTCAGTAGGCGGCAATAGCGGGCAGGAGGGGGCAAACAACGTTTGTCGGGTCAGCTAGTAATAATAATAAAAGGAGTAAAATTCCGTCGGATCACACACTTCCGACCCGTACGCTGAACGGATGACGGTAGGCCGTCAAAGTATTCTATTCTCTATCTCCACAACGTTATGGATAATTTTATATTGCCGCTAGCTGCGTCCGTCTGTCCTGTGCCCGTTGTAATATGTATAGTCCCTAAAAAGGGTCCATTTTGAACTATTGTCCAATGGTTTCGTTCAGAAAACGGAAGTCTATCCGCCTCAGGTCTGGGTATATTCTGTACATTCAGATCACTGATTCCTTGTTATACAGGGTTGCTTCACAAAAACAATATTATTTAAACAATACATTTCATAATTATTTTTATTATATAAAAGAAAAAATAAAAACTACCGAGACCAAAACTACTCAAATCTCTCAATATTATTAAAATGAGAGTTTCCTTATGTCTCAAATCCTTTGTCTGTGGGAACACAGTCAAGCCGTATAACAAAGAGACGTGAATTCAAATCCCATTGGATCGAGTACTCGAAATGTATTTATTCAACCTATTAATAATCACTTTAAATTTGATTGTTTCATCTACAACGCCATCTGTTAAAACTAATCAGAAATAGCGATTAATTACCATACAAAAGCAAGTCAGCATTAATTTTTCAGTTGAACTTAAAAATAATCAATTTTTTTAAGCCACGCCTGTATCATAGCGAACAAAAAATCATTATTCGGTCAAGCCGTTTTTGAACTTTGAGCGAAGCTAAAGCAAAACAGCAATTGATTATATATATATATATATATATATATATATATATATATATATATATATATATATATATATATATATATATATATATATATAATAAAAATTATTTTTAACTATTCCACTTTATAATTTATCAAGACCTCTGCACCCTCTAATTCCACAGTCATATCCCACCCTTCAAACCGAAATACAGTCATGCAAACACAACTGCTTCATAGCAGAAACACGAGTGGGACAGAGGTAGCCAAGTGGGCGACTATTGTACAAGGTCACCTAGCGTTGTTTCCATTCTATGATTGTCACCACTATTGGTGTACATACCCGTGAGCTCGAGGTGCTTCTGCTGCTTGAGCCACCGCTCGTCCTCCGAGTCGATGTCGTACTCCGGCGCCTCCTGCTCCTCCCATAGCGCTGCAACAAACACATTACACTGTTAACTTTGACACTAATTAGGTTTGGTACTAATTATACTTCACGAACGGACAATTAACGGCTGATATAAGGATGATGATAATATAGTAATTTACCATTTTTAATGGTTATTTATATTTAAAGATAATATATAATAGCTGTTAGGATGCCTAGGATACTTGCTGCATTTCCACGCTGAATAGCAATGAAAAATTTTTTAATTATCTCTAATTATATATATATATATATATATATATATATATATATATATATATATTATATATATACTATATTTTATATATATATATTATATATATAATATTATACATATACATAATACATATACATACAATGGAACAAATGCTTCGATAAACGCTTCTTACATTCATCAATCTTGTCATACATAAAAATATATAAATACTGTACACGAAAAGTACACATTAAGTGTTTAATTGCCTCCGCTCGCGTATTATTTCGCGTAAATATATTTTTTTTATTTTTTTGACAAAAAATTTAATTTTATTTTATTATGATTTAGCATTGAAAAATATATACAAATTCAAATTTTCACGCTTTTACGATCAATCCCTGTTTTTTAATCGCGATTTTTATATACCGCAATAGGGTTGCAAGATGGCAAGCGAATATAATAATTGTAGTAGGATAAATTCTCATGTATGGTTTTCGAAATAATATATGTGGTAAAACAACGTTTGCCGAGTCAGCTAGGTATATATGTATATACTTATATATGTCTTACCAATGGCATTTGTTCAATTTATAATTTTTACACAATTAATATTTATTCTTTGATACTTTTCCTGTGTACCTACTGTCAAACATTTTACGATGTCATTTTATAACATGACGTAACATTGTTTATGAATAAATTGAACTGAATATCCCATATTGGGACTCGATATTATCGTCGCTCCAATAACACGATTTGTAATTCAAGTTATTTTCCTGTTGCATACATATATTATGTACACGGTAGTATTTTTAGACACGACATAGCTGATACTGGTAAGTAAATGTGATAAAAAAAAGTTATTAAAATATGAAAATCTTATACATTTGTAAATGTTACTATTATTACAATTTGCAATTAGCACATTGCTATGTGTCCTTTTTTTTTGATAGGTGAAAATGGTATGGTAGCCCCGCCTGCGCTAACGGTGTACGCTGGCGGAGCACCAGTGAAGGGTGACAGATGAGAATGGAAACAGGCCAGTTTAGCCCATCATGATGAATTCATCAGGAATTAACCATGATAGTTTCCAGGGGGAACCGCGAGAGGTCGACCTGGTTGGGATATATTGCTAGCAATGGGATTCTCAGTCTCCATTACTAACAATCCCTTCCCCCATTGCTAAGTGTCTAAATATAAATAAATTTTTAAATGAAAATTATGTTATTCCTAAATCAACAAATTCACCATAAAATTGTTATTTATTTTTATGCGAATCAAAAAACAAACAAACTGACGGCCCGCCTGATGGAAAACCGAGTAAGGGAACTTAAAAGTCGAGGGACGGGCAGCAGCGTCTCTCTTAAAATATCACTACAAACTTCTGCGATTGCCAACAACGGCAACATTTTTTTAACGGGTGAAAATGGAATGGTAACACCGCCCACACTATCGGTATACACCGACGGGGCACCAGTGGAAGATGATAGGTGAGAATGAATGCAGGTCAGTTAGCCCACCATGATGAATTCGACAAGAATTAAACATGATGGTTTCCAGGGTGAACCGCGTTGTGGTCGACCTGGGAGTGTGTATTGCTAGCAATGGGACTATTAGACCACATTACTATCGATATGCACGTGGTTCCCCCTGGAAACCATCTTGACTAATTCTTAGTGAATTCGTCACTATGGGCCAACTCACTTGCTTTCATTCTCACTTATCATCCCTCACTGGTGCTCCGCCAGCGTATACGGCAAGCGGAGTAGCCATTCCATTATCACCTATAAAAAATATAATATTTAAAAATCCCCTTCCATTATCATCATGGGCTATATATTACCTATGAAAATTCTATCCACCCGTGCGAAGCCGGGTCAGATCATTAGTATAGTATAAATATGTATAATATACAAATTATTTTGCTCACTCCACCGTCAAAATAGTTTCCTATTATATCATTAACAACCAATGATGCAAGCAGTAAAATAAAACTAACAAACTCTAGAATAGTATGCATTCCGTCTACATGAGATAGTACATTTGCGGACACGATCCGACGATTATTCCTAAGATAATATTTAATAAATAATAAATTTAATTAAATATTTGTTTGTGTGCAGCAAAATTTTAAATTACATAATTCAGAGTTCTTAAAAAAAAATCGAGTACAATGGTGGCCTTATTTGAAATACATAATGGCGACTTAACGCGATGTAAAAACTTCGGCAATAAAGAAGCAGATATCTAGGTAATATTTACCTGTAAAAGCTTTTACATCGCGTTAAGTCCTGATTGTGTATTTAATATATATGTATGTAAACAACGCGAAAGTTTAAAATTAACCAATGACGGCCTTATTTTGCAAGAACCTTTTACTCCGCAAGTTAAAAAACATGATTCTCCTGCCAAAAAAGCGAGATCCAGTAGCTAAATCTGAATAGACATTTATATGATTATGATGGAATAAAGAAACTCACATACTTGAACCTTGAAAATATTACACTCTGATGAACCTTTGTATGTCAGATAAGAGTGTAAAGTCTTTCAAATCTATTTTAAGGGACTTCCAGAAGATAGGAGGACTCTCAATCTAAACTGAAATTATAGAGAGGAACGATTTGACTTTTTATTTCTTCATAGTGGATAGAGTCAAAAGCTACTTAACGGATTTCAAAATTATTTCCTCTATAGAAAGCTAGATTATGTGATGGACCGATTTTGTCACCACTAATGTGGTGGTTTTATTTAAAGAGCAAAATCTTATAGTTTTAAATCTAGTTCATGTATGTTACATGTATATTATTTATTTATTTATACATTAATAATCACATTACAAAAAAAAAATGGTACAAAAAGCGGACGCAATGCTACGACTATATTACAATTTCTCGCAGTCAGCCTTTGGAAAAACAGAATGTAATTTTAAGGTAAAAAATATTGAAATTTTTTGTAGGTAAACAATTACAAACATATCTGTATTGACTCACAAATTCTACAATACACACACAATGGAGAACTACTACATATTATGATCATATAATTATACTTACGAGTACATGAATACATTATACAAATATTATTTACATATACAAATACACATGATAAAAACATACATACGATAATACACTGTAATACCAATAAAGTAATGACAGAGAACAGATGGAGAGAGGTGATGATGATGCCGATGAACTACTTTCACATTTTCTTCATGAAAGATTCATGGACATTTTTAAAAAGCAAATTAAGTCTCACATCCGAAATGTATTAGCCAACTTGGACGAATACTGAATTAATAACGAATTAAGAGACCTACTGAAAATCAGTGTTGTATAGGTGCATTTCGTTGAAGGTACAGCAACAGCTGAGGCAGCTCCTGTTACCAGTAAAATGTACGGACATTTTTTTTTTTATTGCTGTTTCTTTTAACTGTAATTCTTATTGTTGTTGGTAATAAAGAGATTTATTTATCTACTTTTTATCCCTAGCTAGTAGCAAACTAATTTCAAGAACGATAAATCTTTAGACACGTAACCTCGTGTGGGTACAGCGGTGTACGCACGGCGTCTGGTGATTCGATTACGCAGGCGGGCAGGCCCCGTCAGCTGTGAGCGGGGCCCGGCCTTCGCGGCCCGATCAGTCCGTCGGCGGAGGCCGATCGAGGTGGATGTGTTCACGTTTCGTAAGTTTAAATATCGAACGATTTGTCACAACGTTTGTTTCTTGGTGTATTACACGACTACTAAAACATGGAGGTTCTAGATTCATCTTTTCAACCGACCTGCAAAAAGTAGGAGGTTCTCGACTCGATTTTTTTTTGTTTGTTACCTCATAATTCCGTCAGTTGTACACCGATTTTGATTTTCTTTATTTGTATATCCTATATTTACAGATTGTTCCCACAGAAACTTTATCGTAAACGATTTAGTAGTTTAGTTTTTAAATCAAAATAAATTTACAATTTGGCACAATTAATATAGTTATTTTTTTTTCGCGGAACATAATTCTTAGTTATATTTTGCTTATTTATCTAACTTCGTAACGTATGTTTGAATATTAAATATAATGTAGTGACAATGTTCGTTTCTTGTCGTTTTAAGCGACTACTCGTGCTAAAATACTGAGGGTCATGATTTATCTAACTTTTTAATTTATTTATTTGCATACAACCTAAAACCTTGTCTTTTTTTTTACAACACAGGGGGGCAAACGAGCATTCGGGTCACCTGATGGTAAGTGACTACAGCCGCCCATGATCACCCACAACACTAACAGCATTGCAGGTGTGCTGCCGGCCTTTTAAAAAGGAATATACTCTTTTCTTGAAGGTTATGATGTCGTATCGGTTCGGAAATACTAGTCTAGGTGTTTCAGACTTCACTTATTAATTTATTTATTTAAAATTAACTATAGATATGGCATATAATTAAATATAGATATGGCAGACTTAATACCTAACGACTTCACGTCTTGTATCTATGTTTACTGGGTCATGTAGTAAATATGTAAGACGCCTGTATATCTTTATACGCCTGTGTTTATCATGCGTGTATGATTCTAATAGTTCTATTTGCATTCTATACGACAATTTAACTCCCGTGTTTTTTTTAATGGATGATAATGAAATGGTAACTCGGCCTGCGCTATCGGTATACACTGGCGGGGTGCCAGTGAGAGATGATAAGTGAGGATGAAAAGGCAGGTCAGTTAGCTTATCATGACGAATTTAACGATAAATTAGTCACGATAGTTTCCGGGGGAACTGCGTGGAGGTCGACCTGATAGGGTACACTGATAGCAACGGAGACTA